ACGGCGCCGAGAATCTGAGAAGCTGCATCAATTATTCATGGGACTGGATGCCTCCCTGTATGGCACTCTTCGGTCGAGTTTGCTCTCTCAAGACCCACTGCCCACTATCAATCGTGCCTATTCGTTGCTTGTCCAGGAAGAGCGGTTGTGTCCATCTCCAATGGGACTGATGAAGTTACAGTCGATGCTCTGAGTTTCGCGGTTCAAGCTCCACGGTCTGCCCAGCTTCCCACTCCACCGTCCAGCTGGTCTACTTCTCGGTCTCGGTCTGACTCCAAACCGATTGAGCCGAAAGCCAAGTCGATAATTTGCACTCACTACTCCAAACCGGATCATGACGTTTCCAGTTGTTTTGATCTTTTGGTTATCCCGATTGATGGCCTAACTCTCGCCGGGATTCAAGTGGTTCGGCTGGCCGTGGCTCAGTTGGTCGTGGTGGTAGTTCCTCCGGTCGTGGGCATGGTGTTGGTTCAGGTAGTGGTTCGGGTAGCTCTGTTGGTTGCGCTAACGCTACTATTGTACCCGGTTCACAGTTTGCTGGCTCTGTGGTGACTGATTCGGATAAAAGTGTGGTTACTAGTCTTTCTCCGGATCAATGGCAGACTTTAATCTCTATGCTTGATACTCACCACAAGTCGAGTAATACACTCTCTGGTAAGCCTTATTCTCATGAATGGATGTTTGATTGTGGGGCTTCACATCATATGATAGGTTTTTTGGCTTTCTTGACGGATTTGAGGGCCATTTCTCCTCGTCCAGTTCAGTTACCTGATGGTTCTATGACTTATGCGTCGCAGTTGGGTGTTGTTCTTTTGAGCCATTCTGTCACGTTGCACAATGTCCTTTATGTTCTGGCTTTGAAGTGCAGTTTGATTTCTCTATATCATTTATTAGAGGATTCTCATTCTGTTGCACAGTTTACTAATAAATTTTGTGTTGTTCAGGACCGTACATCGAGGACTCTGATTGGCGCGGGTGAACAGTTGGGGGGTCTCTACTTCTTTCGTGGCTTGTCTCCTGCTCTAGCTTCTCATGTTGTTTCCCCGATTTTATGGCATCAGCGGTTAGGGCACCCTTCTGTGAAGGTTTTAAAGCAGTTATCTCTTTTTGATTCTAGTAGTCATGTTTTGAATAAATCTTGTGACATTTGTTTCCGAGCTAAACAATCTCGTGAATCTTTTCCCATTAGTACTTCTAAAAGTGTTGAACTTTTCTCTTTAATTCATTGTGATTTGTGGGGACCTTATCATACTCCTGTTTTTAGTGGTGCTCGTTATTTTTTGACCATCGTTGATGATTTTTCTCGTGCTACTTGGTTATATCTTCTTGATGATAAGAAATTTGTGCCTACTAAGTTATGTGAGTTTTTTGCCATGATTCACAATCAATTTGGGAAACCTATCAAAATTGTTCGTAGTGATAATGGTTCCAAGTTCTTGTGTTTGGGTTCCTATTTTCGTCAAAAAGGAATTTTGCATGAAACTTCCTGTGTTGGTACCCTTCAACAAAACGGTCGTGTCGAACATAAACACCAACACATTCTTAATGTCGCTCGTGCCTTACTTTTTCAAGCTAATCTTCCTATTCCTTTTTGGGGTAATTGTATCTTGACTGCTGCCTACTTAATCAATCGCACTCCCTCTCCTGCTTTAAATGGGAAGACTCCTTTTGAAATTCTGTATGGTAAACCTCCTTCTCTTCACCACTTGCGTGTTTTCGGGTGCCTTTGTTATATGCATAATCTTTCTCGTGGGGGTGATAAATTCGCTCCCCGTGATCGCAAGTGTGTTTTTGTGGGTTATCTATTTGGTAAAAAGGCCTGGTTGGTTTATGATCTTGAATTACGTAAGTTTTCTGTTTCTCGGGATGTTGTTTTTTGTGAGACTGAATTTCCTTTTGCCAGTTCTTCTTCTGTTTTATCAGACCCTCTTTCTCCTCTGGTTCCTAGTTTCTCTCCTGTTTTCGATGACGATGATTTACCTCCTTCCGAACCAGTTTCTGTTGCCCCCCCCCCCCAGTTTCTCCCTCTTTGCCTGCATCACCTCCCCTTTCACCTCCAGCTTCTCCTATCTCGTCCCCGTCCTCTGAGGGGTCACCCATCTTGTCCTCCACCCCGAGTCTTCTTCTGAGTCTCCTGAACTATTGGGTCGTGGTCATCGTACTAAATTTCCTTCTACTCGTCTTCATGGTTTCGCTCGCCATTTTACCTCTCCCTCCGTTGCTCACTCCCCTGCTCAGACCTCAGGTACTCCTTATCTTATAACACATTTTGCAAACTGTGATTCTTTTCACCCTAGCATCGCGCTTTCTTGGCTGCCATTACTGCAGGCGTTGAGCCTCGGTCTTTTCGTGAGGCCATGCAGAATGCCAAATGGCGTTCTGCCATGCATGATGAGATACGTGCTTTGGAGAAAAATCGCACCTAGGAAGTTACTTCCCTTCCTCCTGGCAAGCGCGCCATTGGTTGTAAGTGGGTGTTTAAGATCAAATATAATGCTGACGGTTCTGTTGAGCACTATAAAGCTCGTCTGGTTATCCTTGGTAAAAATCAGGTTGAAGGCATTGACTACCAGGAGACCTTTGCGCCTGTTGCCAAAATGGTCACTGTTCATACCTTTCTGGCTGTTGCTGCCGCCAAAAAATGGGAGCCTCACCAGATGGATGTCCATAACGCCTTTCTTCATGGTGATCTACATGATGAGGTTTATATGAAATTTCCTCCTGGTTTTCGCACTGGCACCTCTGGTCAGATGTGTCGGCTTCGTGGGTCTCTGTATGGTCTTAAACATGCTCCTCGTTGTTGGTTTGCTAAGCTTGCCCAGGCTTTAAAGCAGTATAGTTTTGTGCAATCTTCCGCTGACTACTCTTTGTTTACCCTTCATCGTGGTTGTATTTCTCTTAGTCTGTTGGTATATGTTGTTGATCTTATTTTCGGTGGTAATGATCATGTTGCTATTACTGCTTTCAAACAGTATTTGAGTATTTGTTTTCACATGAAGGATCTGGGCCCTCTTAAGTACTTCTTGGGTATTGAGGTTTCCCGTAATTCGTTTGGCATATTTTTATGTCAACAAAAATATGCTTTGGATATTCTCTCGGAAGTTGGTCTTTTGGGTGCGAAACCTGTTACTTTTCCCATGGACCAGAATCATCATCTTCCTCTGGCTGAGGGTTCTCCACTCTCTGATCCTGAGCCGTATCGTCATCTGGTTGGTCGGGTGATCTATCTTGCTATCACCCGTCCTGATATCTCTTACTCGGTTCATATGTTGGCTCAATTCCTGCAAGCTCCACAGCAGGCTCACTGGGAGGCTGCTCTCCGGGTTGTTCGTTATTTGAAACTGTATCCAGGTCAGGGTATATTGCTTCGTGCAGATTGTAACCTCCAGCTCTATGGTTGGTGTGATTCTGATTGGGCAGTTGTCCTCTGTCTCGACGTTCTCTCATTGGCTGGTTTATTACTCTTGGTGCTTCTCCTACTTCTTGGCAAACTAAGAAGCAGCAATTTGTCTCTCGTTCGTCTGCTGAGGCTGAATATCTTGCTATGGCTAATACTGTCTGTGAGTTGAAGTGGTGGAACGCTTTGTTACTGAGGTTGGGTGTTCGACATTCTCAGTCTATGCGCCTTCATTGTGATAGTCAGTCTGCCTTCATCTTGTTGCTAATCCGCTTTTTCATGAGCGTACTAAGCACATCGAGGTTGATCGTCATTTTTTGTGTGATGCATTTATTCAGGGGGTCATTTCACCTACTTATGTTGCCACCACTTCATAGCTCGCCGATATCTTCACTAAAGCTTCGGGTCAACGGCAGTTTTCTTATTTTTTTTCCAAATTGGGCATTCGAAACCCGCATGCTCCACCTTGATGGGGGGTGTTACGATATATGTATATATATTTGTATAGGGTTAGTTTCGTCCTTTGTACGTACTAGGGTTTCCCCCGTAAACCTTAAATGATGTGTATATATAGTCCCTCTGTGGACCGATCAATAGAGTATCATGTTTTATGCGGGCCATTTAGTTTGTGTCAGTAATCAACAGTTAGGAAAGAAGGGTGCAGTAATTCAGTAGCTTGAAGTTAGGAAACATAACAGAAAATAGGAAGTGCAAAAATCATATTCCCTCCGTCCCAGAAAAACAGTCCACTTTGAGTTTTGATATTTGTACTAACAATAGTACAAATCTCAAAACTCAACGTACACTAATTTTTTGGGATGGAAGGAAGTAGTATCTTTTAACTACTGCGGAAGTTGAATAACACATGATTAAATCCCACGTTGTAATCAACTTGATCACTTTAAAGATCAATCAAAAAGAAAGAAATGCTTAAATCAGTGACTACCTTGGCTTCGGTGCTCCATGATTTGCAAAAGCATGCAAGAGATCAGTTCTTGATTCGATTTCACAAACTAGAGAGTGACCGAAGGAGTTTGATGATCAGCAATTCAATTACTAATCTCATTTTCTAATTGTAATCCTTCAAACGCTGGACAAATATTATGCACGTGTTGATAAGGCTAGTGATATTCCAGTATAATACAAAAACTTGAAAGAACTAGCAGAAAAACAAATGTAAGATTGATGACACGAGAAAGGCCAATTAATCACCAAAAAAATCGGGGAATTTATATACGTGAACAAGAGAAGAATACGTTTGTGAAGTCAATTAGTTAGCCAAAATTTAAACTGTGGCTGCTTCTTCTAATCTTTTTGAATAAAAGAAGGATGAGGGAGTCATCTGTAATTTTTGTGAGAGCCCCTTAACCGTTTATGTGTTGCCGCCTAACCGTATTTGGGGAAGTCAAATAAGAGAGCGAGTATTGACTGAATTGTTAACTTTCATCCCAAGAACCCACACACTTCTCTGTTTCTATCGTCTTCTTCAATTATCAGTAATTCTTCGTCTCTGCAAAATCCATTCATCTGTTAAAATCATCCAGTGATTAAAAAAAGCCCAATAAAAAAGTGCAAGGAAAACCAATTTTTTTGTTTGAAGAAAATGGGTGAAAAGAAAGAGAAAGAATCGAGCGCTACCATGGAGTCCAAGAACTGCAATGCGGCAAGGAAATCCCGAGATTCATCTGAGGTTAATCATCCAGATCGTAATTCCTGTTATTCCGCAGAGATGAAAGCAGTAGTAGAGTTCGATCCTATTATTCCTGATGAACGTATTTCTGATGATTATTCTGGACATCAAGCTGAGCAAGGAGATGGGAACATCCTCTGTCCGGAGTCGCTTCCAGCAGTTGATTAGGCCACCGGAGGAAGAAATTATGGTAAGAATTCAGACCGAATCTTTTATCTTTATCAATTACAATTCCATTTGGTTGCACATTTTCATAGAATTCTTTGTCGTAGTTCATGTTGAATTTTTAACTCCAAGTTTGTTTGTTCCGTCGGAATATGCATAATTGAGAATTAAAAATCGATTCTTTTTTTTTTCTTTTTACATTGTCTCTGATTCTTGAATCCGATAATACTCAGCAGAGAAACAAGATTCATCGACTGCCGAAGCTTCTTCTGAATCAACTGATTCCACGCGGGCCGAAAGAAGAGAAGTCGCTCTCAAGAATGATGGCCAACCCACCGCCGGTGTTCCAGCTTGGCTGCCTGACGATATCTTACACCATTTGATCGCAACACTCCCGGCTGACCAGATTGGTAGACTGTCTTGCGTTCAAAAAGCATGGAGAAATCTTCCGAGGGTTCCCCATATCATTACCACGCAACTGTCATTTGCCCGGTTTGGGATTTCCCAAAAAAGGCTAATCTTTAAGGAGGGGTTCAATAAGGACAAGAGTTTCAAGCAAATGCCACTGAGAAGTATCCTAGATTTCACCAATAGTCCTCGCCGGGACTCTGAAAGGACGGTTATCTTTACTCCGAATTGGGTCGTACCCAACCTTATCCCCAGGGCATCCCCGATCTCAGAACATGCTACTGATAAAATAATAGCCTGCGGAGATGGGCTAATCTGCCATCCTCAGCCCTGTGAGGAGTTTCTTCTTTTGAATCCAATGACCAGGGAGCACATGATTTTGCCCCTGTGTTGCAGTGTGGAAGAGAAGATCAGAACTTTAAGAGCGTGGTAGCAATCGGGTATAAAACAGAGGTTAATGTGGTTTTGTGGCTGTTTTCAGTGAATGACCGGGATGAAATCATTAGAGGAATTAAACGTTTCAATCTGAATAAGGGTCGTTGGGAGTGTATTGGAGACAACTTCATTGGGTTCATCGGCCAGCAAAATTCATGTCTGATGTATGAAGAGGATGTATATTTTATTGCACTCATGGAGGAGGACTGGGTTATCATCAACACGGATATAGCAGCAAATGAAGTGGGTCGTATTCATCTTCCGTCAGTGGTAGAGGCAAATATGAAGATAGACACTATCGCCATTGACCTAATTGATGGAGTGCTGCACCTTTCACATTATGATTTGGATGAGATCCGTATTTTCGTTCGTATCAGTGGCAGCTGGTTGCAGCATTGCAGGGTTCCATGGATCAGGCCTATGTTCTTCGAGTTGCGCAGACGTTGGCGCCCGTTATGCTGGCTAGATGAACAACGATTGCTGCTCAGTAACGATATAGATGTGAGAGTCTACTGCATGAGTCGGCATCGCTTTGAGTTTTGGAATCTCAATGAAGCGATAATCTCAGCGACAACTTTGGTTCGTCTAAAGAAACTCTAAAGAGTATTGAATTGTGTCTGATAGAGATGGTTGATTAGAAAGTTTTGATTGACTTAGTAATTCATATGTTCTGGTTTGTTGAATGAATCTATTGAGGGACAGAAAAGCCCGGAAGCATTTATGCATATCAGAGTCTCCTCCCCAGTCCCCACTCATGTTGTTGTTAGAAGAGCTAATTAACAAGTCCTTCATCACATCATAAGTAGCGTCTTTCACCAGAAAACGATGAAACACAATCCCTCCCTTGAAATACATTGAAATTTTATTTCCTTTTGTGAGCTAAAATGTCTTTGTTTGGATCACATCTCATCCGGTGCCCACAAATACTGGTAACTTTAAACCTAAGAGTGATGGCAGAATGCATATACTATTCAAGTAATTAAGGTTTGACAAGAAAAGGGCTATCTAACTGGAGCTTGTTGCGGGCTGATTTCTGCTGGCCATGCATCCTTCATTTCGTATCATTTTCCCTGGTAAATGGACTTATGCAATATGGTTCTCCTCAATCACTGGAGCCACAGCCCAACTTGAGAAGTTTCTTTTTTGTTCCACATCTTAAAGCTGGGAATGAAGGGCTATTGTCCAAATGCAAAACTGGTAACTCCATTGGGAAAAAGAGAAAAGAAAAAAAAAAAAAAAAAAGGTTGTTTGGTATGTGAGTCAATGAAATGTACATGTGCATAGTTTTGGGACCACATTTTCTACGAAATCAGTAAAACCAATGTGGTTGCTCTAAAGGGAGTAGTCAGTTTGGTCAACACTGAAGCAGAATTAGGTAGTCCTTTTTGATACACTGATGCCTGCCCGAAACCTTCTTCCATTTTGGTCACACCGTACTGAATTGCCCTCTATTGTTACTTGTTTCTCTGCTGTAAGGTTCTGGATTAGAAAATGGAAGATACCACGAGCATCAAGGGGTCACGGATATGACTAGCTGATGCTATTGTCGCCATTAATTACCATCCTGTAGACACCATCAAGGTTTCATTTTTTGAGCTCCTTTTTTATGTGCACCATTTTGGTGATGTTTGCAATCTCATTATCTAGTCAGTGAGGTTAGTTTTTAGTCATGCAATTAAGTTTCGTTTTGTAGATGAGAAATGCAATTAGGTCAGGGACCAGCAAGCTTCCTTAAGGTAAAACCGCAGCTTCTCTGTTCTACTGGTTTTGAAGAAAATTGAATAGTTATTGCCTGTGTAATTAATTTGTTCTTGTGTGTTGTTGGTGTCAGTTGTCACTGTGTGACTCTTTTGGAGTAGGGATTGTCTGCTGGGCTGCTGAGTTACAAGTTGCCCTTTCGGGTAAGAGTATCATACACTATCAGTTAATTGCAGAGATGAATCAAGGGAAACTGGACTTCAATTAGGAAGTTCATCAACATAATTCCCCCAGCTAGAAACAAAGGGCAAAACAGGTTTCTGCTGCAGAAACTGGATCCTTAATGATATATTTTGCTGTTCTTTCGAAATTGGTCTTGTGGAGTGGTGGCTATGAAAGAGTCTGCAGGATTTTCTTGCAAGTATAGGTTGTTGGAAGAAGATTATAAAGGCAAATTCTTTGATGCTGAAATCGAATGACAATTGCATTCATGTGTTTTTGTCTGATCAGGACATATTATTACTCTGTAATTCAGTCCATATTTACTACTAATTCATTTATACCCACGAAACAAACTTTGTTGTTTTTCAATAGGTCTTTGTTCGTGGGTTCAACTGGAGCTGATGGCAGCAGTACTAACAAGGTGAGTCCACTGTATCGAATACTCTTGAATGACCCTGACCTGATTGGCGATGCCATTGAAGCTCTTGCATCTAATCCAGCAGAACTAGCAATGACTCGAATGCAAGGCCATAGCAACCATTTAGCGTTTCATGCACTCCATCATACTGCCTCTAGTGAAGGAATTTTGGCACTCTGGAAAGGTGCTTGTTCTGGTGTGTTAAGGACAATGACCTTGAACTTCTGGTAGATGCGTCAATATCTTCACTGGTGAGCCTAATTTACTTCTCTTTTTTTCCTACATCCTGTCAGGCTAATGCCAATATGGTTCCTTTTCCAGTGACCTTGTTATATTGCCTGGGTTTCCATCGTCTAGAACTAGATTCTAATATATTCAAGCTCTCCAAAGACCTTTATCATGGAATGGATTTGTTTTCAGCCTGGACACTTGAAAGATGTCATGAAAGATGATTATTTTGAGCTGGATCAAGAGTATTGCATGCCCCTTTGATTTTACTTGTGCCGTGTACTCCTAGTTCGTGGCTTTCTAGTTTCAACTGAAGTGATGCTAAATTTATTGCATTTTTTTAGTTTTAAGAGGCGTACTTTTATAGCGAGTCTCTACCTTTATTTTATCTCGATGACTTTTATGATCGGATCCAAATGGGAAGATCGACTCATTGTGAACAAATACAAGTCTTTTCCTGTTCAGCTTGGTGTGGTGATCTTAACACTACATGGTACTTATTTTCCCTTTTTTTTTTTTTGTCGTTGTCCAATTTGAGTTTTCATTTTTAGTACAATCTGTACTAAAATTGAAAATCCAAACTGAACAATAATTCTGAGACAATAATCCAAACTGAACACTCCAAATGAAATTATTAATTGGAATACTTTTGTTATTAAATTTATTATTTTTATTGAAATACTAACGAAAATCTGTCAAATTGGATGGAAATTGGGCTAATTAGACAAATTGACCGATAAAAATAAAAATAAAATAATCATAGATACGGATATAGGCTAACCAAAAGTCAATGGGATAGGATGGGACAAAACAAACAAAATTTGGGATAAATCCGCCAATTTTTCTCTTACCGTTCTGCATGCTAAGCTGATTTCTATTCAACTTGGTGTGGTGACTTAGTCCATAAGCACATATTTTTCTGCTATAATTCAACCTTAGCAGTGTGTAATTAATCAACCAACCTTACCTCAGTCATGCTAGCTTTTATCTCTTCTTCCAAACAGCCACAGGTTGTTAATTAAGGGGGAAATAAAGTTTACACGAATTATTAATTGAAGATAAATTTCCGTGCATCAATGATGCTATATAAGATGAGTGTTACGAAGCTACACTTTAAAGCAAGAATAACCATCAGGAAATTGAGCTTTCCTCAAAACAAGAATGGTGGTAACAATGGCATCATCAACTAAATCACCATAATTTCCTTTTTAGCATGCATTTAATTATAAAACTTATAAATACAGAGTACATCCAACTAAAGAAGTCACCCCACTCCAATCCTATAAAACCATTCCCAGCAGCATTTCCACAAACCACCTCGAGCCTTTTGACATGGAACCCAAATTAAAATTCCCTTAAAAAGATTCGGAGATCCAATGGTGGTTCTGCCTTTGCACATGATGATCAACCGGTGCTAGCCATTGACTCAATTAAGAGCTGGTAACCTTCAGGAATAGCTGACTGCGTCCTTACACACTCTGCTAATGCAGGTACATCGCCATTAACATCCAAATACCTAGCTACTAAGAGAAGGAGATGGAAATCAGCAATTCGCTTCCAATAGGGGAGATTCTTTGATTGATTTAGATGGCTTTTCAACGCGCCCATGGTGACGGAAATCATTCTGTTCTCAATTGGAAATGTTGATGAAAGCGGACCCTGGAGCACAAAATAAAACATGCCACATGAGAGAAGCTTTGAGATGCAAATAGTATGAGATAATCATTAGAGAACTTGTAACCCTTAACCAAACTAACAACCCAAGAAGTTACACAAAGTAAAGTGGACACACATACCGAAAAAACAAATTGGACTGAATAGTTGATCAAGTAACCAAAAAAACAAATGAAGGACTACTTGGCTATAGTGGTGCACAATGCAGCCACAGCCGTAAGACATCAGAAATTCAAAATCCAAAAACCCCGATGCAGACATCAATGCTACAAGGATAAATGTGTTTGGCTAATATCAAAAACGCATCAGGCTTTTCCCAATTAAACCTTAATTCCCTGTTTCTTTTCAGTTGGACTTTAAGCATAACATGTATTCGATTTCCACAATCTGAAAGCACCACCATGTCCTAGTCCAAGGCCATCTACATGCCAGGGACAAAATTATGTCCATGTAAGGAAGTATTAAGTGCAGCACAGAGCTTAAATCATGACGTGGTGGCAGAAAGAAAGAGCCTTGTTTCCATGTGTGTATTAGATTTAGACAGACTATACACTGAACCAGGACACATTAAGAAAACTACTAAGCATTAAGGAAAATCATTAACGCTGAAGGTCCACAACGCTCTCGAAACAGAACAACAACAAAAACAACAAACAAATAGGCCTCTATGTGAACAATCTAAAACTAGGACAGCAAAACCTGTACTTTCACCTGGCTCAAGAATTCAATTTTTGGGCAAAAAACTATATAGGTACTACAGATTCTCTCCTAAACAAACAATTATTTTGCAAATTCCAGCTCAATTTGGATTTACTTATCAAAGCCAACATCATACGCATGCAAAACCAGATAAATAATTTAAGTATAACTTCAAACTAAAAGAAACAAAGTTGTAACAGGTATAGAGCCAACTAGAAGGCAGAAAACAGAAAGATCACAACTTTAAAACAATTTATAACAATAACTTCAGGAAAAAGGTAAACCAGACATACCTGATGATCGGCAATCTTGACCACCACCAAGAAGAAATCATTATCAACTTCCCTAGTATCCTTCCCACCGACGACAACATCCTTGTTCATCTTAGAAAGCTTAGGATCAGCTCCTTCTTCAACCTCTTTCTCAAACCACTCTTCCTTGAACAACTTAATACACAAGTCACTCATCTGAAACGCCTCAAAATGCACGTTGTAAGACCCATCCTCCTCATTCACCTCCATCTTCACCACTGCTGTAACCCATTCCTTCAGATCACCCTCTGCTTGGAGCTCCGCCGCTTGCAAAATCTCCTTATTCGACATGGTATAATCCTTCTTATCCTGACTAATCGTTTGGGTGAATATAAAACCTACTCTCCTCATCCCAAACCCCAAAGCTAGTGCTTCCACTATTCGTTCTTCGTCCGGATCCCGCATAAGAAGTAAATTATCCTCCGTCCCTTGCTGTGGCGGCTCGTAGATAAAATTCACCTCCACTTTACCCTCCGGCGACACCGTTCCGTACATTAACCCTCCGCGCTTCACTGCAAAAGCTAGAGTTTCATTCACGTAATGCTGAAAGGCGTTGGCGCTATCTCGATCGAAGGAAATCAACTCGCAATGGGGATTCTCTTGCCGGGTAATCCGCATTTGTTTGGCGATCAAATCGTCCATAGTCATCTTCTTCCCGAACGAACCCGCCGGCGTAACCGGCGGAGCTCCGGCAACGGTGCGTTCGCCCTCGTAGGCGAGATAAACAATGGAGCCGTGGGTCAGATTCAAGGAAGAAAGTAGGGTTCGAGGATTGGACATGTCAGTGAACCGGGCAACGTCTTCTAGGGTTTTGGCCAGTAACAGATTTTGATTGGTGGAGAGGATTTGGGATTGGATTGGAACCCGGAGCTCGGATTCAATCAAAGACTTGAGATGATCGATGGTGGCATTCGGGTTGTCGATTTTGACCCGCTCCAGCCCATCTCTGCTACGAATCCTGAGCATCATCTTGCCAAAGATTTCACCTTTTTCTCCTTTTTCTCACTTCTCTTAAGTACTAATCTTGACTGTTAAATAAAATTTCCGGAAGAACAAAAAATAACTTTGATTGATGCTAAAAAGTTTTCTGAGTTGGGGGCTGTATATATATATATATATATATATATATATATATATATATATAAGGATGGATTAGGAGGGATTAGAAATTTAGAATTAGCGAAAACTGATGGGATTCTGGAATTAAAAATTAGGGAATAAAGTAATTTGGGAATCAGAAGAAGAAAAGGATTTGAGGAAATTATGAAATAGGAATATAACTTGGAAAGCAGGAAAAGGGAAGTAAAGAATGAGATTACAAAAGATAGGTGGTGGTTTTCGTGGACTCTTTTGTAAGTTGGCGTACCAGCACAGAAAGTACTAGACTCTGCTTCTTCCTCTTCTACGGTGACAAAACAAAATTACTCCATGTAAATTCTTCTCCCAGTTTATTTACTCCTATCCCCTTTTCTTTTTCAAAAAAAAAAAAATTTATTTAAAAAAAAAAATAAAAAATAAAATTCTTGGTATTATTATTATTATTATTATTTGCGTTATGAAACAGTTATTACAAACTTTCTTAATTTTTTTGCTCGCAATTTATTAAAATAGTAGATTGTATTGATATAATCGCTAGAGAAACAAGGAACCTCAAGTTTCATAGTTAAAACTGATTCAAATGTACTCCTTTAATTTTTTCATCAAAACTTCACCAATATTCAGGGCAAAAAAAAAAAAAAAGGAAAAAACTCTTGTTTTGAGTCTTGTCAAACTGTACCTCAGACTTCGGAGTATGGCCTGAATAAGAAATGGACCTTATTGGACTAACGAGAATTAAATTCTACGAGGGTTTGTATAACATACGTTGATTCATCAATTGCATCATCAAAATCACAACAAAAACTCTCTAAGCAAAAGCTAATATCACAAGATCTTGCATGGCATATATTGATTGGCAAAAGATCTTTGGCATTATAATCTTATACTCCCTTCGTCCCATAATTATTATCTACTTTGTCCAAAAAATTTTGTCTCAAAATTATTGTCCAATTTGACTTTTTATGGATCGAGTTACACATTTGTCCTTAGTAAAAAAACATTATCCATGAAATCTTAGTGGTTAAACAATTACTTATGTAGGGGTATATCCGGTTGTTTAAGGTAAAATATACTTAAGTTTGACTAAAAATAAAATCTTTCATTTTAATAAAACTGGACAATAATCATGGAACGAAGGGAGTACCATTTATTACATCACTCACCAACATCTTGAAACATTATCCCGACAGATTCATCTAATGATAGATTAGGATATTAGTAAAATCTTAAAACAAAAAAAAAAAGAAAGCAATAATTGAATATAGTTTTATGATAACTTTCATATGGTGATTTATATTTTAGAAGTATTGTGGAATTGTGGTGTAATTATGATTGAATCATTAAAAAAATAAAAAAAAATAAAAAAATTGTCCAGATTTCACTTCCTTGTTTCTTGTCTCCAAAACCTGAAAAATTATTATGTACAACAGTTATATCTTAATTTTTAGTGCAGCAAGTATTATCACTCCCTATTTTAATGTTATAATTCCCGTAAAAGTTATCTCTTTCCCTCAAAATTACTATTTTACCTTATTGTTTGTGTCTGGCTGCACAATCTTAGGTCTGCACTGGATAATTTCTCCCAAAACCTGTCCCGTTTCAAAAAAAACATGTCCCATTAAATTACTGATTACTTTCAACTTGTGACAGATCGTCTGTCCACCCTTCCTCTATCTTACCATGTCTAGGACTCCAAGGACGTCGCTTCACAAGAAAAAGGCTGATTGCACTTGCTCTTTTGCTCTTTTTTGAGTTTTTCAGAGTCTTTTACATCAAAAATATCTCTTCAAAACCCTTTTGTTGTTGCGGTTAACCGCCGACTAAATCTTTCCACCCTTCTCTTCAATCCATCGATGCGGATTTCAGACCTTTCTAATGTACAAAATTGAGATTTTAAAGTGGGGAATCGCACAACCCGACCAATTTTGAGTTTGGGAGAAGGTTTTATTCAGTTTCTTTTGTTTTTGGTTTAAGGTCTGATCATATATCCCTTTCGATTAATTCCAAATGGAAAGGCTGTGATTCACAAGAGATCTTTTGGCTTCGTTGATTTTCAGAAATTGTGACATTCTTTGTGGTATTTTTGTGAATTTTGAGGTTTTGGCTATTATTTTGGATAGAAAACTGCATAAGATTGGTTCAGCTTAAAATTTTTGGATATGTTCTTGAATCTCTTTGTTTGGATGGTTTTGATTCTTACGCTGCCTGGAAACACTCCGAGGGATTGAAAGTGAAAGATTCCAGAGATTGGAGGTGGGTTTGAACACAATAAAGAAAATATTAAATTAATTTTTTAAGACCGTAAAAAACACATCAATAGACTTCAACAAAACCTGGGTAAAGATGATATTCTCATATGCTGAAGTAGAATTCGAATCTGGATGAGAAACATCTGCCGCGCTACTAATGTATCCGGAAAGGGACTAAGGGAGATTATGCAGAAGTCACTTTTTAGAATGAATATATGATTGAGGAGGTTCAGACTTCAGAGAAAGGAGAGTGGGCAAACAAAATTTCGAAAAGCCTTTTTGGTCGCACAATGACACCGTTTAGATTCCTAGACAGGGTAAGACAGAGGAAGGGTGGACAGACGATCTGAACTCCTCTTTTTCCTACTACAACGATTTGAATTTTGAACAGTTTTGAGGCTGCTAAACTTGATAGGGCCCATGGACCATCTGGTTAGGCACTTGGAGGTTGGAACTAAAGGTTTTCTCTTCCAAGCATGCAGACCACAATCAAAAACTGTTCTTTATTGAGTTGGGCTTAGGCCCAATTAGTTCCAATCATTTTAACTTTTGTTAATAACACCATGCTTGAGGTTGATTTTTAATCGATGGCAATATGATATGATGACCTTTGTCTCTCTTTTTCTTTGAAGCGGATGACCTTTGTCTCAAGAATTAGTTAACGTGCAAAATTAAGCTAATGGTTTTGTATAACATACTCTCTTTGTCCTAAAATTATTGTCCAGTTTGAGATTTCATTTTTAGTACAATTTAAATTAAAGATGAAAATCTAAACTGGACAATAATTATGGGACGGAAGAAGTACTTTAATTGAAATTATTCAGTGACTACTCTCTTTTTTTTTTTTCCCGCTTTTGGCTAAAGAATAGAACAATGATGGTAGCGGCTGATTCCGAACCGAACTTTTGTGTTTTTTTTAGTTTCTTTAAACTTCCTCAATATAACGGTTATGATTTTGGAGTGTTGTGCACTTTCTAAATCACTTTTTGATAGCTAGTAATAGCCAAATCGTTAGGAAAGCAAGACAGAAAGGAAAAAAGAAGTCAGTGTAAAAGAAAAAAAAAAAAAAAAACCTATACAAATGTACCAATGCCACAAAACAATATGACAATATGTACTTGACGAGTAGTGTACATACAGTATACGGCGAAGTTGGCGGGTTTTTTTCTCCATTTTCTTTAAAACAATATTATGTTACACTTTCCTTCTAAAATGAATGTGTGAAATTCTGTATGGAGTATATTATACTTTCTCCACTAATATCTTTACATTAAAAAATTATGTTTAATGTAGAATTGTATTAGAAATAAATATCACTGAGACCGTCATGTATTAAGAATGAATGAGAGTATTACAGTGGGTATTATAATATTTTAAAAAGATGATTATTGACTTCTTAAAGTTTATGAAATCTTTCAAACGATATTTATTTGTGAATAGTTGGAGTAGTTAAAATGATTTTGGGAATGAGAGAATGAAAGAATGAAAAATTGGTGATACTAGAAATAGTCAAAAACTGTTTATCAGAGTGGAGTGCTAGTACTAGTAGTATTTGGTTAGCCTCCAAAATCATTAAATAAGTTTTGAGGTAACCGAAGAAGCCACAATCAATGTTTGCTGACCGACTTCATTTTGGGTAGTTGACTAGTGTTTTTGAGTTTTTAATAGAGCAATCTGCGTGCATATATCCTAACAAATCGATTATAGTAGCACTAATTAATAAGCTCGAGAAATCCAGCATTAAATAATTGAACGTCCATGTAACGCTTTATTTGTTACAGACCGATAATCGAAACTCGAAAATCGAACCGTAGATAAAATAAATATGGTGTTTTTAGTTTCTTCTTTATTGCCCTTATCAATCTAGGCTTACATTATGAAAACGTGGATAAAATAAATAAACTTAGAGGAAAATGGAGGAAATGGCAGACATTTACGCATTACAAATTGATTATTTTCGTTTAAAAAATAAGGACAAAAGTAAAAAATACAAAATGACGAATTTTAAATTCATGGAACCAAAAATTTGAATTACGTCCATATATATAAAATACGCGAGGGACCAATACATATCTTGACAAAATGATAGTAAAATAAATTTTAAAATCCTCCAAAATTGTTTTTGCCCTTGTCTATAATGTTCACGAGCACGCCAAGCCATCAAAAGCAAACAAGAAAAACTTCTAAGTACTATGGGAAATATCGAAGCTGTCTTTTTTTTTTTTTTTGGTTGGGTAACAAAACCCCCACTCGCCAATCATTCCTCAGCATTATTCACCTCATCTACCCAATCTAGTGATACACATCGAACATTATACAAGAAATAGAATAATTATTTTAAAACAAAAAATACAGTATTTACAAATATACATTAAATGGATCAATAAAGATTTCACAGTGTCACCGAAAAATTTTACTCCCTCTGTCCCAAAATTATTATCCAGTTTGAGATTTCACTTTTAGTACAATTTTCACTAAATACGAAAAATTAAGCTGGACAATAATTATGGGACGCAGGGAGTATAATTAAAGAAAATCGACAAAGTTTACCTGGTAAAAAGAAAACAAAGTATATTTAAAATATTGTAGCTGTGTTCAACATCAATTACGTAGGTTCTTGAGATTTTTTTTCGTATTAGATCGTCATTTGCAAGAATATTTCAGTAGAGTGATGAGAGTGAAAAGGAGGGAAATTATTAGATAAAATTTGCATTAGTAAGAGTGATTAGTGATGCGGGAAAATCTCACTATATTTATTAACTAGTACTAGTATATTCGGTAGTCATCTAAAACGTACAACTAGCAATTGTTAACTTAAATTTGTGACAAAAAAAAGCAATAAAGTTAAATTAATTTTAAAAAAAGAATACACTATCATTCAGTCTCTTTCCCTCTAAAAAAAAAAAAAAAAATCAATTTTATTTTTTTTCCCTTTCTTCTTCTCCTCCTCCTCCATTTTTTTTCCAACGGCGAAAGAAATGAAATTGTCTACTCCAGTTGACCCCAGTGGCGAAAACGTAAATAAATGAAAAAGCAGGAGGCCAAATCTGGAAAAGTAGGCCAACCAAAATTTGAAACGAGTGGCCGTTTGAAAGTCTTTTACTCTGGTAGTCTGAAGTCTGTACCTTTCTCTCTCCCACACAGTCTAAAATCAGATTAAAGAATACGAAAAACTCCAAAAAAAAAAGTTTCGAAGTTCAAAAACCTTCCTTAAATACTGTACTACTACTACCAAGATGCAAAGAGAGAGAGATTCACGTTACACTTATTCATTGTCTTAAATTAATCTTGACTCTTCTTCAGTCTTCTTCATCCCTCCCATTCATTAGATTTTGATTTTTTTGAGGGCTGTTTCCTTTGGATTTACTCTTTAATGTAGTTATTGATTGGGTCAACTCAACCAACTGGCTCCAATCTTTTAACTCACTCAACATCTAATTTTAGAATTTTTTTAAAAAAGATTGTATTTTTTGAAGACCCTTTTGGTTTGTGGTTTATATCTGAGTGGAAATGACGGGGATGGTGATGGTGTCAAAGGGAATGGGCTGCGGTGGCGGTGGTGGATTTGCTAAGCCGGCGGCCAGAGGCGGCGGTGGTGGTGGAGATGTTGAGGAGGATGAGAGGCAGCAGGTGTCATTGCTGGAGCTTCTGCTGGCGGCTCTGAGGAAATCAATGGTGTCTTGCCGGGTGGATCGGCAGGAGGAAGCCGCTATCTCCGCCGCTGTCAACTCCATGGAAATCGGGTGGCCCACCAACGTTCAGCACATAACCCACGTGACTTTTGACCGCTTCCATGGATTTCTGGGTCTTCCTGTGGAGTTTGAGGTTGAAATCCCCTGTAGAGTCCCCAGCGCCAGGTCTTTCAAATTCCCGTACTTTTCAAAATCCCATCTTTTTTTTTTCCTCTTCCCTTTAATGTCTCTGTTCCTCGTAATGTTTAGCTTTTGGATTTTCATCCGCACCATTTTTGTCTAAAGATCTGTGAGATATTAAGACCTGTGAGATATTTACGGTTTGTATTGGAGATTTGCGTGAGATGTTACAAAGCTTTACTTGTTAGTACTTACTGTGTTAAATTTGGATGATTGTAGAAAGGTTTTGTGAAAAGTTTACTAGTTGGCTCTGTTCTATGCGAGGAGGAATTATCTTCAGGCGTATTGGTTGCTCAGGATTTTAAGTATTTTCAAAAAATTTCTACTTGTATACTGGCTTAGAGCTATATGATCCATGTAAAAAATGATCTCTTTTATGCTAAATATCTCATTAACTAGACTAGGAAAAAGGCCATGTGGAGTTGAATTTCCAGGAAATTTTGGTGTTCTGCTGCACTCCCCAACCTTAACCAACCCTATGAATGATTTCCCTTCCTTTTCTTGTCTGTTTGTTTTTGTCTTTTCAACATTCAAGGATCTTGTCTGGTGTTGTCTTTCCCGAATGTCCAAACTTTTCTATAGAATCTTCTTAAGAAACTGTTGATGAAATTTGACTAGTGGGAATTATAGGATTCTTGGAGTCCAATCTTTACTGTTCGGAATTGGTATGGATGAATTTGACACAACAAGAATAATTGTCAGTTCTTTATTGGGATTATGAAAATCAAGTTAATGATTGTACACTTGTACTGTTTAATAGATGTGCTGGGTAGAGTTGAGTTGGTCCCTTCACTTTTTTTTACATGAAAGGGTCACACACTTCTTTGTATGATTCACTAATCAAAGTCTGTTCTTAATTTTCCATCAACGGCCAAATTTTGTTGCCCAAAAATATGATAATATCTAAGGGTTTAAGTTTTTTTGTCCTGCAGTGTCAGTGTATTTGGAGTGTCTGCTGAATCAATGCAATGTTCCTATGATGCAAGAGGGAACAGTGTCCCAACGATTCTCCTATTGCTGCAGGAAAGGTTGTACTCGCAGGGCGGCCTGAAGGTAAACTAATCGCCTTGTCAAGATCAAAAGAACAACATAATTGTTGTTAACGGCAACTGGAAAGATACCTATCATAACGTGTGAAATTTTCTCACCATATAGGGTTCTTGTAGAGATTTAGTTTACCAAAGACTCATGAAATAATCTTATTTGTACAGGCAGAAGGGATTTTTCGTATAAACCCTGAGAACAGCAAAGAGGAGCATGTTAGGGACCAGCTCAACCGTGGCAATGTACCTGATGACATTGACGTTCATTGTTTGGCTGGTCTGATCAAGGCCTGGTTTCGAGAGCTACCATCAGGCGTGCTCGATGGACTCTCTCCGGAACAGGTCCTGCAGTGCAACACGGAAGAGGAATCCGTTGAGCTTGTGAAACAACTAAAACCCACTGAAAGTGCATTGCTGAATTGGGCAATTGATCTCATGGCTGATGTTGTTGAGCATGAGGAGGAAAACAAAATGAATGCCAGGAACATTGCGATGGTTTTTGCCCCAAATATGACTCAGGTATTTTCCTCTGCTGCCTTGTCATTTCTGTTTTACTCTACCAAATGGGAAGTCCTCACTGTTACATGAATTGGCTGTAATCATTTCCTGTGGGAAAAGCCATCCTTCTCTGAATAACTAATGTCGTTAAACATTATCTACAATAGTGCTCTGTTAGATAAGAAAGTACTTGGTAAATACTGATAACTCACTGATACAGTAAAGTATTTTCAAAATCTGAAACTGATTGCATAATGGTTCATCATCCAACTAAACAGTTTGATTTGCTTCTGCTATTTGGTCGTCAGATGTCTGACCCGCTGACAGCACTGATGCACGCTGTTCAAGTCATGAACTTGATGAAGACCCTCATCATGAAAACCTTGAGGGAGCGCGAAGAGACTGTAACTGAAGGGTGCTCACCTATGTCGTCCTGTTCATCAGACAGGGCTGCTGCTGATGGTAAACAATTTGGTAGCCTACACGATGATGAATTGATGGATGCAAGTTGTGAATCAGCTGGTCCTGCTACTGATGATGATGACGATGATGAGCCTGGCCGTTACAGCCACAGCAGCGACGAAAAAGATGAGATTGAATCCTTGAGTGATATTGAAGAACGTTTCCTGAGGCAATTGGATGAGAATGAAAACGCAAAGAACGGGTTCAGAAAGCAGTTGGCTGGTATTTTATGCGGTGATCATGGCAGTCCTTTGACTTTCAACGGAAACTCTTCTCTCCTGACTTTGTCGTACAGTAAAATGGGGAATTCCAGCTTGAGCTCCAGCGATGATGAGGAAGAAGAAACAAGTCCTACGCCAGCAGTTCTCAGAAATGCTAATGATGTTGCAGATGATTGATGAGAACAAGGTGGAATCGGCAACTTTAACGCTTCCTGAACCTGTCTGATTTGATTCTAGCGTCTTTAACACAAACTAGGAGATACGGCATGGTTTATTTCACTGCTACATTTAGCTCCTCTTTTGTATATGTACATCATCATGTGAGTTAGGTTATGGTTAGAATGAGGAGTGGTTTGTGCTACTTATTAGTTTCTCTTCTGGTTGGTTTGGAATGGTTCAGCTTGGGGCTGAACTAAATTTTGCTTTGTAGAAAAGCACCTAACTTTAGACTAAACGGTGTGTGTGGTTTGACCAGAAAGAAAAAAAGATGTCGGTCTTTTGGCATTGCTGAAAATGCAGACCCTGAAAAGTCTGAATTTAAATGTTCTGTGCAACTTCAAACGGATATGGGTTGCCTTTAAAGTAGTAATGTAGTAAGTCCAGTAATTGCCCTGAACTGCCTTTCGTCCTTTTACTAAATGCTTCTTACATCATCAGCTATATGAATAACATATCGGTCTTCAGTCCAAACACATGTTTTGATTTAAGTTGAAATCTTCAGTTTAGTACAAGAGGAAAATAGAGCTGTTTTTACTCTTTTTTCTTCTTGGTTTTTTTTTTTTTTTTTGTTTTTTGGTTGACATTTGACTGGTGACGGATCTGGCCATTCCGATTTCCAATGGATATCGTTTGTAAGTTTCAGAAAAAACACTTGTGGTTTAGGGGTGTTCTTCATTGGAGTAAAAGTAGATTTCGTATTAGATCCGGTTTCCCAACTCCCAGGCTCCTTCCTCATGCGGGGAGAAACAATTTTTTTCGAAAAAAAAAATGGTACAAGCATTTGGTCCATTTTACTTTTTTTTTTCCCCCTTGTGAAAGAAGGATTTTAATAGAAAAGCTAAGGAATTACAATGTTTCTAGGGTGTGCCACCCCTATTATATCATTACAAATAAAATGTAGAATTCCTGGTGGTGGCGAATCTAGTCTATGAAATCTCCTAAATTTGACGCTGCCAGTGAAGCCAAATAATCAGCCGGAAAATTGTGGTCCATTTCATGTTTCATGTTTACGAATGTTGTAAAATTTTTCTTACCACCAAGGCACCAACCAGTATATTAGTTACCTCTGAAAAATGAAAAGTGGTAGCATACTTTAGTCAACCACAAGTCCACAGCTAAAATTCTTTATATGCGAAAAAGCAGAGCCCTTTCCTAGAATTTTGTTTTTTTTTTTTTTTGGTTAGGGAATGAAAACTCGAAGTGCACTAACGAAAACACCCTTACTTAATCCAAGATTTTTATTTTTTTTTTTCTCTTTGACGAAAAATGATCATTACAAATTCTCACTATCGAGTACATCAATCTAAACATTTGAATAAAGAAGTAAAGAACGACTAATTAACATAATGAGTTCAAGAATTACCCACCACATTTAATTCTAGTAGACGTTATAGAGCCTAAATCAGCAAATGTTTTCAACTTTTCATGCTTTGTCGTATAGACTCCGGGCATCATTTTCCAAACTAAAGACGCTGAAACGGAAAAGGGCGAAAAGAAAATATAGCCCTATCTAATACAACCGTAAATGAACAGGCTTCTACAGTTTTACCAACTGACCGGACCCGGCGGAATATCCTTCAAATGGGAAGGTGAGACTGACCCGACTCCCATGCATATATGACTAAGAAAAAAAGAAGAAAGAAAAGTGCAAAAGGTGTGCTTAGCAGCTGCCCGTTTCAAGAAAAAGTAAAAGAAATGCTCCTCAAAATTCAAGATTTTGTTGGATTAAGACTTTGTCCTTGTGACATTAATCTTCACATGGATACTTACATTTGTCGGCACTTGATAAAAAAGTTTAGTATTGGGATGTATAACGTTGTAAGTTTCTTTTGGAGACACAAAATATGACCCCAAAAAAAGAAAGAAAGAAAAAAGGTGCAATTTGACGATGAACAAACTATTCACCTTTGATTATTACCATTCCCGTTTGTTTCGTTACTTCCACTTTCAACTACATCAAAGTCCAAAATTCTCCGTTTTAATATCATCAAGTAGTTCACATCAAATGTGTTTGAAACGACTGAAATATACTCCCTCCGGTCCTTAATATAAAATATTTTGATTTGTTTTAAATTTAATCTAACTAATTAAATATAAAATATTTTGATTTGTTTTAAATTTAATCTAATATTTATTTTTAATTAGTAAAAAAAAACCTTAAAAATATTTTATAATAACAATCAAGAGAACACAACGAATGTAAAAATATATTTTTAAGATTTTTTTGTCAATTAGAAATGCGTACTAGGTGAAACCTAAGACACAATCAAAATGTCTTATATTAAGGACTGGAAGGAGTATTTCTTTCAATATTTAAAATAAATGTTTTCGTTAATCGGGTTACATAAGAGCAGTATCAATGACTTTGATTAAATTTTTTTTTTCGTCTTGCAGAGTGTCCACTGTCGCCAACAGTGTCTAAAGTCTAAACCTTTCGCTTATGATAGGCACCTCAATGGTGGGAGAGTTGGTTAAAGAATTTAAGGTTGCTCTATGACCATGGCGAAATTCCCATCGATCTGTGGTTAAGGACGGAGGAGTTCTTAACACTCTACCACAACTTTTTTGATTGGATTAATTTATTATTTAGTAATTCAAAAAACAAATTATAACCTATTGTTAGCATTTTTATTTTTTTTTGGTCACTTCGTATATGTGACACGATAACGTACAAAAATGTTAACTACAAAATGTGTGACACGACATTTTGTAGAGGTGATCATCTGAATTTGAAACTCGACGGGTGAGTGGCCTCATTTTTTATAGGCTTTCTTGGGACAGTATCCCGATATCCAAGATTGGTAGCTTCTGCTTTTTGGTTGGTCTTTGGCATTAATATTAATTTAACACACCCAATCAAAGAAGAATATTATGCTTTAACGATGAAATTTTGAGATCAATCATAAATGGAAATTAATTAACCCATAAGGTTTGGGTTAGTGGAATGCATGATTGAGAAAGAGCGCAATTTGTTGAAAGTCAGTTAAAAAAGGAAGATCTCACATCTAGAAGAAGAGGAAGAAAGACAATCCAGATCAGAAACACACACACAAATGACAAAACTTAACACAAACTCTAATCTTCCATCGAATCATGCATGAAGCCTAACGAACATTGATTTGGACAAAATTACATCTAGAAGCCGACGAGATTATAATTAACCCATAAAAAGAGTTTTAACATATTTCTGGTTCACTTGCTTATCGGATTCGGTAGCTGCCTCTTTGTGGTATTCACGACACAATCAAAAACCAAATTGACAATTCCATTTCTAGAAACCGACCCAACCTTGCATTCTCATGTCATGGCGCAAAACCATTACTAATTAAATTAACCTTTTAGATGATTTAATTGCTATTTTTATGATTTTTTTTCCCCGTAACTCCACGAAATAAAACCACATATATGGAAAGACGTTATGTGTTGGTGCTAAGGTAACGTCTCTCTCGTTTAGAATTGATGTAAGCACTGAGTTGATTCCGAGAGCATCTGTAACTATTACACTATAATTTACACTAAATTTAGTGTACGAATGAAATATTTCAAGTAATATTTTTTTACACCAAAATTCTTTACACTCCAACATTGATGCACTAACATGTCTATCTATTAAATAATTTAGTTTAAAGTTTATTTTTGTAATTAACTAAAATCACGTAATTTGGTGATAATTTTGTGAAATTTGTTCTTATAATCGCTTTTTATTTGGTTGTAGAAGTATCAAATTCTTTTACTTTTTTTTTCATATTCAATTTTAATAATAACTAAAATGTATTTTTTAAAAAATAAAAATTTTATATTCAATATAGGTCTTATTTTAAGGATCTCAACAAAATATTTAATATGATATAATTTTTATTACATAATTCGTTTTACAAGTTTAATTGCATAGAAAATATATATTCAGATCTAAGTAAAAAGATAATGCACTAAATATAATGTTATGGACAATTTACACCAAATTTAGTGTAACACGATTTATTGCACTAAAATAGTGTAGTGATTTAATGTATTCGTTGGAGTGAAACTTTACACTAAAATACCAAATTTAGTATTTTGGTATCTTGGTTGAAGATGTTTTGAGTAATATCGATGGAGTAAATTATCCGTCCCCCAAATAATAATAATAAAAAAATGAAACCCTATAACACAACAAGTTTTGTATTTTTGTGTATCAATGAATTCGACATTCTTTAAATAAAAATAGTTGTTACATGTTATCTTCTTGTTGTTATAATTCATGTATAACACACGTGTATAAGTATGTATTCTATTCAATAGTTTAGCAGATTACTTTAGTTCATACATAAAAGAGTAAGGATTGGTATTTGAAAAAAATGAAAAAGACTCATCCATTGTTAAAACTTTCCAAACAATGTTTATGTATTTAAGGTTAGGACATAATTAAGATTTTGACACATCATTTATTGTCATTTTTCCTTGTTATTTTTTCATTGTACTTATTACTACTCTACATACAATATATGTTCATTTCATAATATTGTACTCTCAATTCACATTTTTCATACATACAATACTAAAATTGAAGATTCAAATAAAATAATTATTTTGAGGCATGAAGAATATTTATAATTCATATCATACAGTGACTATATACAATATGGCTATATACTACATTCTCTGTCCTAAAATTATTGTCCAGTTTGAGATTCCACTTTTAGTACAATTTAAACTAAAAATGAAATCCCAAACTGGACAATAATTATGGGACGGAGAAAGTAATATACTGTAGTAACGTCATTTGTACCCAAAAAAAAAAAGAAAAAGAAAACGAAAGAAAAAGGAAAAACTATAGTAACATCATGACAGTCGCATGATTGCGTATCCGTTAGGCAGAATATTGAATTCAAGATATATAAAGAAAAATTAAAATGATGAAAAACCACACACAAAAAAAGAAGCAAATATGTATTGTAAATTATACGTACATATGCAGTACAGTTTTGATTATTTTGCTGGGGTCAGAGGTGAACCCTCCTTTCTGTACAATTCCAGCTAATTAAACCTGATGACGAATTGAGACGATGAGGACGATGATATTTTCATTTGAGAAAAAATCCGACTAACAACAAATTAACCAAACCGGCCGGAGAAATTGAAGAAGGGAAGCAAAGCACTATTATTGGTGCTCATGTTCTTCAACTCCCACCCCCAAAAAAAAAAAAAAATTATCCTAAAAAATGGAGGAAGTTTTTAGAATGTATTGAAGAAAAAAGAAAAAAAAATGGTAGTTGAATGAAGAACTTAATTGAAGTTCAAGAGGACAAACAGGATTCCCAGAAAAGCCGATCCGTATCCCTTTGATGATTCATCATTATCAACTGATCAGCTGGCTTCCGCCCACAACAAGCCGCCTGTTTTCTCATAACTCCTCCTCCTCCTCCCGGCGGCTGCTTCTCCGGCCGCCGTCGTCCGCCAATCCCGTTACTATTATTCCTTACCCCGCCGCCGCCGCCAGGATTCCGAACTTGATCGACAACATCCTCATCTTCATCTTCTTCCCCCTCATCATCATCATCATCTTGGTAAATGCAATTCGGGTCAGGATATCGGGTTGATCGTTGCCCATTTCTCTGCTCAGCTTCATTATCATTATTGTAATCTGGGCTACTAGTAGAGCAAGAATCTTCATCTTCAAAAGGTTTGCAGATTTTGTCGTTGATGCAACAAGATATGGCGTCATCTTCAGCGAAAGTAATAGTAGTAGTTCCGGCGGCCGCCGCCGCCAACGGCGGCGGTGACATCATCATCGGCGCCTCCCTGGTGCCGCTGTTTTTACAACTAGGAACAGCGCAACAACAAGTACTCATACCAAAATCAAACTCTGAATCCCCGGTGTCTTCCACCAGCATCCATGGTGAAATGTCAACATAATTCCTCCCACCATTATAATCCATTTCAAGAATTAGCTCCGAGTAAATTCAATCAGTTGAACAAGTATTTATACATATATATCTATGTCAAGATATTTATGATCAAAAAGATTCAAGAAGGGAAAGAAAAGTATAGGGAGAAAAAGGGGTGGGGTGGAAAATCTTTGAAGACTTTAAATAACCCCCTTGTTTGGATTTGGAAGTAAAAATAGACTAAAACCAAGTTTGAAAAAAGGGGGAGTTAAGTAAAGTTGAAAAATGAAGTAAAAAAAAAAAGGAATTAAAAAAAGCCTTTTAGCTTAAAATTTTGAAGACCAAGAAAGGAGGCTTAAGTTAATAATGATGGATGAAGACAATTTCAGGGATCAATGAAAGAAGAAGAAGAAGAAGGATGAAAAGAAAATGGTGAGATTCATTGTAATCTTGTAACTTTAGCCTGTATTTTGGCTGTCTTTGTTTGACGCTTGGAATGGAAAAGAAGGGGAGAGCATGATGGGTTTTTCGGTCTTTATTTTATAGTAGTAGAATCAAATTGATTGATGGTATTACTATTAATAATAATTACCCAAAAAAAAAAAAGAAAAGGAAAGGGACGTCTAATTTGGCATATTATTTCCTCATCAACTAATAAAATGGAACACTAATGGCATTATTTTTGGTTGTTGAACTTGAACCATTGAAAGAACTAAAAATCCCGTATGACAATATGACTACCGACTACGTAATCGTTTTGGGATTGGAAGGGAAAGGAGGCAACGTTTTTATTTTTGAGTTAAGGGAGGGAAGAAATTTTATTAGAGAAGATATAAGATACTTGTATTTATATGTATAAAAAAAAAAAAAAAGACATATCTAGCAGTGCAAAAAATATGGTATTTTCTGTTTTGGCTTGAGATGCGGGAAAATGAACAAAAGTAACAGACGGCAATTCTCCTCTTCTTCTAGAAGTGGGAAAAAGGGAACAACAACAACGTCATTGTTTGCTAACTGGTGTACTTCTAGAAGTAAAAAACACAAATCGGCACGCGTAGGTGTCCATATCTTTCCTTAGCCATCATCATTCATTCTTACTATTATTTATTTAATATGACTTCCTTCCAGATTAGGCCAAGTTGTTTTAAAAAGTCTAACTAGATTGCCCAAACTCCCCTCGTGCTTGTGCTAACTACGCAACTAATTATAAACTGTACATATGTAACAGGTGTTTATCGTCAATAACCTTCCATAAATTCTTATTGAGGGTTTTGACATTTGGGACTGAATTATTAATTAAAGAATTTATAATTATTTAAAAAATTTGAATATCATCTCTTATTTAAGGATGAATTGAGTCTCTCCAAGACTTCAACACTCCATGATCCACTTTATTAATGGGAAATGAGCATTTAAGAACAACAACCAAGACAAAAAGGTGTAAGTTAGTGATAAGACACCTCACATGTTGATAAATAAGTCACGGATTTGAGTCATGCCAATGGGTAAGAGGGACCACTATTGTTCCCTTTACAAAAAAAAAAAAAACAAAAAAAAAACAACAACCAAGTCTTAATTATATTATTATTTACAAATTAATTAATTACCTACTACTATTTCGGGGTTTGAGTCAACAAAGTAAATAGTTGATTGATTATTAGGGTACGTGTACTAGACTTCAGTTGACTTTTTGGTTAGAAAGAATTCCACTGTGTTTTGTAAACACGTCATTAATAGGAAGATTACGAGGGTAGAAACTGGAAAGTATGCATATTTGTTTACTCCAAAATTATAGACAAATTGACAAATGTAAGTAAATTTGCATAATGAATAAAGTTGGTAAGAATTTGCAGGTGAAAGACGAGGACATTAAATTGAGCAATCAATTTCCTTAAAAAAAAAAAATTAAATACAAAGTGATCATATCATTGAACGGATACAGGTAGGAGGTGGTTTAAATTGTCAGGCACCGTGAACTTTTAATTCCAGTCAAATTAAACTAAATGGTAAATATTATTTTCGATTCTAAAATATGCATTTATTTTTCAGTCTAGACTCGAGACAAACTCCTTCAAAATGATCTTTCTTCCAAACGACCAGTCTCCCCCGGAAAATAGTTACTGTTAAAAATTAACTAAAATTTGAATAAAAAATTAACTAAACTATTACGCCTTTGTAAACTTGCGATGTACCTTTGTTCCCATAACCGCATTATAGCGTGACATTAATGTAGCGGTTTCAATGCTTTTATATTATGTAACTATTATAATAAAATTTTATGTAACATTTTTAATGTAATAACAAGCAGCATTTTCATATTCTTTAAATGGGTCAGACGAATTAATAAATGTGATAATGTTGGACTACAGATAGTGTCACACGACTTACTTCTGTAACACAAGATGCTGCTAGTAAATTTAATAGCCATAAATAAATTGAGGGAGAAAAAGCACAAGACGGTTGACTAAAATGTAGATAGTCAACTTAAAGTAAACAAAATACTAATTAGCCCATAACGGGAAGGAAAATCAATGTCTATGTTGTAGTTTTACGTTTATCACAACATTGGCTGGACTGCTGCAAATGAAAAGCCCACCTTTAAGGCCCGGGCAGCCAGCAAGTTGACAGCTCCATCATCAATTATGGGCGGCCCGCCATATATCTAATTATTATACGCAAGTACTGCGGTAATTAAAACGTGTGGGAGAAGGGGTAGACCATATTCCTGGAAACAGAGTTTATTTTGCTTCTAGAAAGTGAGATTATCGTCTTTATTACTAGAATGGTTGACAGTTCCACCTGAAGGATAGATCTTGCAATTTGAGTGCAAAGCTTGAGAGAGATAACAATTTCCACCCAGGATGGAATCGTCCGTTGGAATTCCGTTATTGGAACACAATGTAAATAGTTATCATCGACTTTACTAGTAAAACATACTGATTTAGTGTTATATATACTTTTTCTTATTTATTATTGCATTAAAGAAAAATGAAGATTTCTAGCTCTTTCCTTTTGTTTTCTTTTTTTTTTTTGGGTTAACCGCTCTCCTTTTTTTTATATATATAATTATTATACCATTTCTATAACAAAAAAAAGAGTCTTTCATTTTTATGTTTGTACCGTTTTTTATACGAATCTCTAAACTTAATGTAGACGGGGCAATAGAAACTATCATATAATCTCTAAAAACTAGATAAATGTCATTACCAGACTAGTCAATGCTTGTATTCTTCCGTCCCAAAGTGATTGTCTTATTTATTATGTTAAAAATGGTAAAAATTGATAATCATATTGAAACGATGGAATTATGGAAGTACTTAAGTTACAGCCTTTTTTAGTTTTCTATCAGTTAGATAAACGAACCTCTTGAATACTATAACCATTGTCAAGGTCTTCCCGTACTCGGAAAGACCACAATCAAGATAGGAAAAGGAATTATAACTGTCTTACAATCAGAAATCTTAGGATGTTTGCAATTTTTTTTACAACACATGAAAGACATGACATTATACAGAAACCAAAGAAAAAAAATATATAACAAAGTACTATTAATCTCATCATAAATCCTTAGATGATACATCTTCAAGACTTCAACGTCTAAACAATTTTGATAATTTGATCATAGAAGTTGGATTTTTAATATGAGTAGAGGGAGAAGATGATAATTGGAAAAGGAAAAAAAAAAAAAAAGAAACTTTCCAGACTTGACGTCATGAAGTGTAATAACCCCTAGGGACTAGGGAGGTAAATCAGGAATTTGTCATCGACAATTCTTGACAACTGATCGATAAGAAAATTCATGAATATATTCCAAATCCAATCAGGAAACATAAAGGCCAAATCGTTTTTGTTAATCACCGAAACCTGAGTTTAGTCTGATTTTTATTCTCCCAAAAAGATAGTCTACGGTTGAAACTCCAATAAAGCCATTCCAATTGGAATTACAACGTGACAACCCTATAAATATTGAGCAATACCACCATGCACCTATGTTTCCCCAGGGTTTATTTGCAGTGTAGTTGCAACAACTACTTGGTTTTTTTTTTCGTTGTTTGATAGCTTCAGAAAATTGGGAATCGGTGATAGCGTGGTAGTTTCAACCCCTGGCTCCGATGACATGTCATAACGGAGTCCTCGTCCGCGACAGCGGCCTACATCCATGGCCTTCTCCATCTGATTCCATTCGAGATCAATGTCGATATCCGTCGCAAATAAACGACAACGGCCTCCTAGTAAAGGATCCATTCTGAAGTACTCGACAATGAAGAGTCTGCAAAAGGGGCCGGCAAGCCTCCCATGCTTGTAAACCAGGCCAGTTCGGCTGATCAAAATATTGTTTCGTCGAAGAAGCGTGATGGTCAAGAAATTGGAAGGCACCTCAGCATCAAAGTGACAACCCGATCCTCTGCCCGAAATAGAAAGAAAATCCCGAAGATTATCCATGGAAAGAGTACTGACCGAACTGGTGATAATCCTCCTCTTCCAGAGAGATTCATGACTAAAATAAGGCAACTAGGTTATACTGGGAACCCAGAACTGGTGATTCAAAAGAAGTTGTTTAAATCAGATGTTAACAAAGTGTTGCAAAGATTTTCAATTCCGGGGAAACAAGTAGAAAATAAGGATTTCTTGACGAATGAAGAAAGGAAGAAGCTCAACAACAAGAAATTAAACTGGTCAATTAAATCCATTCTGATCGATAATTCTCTGACCCTTTGGGACATCTCTTTGAAGAAGTGGGCTATGAGTAAATCGGGCCAGTGCGCCTTGATTTCTAAGTGGAATCCCGTTGTAGATGCAAATGAATTGACTGCGGGGATACAAGTTCAGTTGTGGTCTTTCAGGATGAATGGACAGTTGTACTTTGTTTTAGTTAAGTTGGAGTGATGTGTATCTTAACAGTGATAGTATTTCTCTGATTGCTATTAATTAGGTCATGGTTTTTATTACTTCTTTCTGTATTACTTAAATTGTTTCTTTTTTATTACTCTTGATTTCCGTTACAGGACTTCCAATACAATTTTTCCAAATATGGCTAAGTTCAATGAGTAGAAATAGAACCTAGAGAATTCCATGCAATGGATAAAGTGATAAATAGGAGAGCTTTGTCAGCTCGATCCGGATTAGTTGAGGAAGTGACTTCAGTCACCCGGTATTTAATATACCCAAAGGAAAAAAGTTGACAAATGATTGAATTAGTCGGGAAATTTAAAGAAACCACTCTTAGAATTACAAGAGTCTATTACCATATATACTGGCCATTGAATATGAAAAATGATCTAAACCCTCCTAATTCAAGAAGGCACCAAGATAGAGGGCACAGATATGTTCGAAGGTTTCAAATTGCCTAATCATGGAAGAAAGATCAAATTATTGGGCATCAAGTTTTCTACCGTATCTGAGAAAGTAAATATAGGCAGAAGGGATGTTAGAAAAGGATAATTACATATGTAATTTGGGGTTTAAAATTCTCAACTACCTTGAGCATTCCATAAAATGAACCAATGCAGCAAAAATGGTCTCACAGCTACTTATCAATCAAACAGACAAGGATCAGGTGATTTAATCTCTGCCAGTCGGCAAGCACTCTTTACCTGGAAAACAGAAAATCTATTCGTTCACGGGGGGAAAAGAAAAAGAGAGAGCAGGCAGATCAAAGGAGGGAAGAAATCAAGAAACCCTAACCAATAATTGTTCAAACATGCTACCAAGCCAACAAAACATTAAAGCCTTAGTTGACACGCAATTTGACAAAACAGCAGCAAGCATATTGTTTCCATACTATATTGTGCAGCGCAACCATATTGAGATCATAATATGCTGGAGTGGATGCAGTCAAAGATATGCATGTCAAATGAGCAAAATTAGTTTGAAGTATTGCATGAAATAAAGATTTAAACCACAGTTGAACTAACTACATTAGTAATCAATGAAATAAGACAGGACCGACAAGAATGAGCAGCTCGCATGAATGAACACTGGAAACTTAATTGACTTTTACACAATGGATCCATTAGAGCAGAAAGGGGCATCAACCAAAAAAAAAAAAAAGAAAAAAAACCAAATGAAAAATGCAACAAGTAAAGCAACTAAATAGACAGTTATTGAAACAAACAAAGATGAACCTGAAGATCCAACTTACAAATAAAGGCATCTGCAACCGAGCAATTTGCTGAGCAAGCACTTAAAATCTTGTGATCCCAGATTTGTTGACTTTGCTTTCACCGGATGATGTGTTCCAGGGATAGCTGAAAATTGACAACATCACAGATATGGAAACTTTAAGATGAATGGTTGATGACCTCAACAAAAAGGATGTCAGAATCTTGGAGAGTGAGACTGTCCAGCTATCTCCAGCAAATAAAGTTTTAAGAAAAGAATACAACAGACATTTGAGAATCAAAGTAATGACGGCAGAAATCAAAGTCAGCTGAAATAAGTCACTTGGAGAAGAATCAATAAATTGATAATGCTGTTCGAATAATATTCCATGGTAAATAAATTACAAATTACAATTGCGTTGAATTAATCAACAATTTTACAAGCTTTGGGACTTGCTTCCCAAAAAGATAGCTGCCATAAGGAAGGAGTAACTCAGAAAACCCTCGATTGTCTCTGTTTCAACCCCAGTAGGTCATATTAAATGAGTGCCATCTTCATGCGACAATTTCTGGTAGAAAATTCAGCTTCCTTCCAATGCTTACCTGAATATCAGTAAGGTTTACTTTGTTTATTGTCACGTTTCAGCTGTACTTTCAACTTTTTACCTCCTAATTGATAACCATTCATCCTATTAATAGCATTTTGCGCAGCTGGGGGGGAATCGTAACTGACAAATCCTGTAAACACAAGCTGATTTAGAACCAGAATATACACACCTATTACATATTTATTACTACAAAGTTTGAGTTTATACCAAAGCATTTGCTAACTCCAGTCGCCTTGTCAACAAAAACCTTGGCACTCAAGACCCTACCAAATGGTTGAAAGACGCTGGCAAGCTCCTGATCACCAAATTCTTGAGGTATGTGATAGATAAATAGGTTTGCGCCAGGTGGACCTGCAATTATCACAGAATTTCAATAATTAGCAAATAATTTTATTACTTCTTTCTCCTTGAATGCACAAGATTATCCAACACAATGGACAACTACAAAGCAAACTCATTTGTTCCGACAACCTTCGACTTGACTCCCAGAACTTGTACTGACACTTGAAGATGCTGCAGGGCTACTTGCACTGACAGCTGGAGCAGAACCAGAGGGCCTGACTCCTCCGGGATAAGCCAAAGGGTACTGAACCCCTGGTACTGCAGGGAACGAAGATCCAACATAACTTCCAGGTGACAAGGCATAATTTCTTGGGCCCATTCCAGGTGAAACATCAGGTGCAACTCCTCTTAAGGCATTTACTTGGTTCACAGGTGAGACCATATTTGCGAAACCATGTTGATTTTGAACTGGGGGCATGCGATACTGCAGGATTCCATAAACCCCAGGAGCCTAAGATGACAAGCGCAAAAGAAGAGGGGAAAAGAAAAGAACGCAAACAGCTTGTCTCGTGAATCAGCCAAAATTGGACTAGTGATGCCTACTGTATAACAATATTACCAGGTTAAGAAAGCAGACCTGATAGCCATATCCATTGTATGGTGGCATATACCCCATTGGTAACGCGCCAAACAACGAAGGATGCTGTCTGCCATCAGCATTTGGAGAACCAGCCACCTGTGAAAGAGCTTTCTGAGCCCTCCGAGCTTGCCTTTCTTTTTCAGTATCAGCCCACTTGACTACCAAAGGGACAGTTGAACCCTATATAGAAGGCAATTCAAAGAAAATTAGTCGTCACAGCCATGCTAAAGAAATAATCCACACATAATATCACGGTCCCTTCTAGACTGAGTTTCTAAATAAAAAGTTGAAACCACTGATGCTGAGGTGTATAAATGGGTAAGTAGCATCAAGAAAAATGTTCACTAGACTAAGACATGGAAACTTGTGGAGTTCATATCACATGGAAATTTTCTACTGGAATCTTGACATCCCTATTCAAGGTAATGAAGGTAAGAATGTCTAAGCCTCATAAAACTGCAGTGAGATCAACAGGTACATCCACATAATCAAACTGCAGACTTAACTTTACATTGCAGTGTGAGGGCCTCTCAGATCAATTATTGAGAAGGAGCTGAAACCTAGTCCTGGATAATCTGATTGTGAGAATTTTCAAAGGAAGATATTGAGGTGTATAGCATTAGATTAATGCAAAATGCATGCTTACACGTGCACATTTCTTATCTAATTTTCACAAGCAAAGGAGAGATATGGGAACACCTAGGGAACTCCTAAAAGAAGGCAATAACAGGGAAATTAAAGCAATGTATCTGTAAACAAGCGTGATATCTTCCCAAAACCATTCCCAATGCCAAATTTTCTCAAGACAGAAAGCAAATGTCCAAATGCAAATAAAGCACATATATAGACTAAAACTCTCACATAAAATGTCTCTATCAAAGCTGAAAAATAAAATTGAATAATAGTATTAATTCTGACTTGAAAATTCTTGATCAAAGAAAAGCTGTAAAAGCATACAAACCTCCATTTTATGCTTCCCATTAAGGGACTCAATGGCTGCAAGAGCTTGTTCTTTTGTTTCATATTTCAGAAAAGCACATCCTGCCACATTTCATAAGCATAAATCTCAGAGACTAAGAGCATTAGGTAGAACCTCTGCACGAAGAATTATGGCAATAATCAGAAATACCTTTGCTAGTTTGCTCAGAGCCTCTAAGAATTTGCAAGTCCTTGATTGTTCCGTATTGAGAAAATAAAGCAGACACTTCAGCATCAGATACATTCTTTGGAAGCATGCCCACGAAGAGTTTGTGCTCTGAGTTTCATGGTAAAAACAACAAAAGAAAAGAGAAAAATGAATCTAAATCAAATTTAAAAAAAGAAAAGAAAAAGTGCAATATATTTAAAATAGTGCAAAAAGATTAAAAATGGAAAGAGAAGTATCAGCAACCAAAGAACCATTACAAAGGAATAGTTTCAATTTAGCACAGAGATAAGATAGTCCACCTAATCTTTCCAACTCGCCATCAGCATACTTCACTTGCAATGGACTAGATGCCTGAACCAACCAGGGAAAGCAGAGGATCATTTGCAACATAGAAGTTACACAGCAAAAAAGTACTTTATTGAGTCTTCGTAAAACGTTTACATAAAATTGAAAATGGCATAAGCATCATATTTACTACCCTCAACCTATGTTCCTCACTCCCTCAGTCACACACAATAGCAACCTAGTTAGTTCCGCAGTCACACACAATAGCAACATAGCTATCTTCTGCATGGTCGGAATGAATTTGCTTTCGGGCAATGGTCAAAAAGGAACGAAGTATTGGCTATTTGTGAAGGAACTGAATTGAATCTGCGTAATGATCTATTACAAGAACTAGTAGGTCACTGTCTAACAGATTATCCAGTTTGGAAATAGTAATGGCACATCAGCCATCACCTCGGCCTTAGAACAGAAGCTTCTTGAATTCTAATTAGTATTATGACAAAAAGGTACACCAATCTACTCTGTCCAGAGTAAGTCAACAAAGATAAATTGTGCCCGTTTCAAAAAGTGCAACAGGATTGCAGTGCTGTACGGCAATAACAGTATCATTCAACAGAAATAAATGCATCTAAATTTTGGTAATCTTGGAAGTTCAATTACAAATATTAGTGATCAAGATGTTAATTACAGTGATCAGTAAGATTTCAATTTCCAATAAAGAGCAATTAATTTTTCCAATTAAGTAAATGCATCTAAAAATTTTGGTAATCTTGGAATGCATGAATGCCAATAAAGAGCAATTAATTTTTCCAATTCAGTAGAATCTGCATTAAAAAAAGGTGAAACGCAGCATCAACAGTCCAAACAGAGGGGGGAAAATTGAAAGATGGCTTACCCCAGGTAGAGTCTTCTTGTTGTGACAGGCAGTTACCGCCTTGTCTGCTTCTTGCCTCGACGGACAGATTAGAAAACAACATCCTGAGGGGGGGAAAAAACACGAAAAATAAAAAAAAAATTAGGGTTTGAAAGGCGGAGAAAACACAGAGGAAATCAAACAACGCAAAATCTCAGAATAGCTCCAGAACGAGAGTCGCACATTGTCGATCCAGAGTAAGAAAATAATTATTCCAGAGTAATCAAACAAACGAAGATAGATTTGGAGAAGAAATGGAGAATGCGGTTGAGAGGGAAGAATGCAAAAGAACCTCGAGAAGCTCGCGTAGTCTTGTCCTTGATGATGTTGACTTCTTCGACGAGAGCGAACTCTTTGAACAATGTCATGAGCTGCGCCTCCGTCATATGCTTCGGCACTTGACCAACAAATAGCTTCACGCTTTCCTCGCTGTGCTTCCGCGGCTTTCCCCCCTCCGCCATTAATGCCACCGCCAACACACCAGAAAAACACACTTTCTCTCTCCTCTCTCCTCCTCCTCCTCCTCCCACCACCACCACAAACAACAAAAAAATTAACCGTAAAATTTACACAATCACAGAAATGAAACAAACAGCACTACGCAGTCCTGTCTCCCTGCCTGCCTCCTCTGTGTGTGTGTGTGTGCGGCGTCAAAATTTTCTCTCTCTTCACCACCTCAGAACAAAAGAAGTCAGTCCTTTTTTATGACAAATTGCGTGCGTTGTTGCCTGCTGATCTCTTTTCTCTCTCTATAACTGTACTTTCTCTCTCTAAAAGAAATAAAAAAAATAAAATAAAACTCGAAAAAATTTTCTCTCTCCTAATTCTCTGTGATGAGTTGGGGTGAGTCGTCGTCTCCGGTCCGGTTTTGGGGAAAATGGGGACTTTTCTGGATGGCAACCTTGGATCTTCACTCTTTCTCTTTCTACATTATTTATATCCCAATTGGCAGGCAGTTTCATCATTAGCCCCTCTCAGTTTCCTTTTTTACGTAGATTGCCACTTCTATTATAGTGGATTTAAAGAGAGAGATGTTGGCCTTTTTATCTTATCCGGGACTGGCTACTTAACGGTAAAGCCAAAACGGCAAATAACGGCGATGCTTTGTTACGACACACATTGACAGGGCTGATATGTTCCATGTTTTTATGGCTTGCCAATCATACATATTGTACGGCGTAATTCAACCATAATACTACTACTAGTATCTAGCAGTAGTTGTAATAATTAATACTCCCTCAGTCCCATAATTATTGTCCAATTTTACTAAAATGAAATATTTTATTTTTTGTCAAACTTAACTATATTTTACCTTAAACATTCGGATATACCCTTACATAAGTAATTGTTTAACCACTAAGATTTTGTGGATAATGTTTTTTACTAAGGACAAATGTGTAACTTGATCCATAAAAAGTCAAATTGGACAATAATTTTGGGACAAAATTTTTTGAGCAAAGTGGACTATAATTATGGGACGGAGGGAGTAAAACTTTTCTATTTTGAATATACACGCATAACTTTTAATTGCTAATACTTTCCCTTTCCAAAAACTCAATGTGGATTGTACTGTTTCTAGTATAAATTCAAAATATTCAACGTGAATTGTGAAAATTTAAAAAATTTAATGTGTAATGTTTTTAGTCTACTACTACCAAGTATTTGGGACCGAGATAGCATTAAAGTCCATCACGTTAGTTAATTCATTTGTGAAAATAATAAATATGGTTTATGGTTTTCATTTAGAAAGGTATGCTAGAATAGTAAATATGTTGATGAATAAAATTGTTGGACTGACAAATATAGTAATTAAAATTTTAAAAATATCTAAATAAGACCTTTTCTGAAGTTGTGTGCATTAGTTATCCATCGTAGTGTTTATTATTCTTTTTTCCATCTTCTTTTTTTGTGAAATAAGAACTTGTAATGGACAATTTTGTTTATTAGTCGTTGAATTCGGGAGTGGAAGGAAAATTAGTTATGAGAAATAGACCTAACTTTATTTGGTAATAAGGTTGAAGAATCGTAATTATAAGGTCAGAAGGTTCGATATCTTAAAGTGTCATAAAATTTTTTAATGAAAATAATTTATTGAATCTTTAGTTTTTAAAATTTTTTATGGAATTGTGAGGAACATATAATTAATAACATAATAACAGTGGATTGGTGGGTCAAAGTGAACGCCGATGGAGGTTTTGATACATGGTCGGGCATGGCTTCGGCTGGGGGACTGTTTCGGGGTTCTTATGGACATGGATTGTTGGGTTTATAATGAATATCGGGTTTTGCACAATTACAGAAGCAGAGTTGTAAGGTCTTTTCCATAATCTTCACTTGGGAGTTAGGGCATAAGAAGATAGAAATGGGAAGTTGATAATCAAAGCATGGCTAAGTTATCGATGAGGGATAAGGAGGATGTTGGAAGCCACTTAGGTCTGGAGTTGGCGATTAAGGAGCTGTTATCATGCAATGGGAAGTTAAATTGAGACATGTTTGTCGTGAAGCGAATTTTGTTACTGATTGTTTGGCTTTTTTAGCATTGAGTATAGGTAGAGAATCTCATTGATTCCTTGCTTATGTGGCTGAAACATGATGTTCTCAATGTTTCTCACTCACGATCCATTGTAATTTGAGGCGTTATGCCTCTTCCATCGTACCAAAAAAAAAAAAACATAATAACAGTGATATCTAAACTTTTTCTTGCAAATATTTTGCTTCCTCTATTTCAAAATGTAAACCATTTTATTTTTGAAAAAAATATTTTAAAATAAAAATTATTTTATTTTAGATTTTTATGAAGTAGACAAGTAGGAATTATTATACTTTTATCAATAATTTATTAGTATAAAACTATCACTTTCATTTTTTTTTAAAAAAAAATTCTATCGTGTTGAATGACATGATAGATGACATTTCTTTTTCTTTTTTTAGGCTTTCCATATTTGATCAAAGCTACATCAGGGATAGTGAGAAATGAGGCAAATATTCGAGAGCGGAAGATAGAGTATTAGGATAAGCAGTTTCCCAATAAAAAGATAACGTACAATGACATAAGTAGCAATTATGTTATGTGTCTCAACTTTTACAGTCTCGGACAAAATAATTTTGATAAATGTCAGCATTTCTTGAATCTCTTCGAGTACATTTGTCTAAGACAGACGTTTCAAAAGCAATATCGAAATATCTACAAATTAACACTACAAAATTAATCACTATTATTGAAAATATTGGACAACCTTTCATATATGCTACATTTTCAGTTGATGAATAATCAATTAGTAACTGCCCTAAAACTTAACAAACATACAAACACTACGAGTTTTTCAGTAATTAAGTGAACTAGATGGATCAGACGCGCTTCGCGTGTATGCAATGTATAATGACGTAATAATAATTATGTAAAGAAAAAATATAAGTTACCTTGTTGTCTAACACACTATTTACAAAATGCATTAACAAATTTATTAGAAATAAAAAGTATAGACTCAACAAAATGTTATCACTATAACTCGTCACTTGTGATTTTAACGGTAGTGATGCATTTTTGTCCTAATTGCATGAACAATGAAAAATAAAATAAAATCAAGTTTCTGTGTCACCCAAAAAAAAAAAGAAAAAAAAAGGAACAACTAAAAAATGAAGGAAAAAAAAACTAAATTCAAGAATATAAACATAGAGAGGAATAATGAAGGATGATTAATTCCGATAGACTTGAGAATGAGAGATGAAAGTACAAAACTTAAAAGAAACAAAAAAAAAAAGAAAAAGAAAAGAGAAGTGACAAAAACTACACTCTTTAGAATTATATATAGGTAAATTTAGACTACATGACTTTTGATTTTCTTTTCAGTTATAGAACAATTTAAACTATCATTTAGGAATCTATTAAATTCAAAGAAAAGAAGAGAAGAAGAAAAGACATTTTGGAATTCAGAGTGGTTATAATCACCAAAACCGTTTTTAGAATGATCAAATTCAACTAATAATGAGAAATAATTTTTTGGTAATGTTAAAAATAAAATTAAAGGTTACAAAAACTGAAACTATTTTAGACTGATCTAATCTTCCGAATAATGATTTTTTTTGTAATCATAAAAATAAAAGTTAATGCAAGGGAGATCAAAGGTTCACCATATATTGTTTGATGATAAAGAACAATTTATTATTAAAAAAGTATACATAAAGGAGTATTTTATTAGTATAAATCAAAAGATAATGAAAAATAAGTGAGATAATAATGGAATAAATTAGAGAAAATGTAAATATTTTGTCCAAATTAGATGAGGGACTAAAAAAAAGTAAAAAAATAAAAAAAAATAAACCAAACAAAAAATTAAATGAGAACTACTAAATTTTTAAGGTTATTCTACAATTATAATATAGTATGATGAATACTAGAGTATGAAGTAAAACGTTTTCCAACGATTAAGTTCAATTATCTTAATGTTCACAGTTTACATTTAGGTTGTAATTGAGCATCAACTTTCAAGTGTCGCGTTCTGTCCCTTTCTTATTTAAACTATAATATTGTATCGTGTTGATACTTGCCGATTTTCACACATAAACTGTGTCGCATGAAGTAAAATGTGTACTACTTCTTTCATCCAAATATATAAAGTCTGGCTTTAGTAAAATATTCTGCATGATCTTATTCATGCACAAATTTGAGCGAATTCATTGTTCTAATTACAAGGTGCTTCGAAATTTTTATTTTTGCCTTTCCTTTTCATCGAAATTACTCACTTGGATTACTATATTTTAGTTTTGTACTCCTTCCATTTGAAAAAAAATGTCATTGGAAAAATTTTATACTCCCTCCATCTCATAATTATTATCCAGTTTTACTAAAATGAAATATTTTATTTTTGGTCAAACTTAACTATATTTTACCTTAAACAACCGCATATACCTCTACATAAGTAATTATTTAACCACTAAGATTTTATAGATAATATTTTTTACTAAGGACAAATGTGTAACTTGATCCATGAAAAGTCAAATTGGACAATAATTTTGGGACAAAATTTTTTAGACAAAGTGGACAATAATTATGGGACGGAGGGAGTAAAATTTAAGGAGACAACAATTATCTTATTAAAATATTAGAATACTCTTACTTACTCGCGATGCAATTATAGTTCCAATAATATTTTGTTTTAATATAGTTCTATATTAAACACAAATTTCAATATAAGGTCATATTGAAAAAATAAATAAAACATGGCTCAATTTGTGAGAACGACATGTATTTTTGAAAATTTAGTTTTTCCTCTAATTATATTTATTTCGAAATGGAGGGACTAATTAGATGAGAAGGTGGTAGATGGACATAATAAGGACGGCATAATAGAAAACCAAATGTTATATTTTAGCCTATTGACTAGCATTATTTTATTTTCAATAAATTATTTAATTGTAACTTATAACTAACCTTTTTTTTTCACACTAATCCATCTGTACATATCATTTTCGCAATTGATGCTCTGGTCGTAAATTTCAAGTAATCACAAATCAGAAACAGTAAGAGAAGTTTTAATAAGATAAGGATAAAAGAAGAAAAGAACTTTTGTCAAATATGTATATGGTCGGTAATTGGGCAATCATATGTGACAGACAGACAACAAATGATGCAATAAGCTGTCTTCCAAACACAGTTGAGAAAAAAAGTACACTTTGTTAGTGACAATCTAAGGGAGGATTGGGAAATATGGGAATCGGAAAGGAATAAGAGCACAGCTTTCACAGGTGGATTGATTGCCAAATATACGATATCCAGACAAAAAAAAAAAAAAAAAAGGTAGGCTTTGTTGTGCGGCGGCAGAATATGGTAAGAATCAATTCTTATTACATGGTCTTCGGAGAAAGCTAGAAAATTGAATTAATTAAAGAGACAGCGAAAAGAGTAGGAGGGAGCTGGGAATAAGGGTAGAATCGTAGATAAGCGTGGGAAACGAGGGTTGATGATAATGGATAGATATGTGGTGGGTCAGCCTTGCCAGACTGTCCCCGCCAAGCTTACTACTACTACGACAGTACTACTTGCCCTTTCCAATGATTCATTTTGTTTCTTATTCTTACTTTTAAATTAAGAAAAATGGTTAAATTGCAAAACATACCCCTTACTATATAAAGACATTGCATGATGCCTTGTAATTTTAGCAATTATAGCAACTTAACTGATATTCATACCATAACACAAAATTATCACCCGAAGACTATCATCGTCGTTCATGTCAGTCACTGTAATCTTCTTTTTCCCCCACGTCACACCATCAATGTCCAGTCTCTTTTCATCATCGATGCTCAATTTCTCGCTTTGTTCCATTTTTTCTCTTATTTTGTTCATAATTTCATTTTAATTGATAACCTATATCACCAGTTCACCGCCTAATGTGATTATTCATTCGCCCCTTACTTGTTGATGAACTGTTTGTCCGTCAAGAAAAGTGTATTATTGGATGTGTTAAAGTATTTGTGGGGTTGATTGCTCCACAACTAGTTTACATTGCAATTAACTAAAATTTTGAAGTAGTAAAATATAAAAATTAAGGGACTGCTTGCCAATTAGTCATAGTTGAGGGGGGAGATTTTGGAAGTATTCCTAATAAGATTTGCATAATGGTATCTATTCGTAATATTTCATTCGTCCGTCAACTGCGGGAATGCTAATATTTGATTCCGGAATTTGTCCAACTTGCTCTTAGATTATCCATTAATTATACCCATTCAAACTTACTGATCCGACGAGTCAACCGTGAAACTAACAAACATCGAACGTGGACATTTATTACTGCATTCAATTGGTTTTCTTCTCCTTTTTTTTTTTTTTTTTTTCAAAATAGTTTGTGATGGATAATTCTAACATGACAAATTGGTCTTCTCGGACCAATTGGCACTCAAACAATTTTAAAATTACACTTAGAAATTTTTAATAAAAAGTCAAACAATTAACCATTTTAATAGCTAAAAGTTATTAATGTGATTCGTTCCGAATAATTGGAATCATCATCACTCTTTACTTTAACCCTCATTTTTTAGATTATTTATTAGAGGGGAGAAAAAACCCAATGGTATGGGTTTCTTTAATTAGTTTACCTGACTGGAGAAAATGCTACACGGTAATTTTTTTTAAAGCAAATTCAGTAATCATATTTTTAAAATATGTTATTTGATAGAAGTCACCCGTGACACAATATTGTTAACCGTTTATGATTCCAATCGTTATCGAAATAAAATTTTTCCACCAGAAAATGATCACTGGTGTCCCGATATCTGATCAAATATACAACATTAAATGTATAAATATAATTTTTCAAAGTGGAAAACCACATCATTGTTCTAGTTCGGCTTAACATGGAATCAAATAATTTAGTAATACAAATTATGTTATGGTGACGGCAGTCACGGCGCACTAGCTACTTAAAGGCAAATAAATTTTTTTGAATGAATTTATGCTAGCACCGGCAGATTTTTTGTTTTATTTTTTATATTACTTCCAAAAAGTAATCTAATATAAATTTTAAAATTTAATATGAATTATTTTTTGAAGACGGATAGAGTAATTTTATTGTAAATGGACGGTCATTTTTTTTTTTTTTTTGATACACGACTTAAATGAGTTCCCATTTCCCCCCTCTGGGTGTCGAACCCGCGTCATGCGGATGAGGGGTTAAATGGACCTTCAACTACTAATGTATTTTTATTTTTTTTTTTGGTACAAAAAAGGAGGCAAAAGTCTAGATTCTTACATTCCGGGGGTATGCCACCCCTAGTACATCATGTTGTAGCCAGGGCCTGGCACCTAACGGAGGTGACACTAATCTTTGCGGACCAACCGGGCCTGAATATGCTAAGGAAGCTAAATAATCGGCCACGAAATTCGCCTCCCGATAAACATGGTCAACTTCTACAAGCCAATCTCGATGTTGTACTTCCCGAATCCCGCTTACAATCCTCGAATGAATACCTAATATATTGTAAGTACATCGATGGATCGCATTTGATTCGTTGTTCCACGACATTCACAATATTGAGTTTTTACTCTATATCTCATGTGCTTTGTACTATAATAATTATGGGTCTCAAAATCACCAATATGTATATTCTTCATTGTCAAATCATAAACTGTCTTTTTTGGTATGTTAACGGTCACAATCATCAATAGACGTGCACGATAGTGTTGATTGTCAAAAAATCGATGACAAATAATCCAAAGTTTGATTAGCAAAAGCGAAGGAGGAAGACTATCACTGTTTAAATTCGATGATCATCAATCATTGAAAAGGTTGAAGAACCAAGAAAGTAAAACAGGGCATAATCCAAATTTCCCTATGCCAAGTTGCAAGCTTCCTTAAGATGAACTTGTCAAACTGGTTTCCAAAGTGCAGAGAGTAAGTATGGAATGGATGTCAAGTTATCCAGCTGGGAAAACAAGTCAAAAAAGTGTTCAGTGAGTTGGGGAAAAATGATAATACCGTATATTCCACAACTGAAGCAAACCATCTTATTTGAAGCATTCATCTTCTCTTCTAATTCAATCTTCTTTGCCACAATGATATTTCTTTTGTAGTATAGTGTTTGAATTTGATCATTCAATGGATGAGTTGAGGCTGTATCATCAGAATGCGATTAAATTTTCAAGGTTCTTGTCCTGATGAGCCCTGCAAGAAGTGAAAAGATAGTTTGCATGTTCAGTGGCGGAGCCAGGAAATCACCACAGCGGATGCAAAATTTAGAAAAAAATACTAATGAACTTGGAAATCAATGTAGGGGGTGCAAAAAATTATTCAATGCATGGTTTTCAATATCTCTACTAATTCAGAAAACTGAGGTGTAACCGCGCTCCTTTGTCCCCCTCTAGCTCCGCCACTGTGCCTATTGCTGCTCCAGAGATTCAACATCTTCAAGTGAAGGAGGGAGGTGAAATCTCCAGTAATATATTGGCTCTTTCTTTTATCATCCCTGGGACAAATAGCTTTGCTTGCTTGTCCCTCCTCCCTTTGTCATCGACATGAAAGAAGTATATGACAAATCCTGTGTCCATGATGAGAATCTGTGTGGAAATACAAAGTGATACCAAGTTGTCCATTGGATGTGTCTTTTCTATCTGGATATTCAACCTGTAGTGCATTCAAGAATTGCATACTGTACTAACAAATTTGTTTAGTCACCCAATTCGAGCTCTTTGTTTAGTTACCCAAACAGTGATGATTCCAAAAGATACTACTGTCCCTCTATTTTTGGCTGCCCATATTTACATAAGTGTTTTTTGAAAAAGAAAATAAAAAAAAATAAGAAAAGGCATCGATATACTAACAAATTTCAGTATGCAGAAGGAATAAATACTGAAGGTTCAAAACAGAAATGCGCCGGGAAAAAAAAAAAAGAGAGAGCAGAAAACTAGTGCTGCAAAGAGCAATTTCAAGTGGTAGAATGAGCAAAACAAAAAAGAAAGAAAAAAGCCATGTGTTTATTACTCTTATCCTTTGCCCTAAAACAAGAACAGCATTACAATAATTATCCAATGATGTACATTACAAAGGTTGAACCTAAAAAATACTTCAGTATTAAAGTACAATAAGGGCACATCACTTGTTACTGTAGTCCCAAAACAATATGCAATAATCAGACCCTAGAGTAGACAGCAACAATGAAAAAAGATTTTGCTGTCAGATTCTGAGGGAAAAAATGATTTACTGTGGTGGAATTCAAGCCCCCTGATCTATCCCCAGGCTTGAGTGCTGTCCGTATCTATTTAAAATGGACGAAAGAATCGACCCAAGTCTTGTGAATATCAGCTAAAATTGCTAGATTGCCCTTAATCCTGCAAGCTCACGCAGCTTTTCACATATTATGAAGGTGATTGTAGTTTGCGGACCCAATCTTGCGAAAAGGGTAAAGCCCCTGAACATTTTAAATATTTGGAGTAAGGAAAGTAATTATTGAACTAGATATATCATCGATCACTTTAAAGTTTCAAGCTAAAGTGTAGGTCAGGTAAATTCAGATACTGACCCTTTGTAAAGCCCCCGAGGACCTTCTGTTTGCAGAACCTGGATTATATGGAAAATGGTATCATTAAATTCAATTATCAATAAATGAATCTTACAGTTTAACAACATGGGAGTAACATACTAACATATTAACTCATTTCACCCTATTCTAAGTCAACTCAGATCGATCAATTTGTTCATCCAAACATGAAGCCAATTGAAAAGTTTCAAGCATAAATGAACAATCAGGATTTGTCGTTCTTACTCCAATGTATTAAAAATCCAACTTGATATGGAGAAAGATAAGGGCTGAAGACAACGAAAAATCCCAAACCTGATATGCACAATGAAATCCATTTCTATACATTCCAGCTTCTTTAGAATCTCGTTGCAACATGAGACGGGTTTTAACCATATCCACTGGAGCAGTCATGACGGTGCTAACACCGCCTGCAATTGTACTCGAGCTTCATGAGATGCAAAATATAGTTAAATTCCTGGGTGGAAGGTATTTTAAGGAAGTTTCTGGATTTCAACCAAAAGATGTTTCAGTGTAGTGTTTAGAAACCAATAGTAATCAAAATTAACGATATAACATAAAGTCTATCTATTCTTTTAAATCTAATATCAAAAACATCAAATTCATGGAAAGGAAAATCAATAATTCTTATACAAGCACTTAAATGGTAGTTAAACAAAACTGGCTTACATGAGATGTAGATAAAATCCTTCTTCAAGAGGAGTCCATCTTATCAATGCCTGCATCATCAGTTTACAGCTTTTATATCTGAAAGGTGTTACAGAATATAGATAACAATTTAACATCCAAAACGTTAGTTATTCTTGTTTATATAATGCAAATGCAGCATAAGTGGCATCTGACCTGCTTCGATTCATCATATGTTGCCAGCTGAGATGCAGTCAATGCAGCAGCTCTGGCCATAGCAGGGCCAACACCCTTCCACAGAGCAGCCACTCCCTCTTCATGAGCTATTCTTCGAAGTTCATGTATTGGTCCTTTGCTGCTTGATGTTACATCCATCTGTAAGCGTACCTGGAGGAGCACAAAAATGAGACTTGTTCGATTACTTATGAAAATGCTTATTACAGTGTTACCTTTAAAACTTCCACTGGATTGGTCAGAGCTGTAGCAAGAGCACCAGAAAAAGCTCCAGATGCAATCTTCACCAAGATATTGGTGGACTCAAAAGCCAATTCACATACATGTTTGGATGGTTCATATAAGCCTAAACGGAGACCACCATAAAGAACTGACCTCGTTAATGCAGGAGTTAGTCCCAAGTACAAGGACTTCAAGCCCTCATTTTTTACTAACTGAACAAACAGTTTCCCCTATTATGAACAGCATATGGTAAGAACATATGTTCATGCCATCATTGAGACTTAAAAGATTTCAAGATTAAGAATGGGAAATCAGTTCAACTTCGTACCATGCCAATCAAGGGACCTCTTTGGCCAACAAGCTGCATCTGAAGTCGAACTTTGAGAACATCTGCGTTCCAAAAACAACTTCAGTAACACTTTCAAACCCAAGCATCAAATATGGCATATGTATTCCACAGAATGTCAAGTTTAAAGTTAGTCATTGTTGAAATAGATTCCTGTCAGTTTAGACCTAATAACATTATCATTACACTATATCTCCAAGATCTCAAGTAACCAGAATGAAAGCCATTGATTCAAAATGCATCCATTAACGCAATCGTTTTATCAATTCAAGCATCATCAAAATGATGAATTGAAGTCGCGTTTGACCTTTGAAAGACATCCAGCACATAAAAAGTTCAGCCTTGGCATCAATGTTCAAATTACATCACTAACTCTGCCCAGCGTAAGAATTTTGTTACAATAAGATGGTCGCATTTTATTATGTAGAAGAATAGCATGCCGAATGCAATTTATCAAATTTTATAGCATATCTACTCTTTAACATTTTCATTGACAAACTCATCTACTCAATCCTATGGAGAACACAGCAAAACAATAAATTTAGACGATATAAACCAACCGAAAGGATGCGTGACGCCGGTAGCAGCGGCAACAGATAACCCACTTGTACCAAAGTGATTGACAATGGTGGTTATTGGAATTCCAAACATTTGTCCTTCCTTATCCTTCCTTAATCCTGAACTCATTCAGATTAACCAGCAATGAGAAAACAAAACAACCCAAACAGAGAACTCCCATATTCCGGGAATCCCAGATGAAGAAATTCCAAAATTAAGGGAACCCAACTAATTTGGAAAATATTCAGATTAAGGGAACCTGAGATTGGAATTTCTCCGGCGGCTGAGCTGGGGGCCATTTTTTCTTGAATTTTCTCTGTGGTCACCTCGTTGGATGAAGAAGGAATGGGTTTGATATTTGATCTTTGAACTCTTCAAAAAAAGCGGATGAATGTCACGTTCTATGACTTCAGAGTTTTCACCATAAGAATTCTTACCCGAAATGCAAACGTAAAGAGAATATGGGCGGCGGAGTGATGGTTAGGATTGGAATCTCGTCGGAAAGGGTATGGGTTGGGTTGGGGTGGGCGCCTTCTTTCGATGCTTACGTTGAAAAACTAATTTAGTTATTACAAAATTCCGTTATTGGTGGATTATTGTTTTTTCATACTTGGCTTTTCTTTCTTTTTCCTTTGTTCAAAGTTCTTCTTTTTTACCAAAAGAAAAAAATCCACATCAGTGAACTTTATTTATAAACTATAAATATGAAAAAAAAAGCGGAAATGCGGTAGAATCACGAATATGTAGCTGAAATGGGATAACTTCTTTTTTTTTTTTAAAAAAAAAATGTATATAAAAGCCAATTTTTTCAAGAAAGAATAAAAGAATAATTACGTTAATATGGATTTACAATGAAAAAAAAAATTACAATCACTTAATTTTTGTCCCAGGTTAATGAAAATAAATAATTTTGTGAGTATTTTTTATTGGGTTAACAATATTTTTATTTGTTAGTATGAATTAAATTATGTTTGGTTCGTTTTTTCTATGTGTTTTTAGGTATTTTTTCTATTGAAAATAGAAATAAGTATATTGTAAGACAGTTATTTATATATTAATTTGAAAAAACCATGAAAATAAACAAAACAAAACAAAACAAACAGATAAATTATTTTTGCCTGCAAAAGAGCTATAAAGTATTAAAAATAAATTATTTTTTTAAACAGAGGAATATAAAAAATTAAAAATCCATTAATACCCCCATTGTCCCCTTAAAATCCAATTTCTCCATTATTATTGAAGGTCGTCTATCCATCCTATATATATACAAAAAACCTTGTAAGAGTTACCGGTCCCCGTCATCGGAGCCTAGGGCTTTTTATCTCGCCGGCGATCCGCACCGAGCATCAGGCGCCGCGGTAAGTTAAAATCAATATTCTCTCCTTTCCTTCCTCTTGTCTGCCTCCATTATCACCCCCTGAGAATTCAGCTTAAGCTCCTCGGTTAATACTTGTCTGTTCGTCAATTCTACAGGCAAAGTATCCAGATTGTGCTGCATTTTTTTTTTTGTTTCGGGTTTCGTCTGCATCAGTTTGCACCAACAGAACTTCCCTTCAGAATGCCTCGGTATTGTTTCTGAATTTCTAGCGTCTGAATAGTGTATTGCTATTGTCGTGGAATTTTGTTTAAATAGTGGAAATTAACTTGGGGTTCCTTTTAATTCTTTCAGGTATTATTGTGACTACTGCGACACATACCTAACCCACGATTCTGTAAGTAATCTTACTGTCATTGAAGTCTTGACCCTTCTTTTTTTTTTTCAATCGCATTGGATTTGTTGCTGTTTGTAATTTTGCTATAGTTTGTTTTAAAGCTTTGTACTGAGCTATTGAAACTGATTTGCTTTGCGGGTAAACGGGATCCTGACTTTACGAACCTGATTCTGGTGTGGGAGTTTGCATTGTTTTGCCTTCATTGTTTTTGTTGTTCAACATATACACTCAATTGTTATTCCTGTCTCCTACCTTTGCGCTGATTATTATTTAAGCTCTAACCTGTATCTTTCTCCCTATTTGGGCATCGTATTTTCTGCTACCTTATTTACTTGTTTATTTATTTTGTTTGTTCTCAGCCTTCTGTGAGAAAGCAGCATAATGCAGGCTACAAGCACAAGGTAAAAATTTCCGACTTGATGTTCTTTCCCCCAACTTCAAAAGAGTAATAGTCTTTTGACATGTAATTCCATCCTTTTAATGTTTGAGCAGGCTAATGTGCGAAGCTATTATCAGCAATATGAGGCTCAACTGAATCAAAGTTTGATTGACCAAAAAGTCAAGGAACATCTTGTGTATAGGCAAGTTGCTCCGCCTTTCCAGATGAGACCTGTCCTTCCTGGCCCACCTATTCAGATGCCCATGCCAGGGCCAATGTATAACCCTTTAATGCCAGGAATGAGGCCGCCTCCTGTTTTGCCCAGGCCACCCCCTGGTGCTCCAGGTAGGATAAATATTTTCTTCTCTCTTTCATGTTTTTTTTTTCCTATTGAATTTGGAGATATTGGTAGTTTTCTTTTTTTTTTGGTTTTCATATGTTTAGATAATTTCTGCATGGGATTACTTTAGCAATCTTAGAGTATTATTATGTAAATTGGTCCTCTAAATTGGGACACTTGGGTTAGATTGTAAGGTGTGGGTTTGGTAATGGATCTTTGTCCGCATACTGTGAAATGGTCCAAAGCCAGAATATCAAATTGGGCGTCTTATGCAAGACCTGTGCATTACCTTTTCTGTTGTCCGACTTTGATGGTTGACTGATAAACTGATTTTGGCACGCTTGTTGGTTGAATATTTGATACTAAAATGCATGTGGTCAAGCTGATTTCTTACCAGATATGATCTGGATTTTGAACTGTCCTTGAGTTTGTTGAAGTTAATAAATTCTCATAGGAACTAGGAGTATAACAAAGATAGGTAATCCTAAACGAGCAATTGTTGGTTCAACTGGGGTATCATTGCCCTTTCTTTGGAAAATTTAAATGAAGGATTTTTCTTAATAGCCTGAAGCATAAGAATAATGATAGGTGAGAGATCCCTGCCTCATTACCATTTTTTGAACAAACTGAATGAATTGATTTCTGATCCACTCCAGGTTTCTTGATGTTTGGAAGGTTGAGCTAGCAAAATAAAAGCCACTATTTATTCATTTCTGTTTACATGACAATGGGGTACTGAATGAATCCTGATTTCCAACTATGATGACAGGTTATACAATGCCACAGATGATGCCACCGCTTAATGCTCCTCCTCCGCCTGGACAATTGAATAGTCTTCCTAGGCCCGTAAATGCTCCCCCTCCCCCTCCTCCTGCGATGGTGCCTAGTAGTGCTGGAATGCCAACATCTAGTGGTGCCCCTCCAATGTTTGCTCCTATGTATCAAGGGAACATGAATGCTGCAGCCCCACCACCAGGCAGTAGTAATGAAAGTCCCGAAGCTAATTCTCATTCTGCCGAACCATGAATTTAATCTTGGGTTGAAAATTTCTTGTTACTATCACTTGACAGTTGGGGGAAATTTAGTAGTGTCACCATGGGGCTTGAAGCTTGTAGAAAGTTTTGATAGATTAACTAAGGACATTTTGTTGTCGGTTTATATTCGACTTGTGCCAGTAGATTGCTGTCTGTTTTTCAATACTCTTCTGATGAAGATGATGAATTTTTAAGTAATCATAACGATTCCGAGAAGAGATGCAAATATTTTAGTTCTATAATCATTCGATTCTTATTACTGTTATTCCCCACAAAAAAACTTCTATATAGATTGCTGTCTGTTTTTCAATACTCTTCTGATGAAGATGATGAATTTTTGAGTAATCACTAGGATTCCGAGAAGAGATGCAAATACTTAGCTATTTTGAGCAGTTGTACTATAATCAATCGATTCTTATTACTGTTATTCCCAAAAAAAGAACTTCCATACATTGTGCAACAAGAAACAATGTTCCTAATTTATCCTGCTTGCATTACACGGGTTAAGGACATGAATTTGTCAAATGCCATTCTGTACAATTTACAACATTAATCTACACGTTCAAGTTATGTTAATAACCTAGGAAATAATTCAAATCAACCCACTGACTCACCGAGGACTCTGTTCATGCATTCTCTTTAAGATACCTGGGTGGATATCTTGATCTAATTCACTGCAACCGAAACAGATAAAGCCAGAACCCCCTTTTCCAGCCAGGAACTATATTTCTCCGTCAGGTAGGGTTCTAACTGTCGAATAAGCTTACTCTTCCCGTATAATGATAATCTGAGGCATAAAGGAAATGAAAATCAAGGGAAAAAGGAAATGTGACCAATGCTTTACGTCAATCCAACTTGAACACCTTGCAACAAACCTGCTTGATTATTTCTCCAGACTGGACACAACTAGCGCCGGGGCAAAGAGGGTGGTCCTCCAAAAGAATAACAAGATGAGACACTTGTAGACGTGGGGTCAAAATCACCGCCCAGATGGTGGAATTGACTACTGTTGTAATTTGACAAAGCGGGAAGGGAAGGATTTGGTGGCGCATGATGAAGTCTTTCTCTTTCAATTTGTGGATTTAATCTTAGAGACTGATATTTCGGCTCACTTGTATACCTGCTAAAGGTATTTACATAAGCAGCAGCACCTTTCCCTGATGGAAAATAAGGTTCTGCAGTTGTTGTAGTTGCAAGTGGCCCTGGCAATGAAAGATAACGATTCACCAATGAGGTAGTGCTATCATCATAAGGATCATATCCATTCCTCCTTGAATCTTCAAAAGACCGACTGCTTTCTGGGGCAACAGGAGGCTGCCTACTGGGTAGATTTTGAACTCCTTTAAGGCCAAAAGTTCGATATTCCTTTTCACTTGGAAATAACAGACTAGGGCGGCTAGGTTCTTTCTGCAGTGTAACTGCATTAGTGATCACAGGAGGAGGATTGCTTTGAAGCCGCTCTCCTCTGTAATCAAACATGTACTTCTCATATGTGTGTGTGGTTGGAGAACGAACAGTAACGGTAGTTGGCAACACTTCCCTTTCTGAACGTAAACCATAACTTCGGTATTCCTTTTCCGTGAGAAAAAGAGGACGCTCATGTTGAGGATATCCAACACTCTGCATGGTATGGCGGCCGCTGTGATCAACAGGTGAAGATCCTTCTTGTAGCTTTCTACCGCCATACAGCTGTTCTCTGTGAATTTCTTGTTGTCTACGATGAACTTCCTCAGTTGGCAAAGGAAATTCGGGCTGAACATTTGAAGGTGGCATGATCTCCTCAGGAAGAGAGGATTTAGCATATGAATGCAGTATAGGGACAGGACGAAACAACACGGTCAGTCTTCTAACCTACAAACATAGAAAGTAGTGTCTGAGATACAAAAACTACTTAGCGTCATGCTCTGCCAAAACACAGATTATCATTAAAATTCAAATAAACCATTTTCTCAATTGGCATCTGAAATAACATGTTCAACTTTGAACAGCACAATTCTCCGGTCATATACCATCCATAAAAAATTTCAAACAATAGTTTCTTACTTGATCCACTGTCAACTCGGTCTTGAACTTATGTGTCTTCTCATCATAACTGTCTTTGATTGCCTTCTTAAAAATAGATTCGGGCAATGAAAGGCAGTCCTTGTAAATTTTGAAGCGCACCTATCAAGCAGGAAACAAGATCAATTCATGAATCATTTGAAAATTTCAGAAGCAGGGAAAACTAGCACAAAGGAAAACACAATCAACCTGAGCAGGGAAGCCTCCACCGAATGCTGCAGGCTCAAGTTTCATGCCACCGGCCGAAGCTGCCTCATATATTCCATACATGACCTTGAGATCAAAATCGAAAAGGAAAAGCTTCAAACCAGGCCTAATTCGCATTACCATGTCTTGCTTGCTAGCTGAAACACCCATTACACGATACTGGAAACAATCTGGTTTTGTTTTTGCATTGCACATAAAGATCATTCCACCAATATTTTTGCCAGATTCTACCTTTGTCCTCTCTTCACGCCTTTCAACATCATTTTCCTTCTCTTTGTTCCTCTGCTGTGAATTCAAAAGATTTCCAGCATGCTTTTTATTAGTTGTATCTCGCTTTTCTTCTTTATTTCTTTTCCTCTTATTTTCATTCTCTGTTTTAACTTCAAGAGCAGGTTCACCTTCCTTTGACTGGACTAACTCCTGTGATAAGGATTTGTGTTTCTCTGCAGGTTCGGGATATTTATTGTCAGACTGCTCTGCTTCTACCTCCACAACAGAATTAGCATCATTCTCGTCCTTTTTCTTTATTTTCTCTGGTGCAATATCTTCCCTATTGGATTTTCTCACAACTTTTACTGTTTTCTTCAAAATTTTGGAATTTTTCTTGTCAGAATTCCCTGGTGCAGCAAAAGAATCAGCAACATAACCAATTTTCCTGATTCGTCGTCTTCGAACCATAATTTCTCTGTTGAGGAATAAAAGGATGCACTTAACAATACAATAGCTTCTTCATGTTTACATTTACTAGCAGCATTAGTTAATAAATTAAAAGGAAGTCAACCAAAGAGCCTGGAATCTCCATGTTGGAAAATATACATCTAAACTATGAAACCCCCACAGCTTAATACGAGTAATGTAAAAGATCGAAGCTTTCCCCATGCAAAACCCTGCATAAAGCAAATTCCTTTTCATAATTTAACAAATATTACCCCGGGTCATGTCAGCACCAGGATCTTCAACCTATTTGAGTTAAGTTAATGTATTGTATTGTGATTATGGCTTCTGAAAATATGTGCAGTTAGTGAAAACTGTAAGTGCCTATACCGAGTCAAAGTAATGAGCACAACAAAAAAGAACACATTGAAAAATCATCTATCAAATTCTTAAACCCGTTAGCTGATGACAAACTGATCTTCCACATAGTTACATTTGATTGTAAGAGACTGAGCCTCACAATCTGTTAACCAACTAATATCCTAGATCAAACCTTCGGTATCATGAAAGCCTAACATCAACTCCAACAATTCAATAAGTTCCTCTTAGAATCTGGAGCAAGAATATCAAGGGAGACATACAAACAGTTTTTCACATAAATTCAGCAAGATAAAAGTATGTTCTTTGCCACCCACAAAAAAAAAAGAAAAAAAAAGAGTAAATTGCCGCGCTAATTCTGATCAGAAACTCAAACTATCGATTTTCAGCAACACAAAGGGAATTTCGACGCGGCTGTGTGAATTACTAGAATGCAGGAGTACCCAAAAATTTCACAAATTTTGTTGATTTAATTAAGAAACAAAAGTGATAAAGTAGGTGCTGTGATAATGAAGATAAGGTTAAGCAATATTCACCTCTAATTTGGGAGCTCTGAAGCTGAAGAGAAGGTTGCTTCTTTTTCAAAAAAGTCCGACTACGGAGGTCAACGGCGTATCGATGCCGGCCGCCAGAACGTCGGGGATAATGTTCCGGTGCTGGCCCGGGAGGAGGAACCGACGGTAGTTAAAAGCTGATAGGTAGTTAATCCGGGTTCAACTCAATTTTTGAAGGTACCCAGAGGTTTGGACCCCGTGTAGTAGCAGAGAAGGAGCCCGGCCCAAAATAGCAGTAAACAGAGAGCCCAGACTCTGACAGCAGAAACTCAAAACAAATTCAGTCGAATATTCGAAATTATTTCATTTAGCAAAACTAATGAAGAGTATGATGAAATATTGGAAATTATTTCATTTAGCTCAGATTTTTTTCCCCCTTTTTAATAGTCTAATCTGTAAAAAAAAATCTCTCTTTTGTCCTTTCATTTTAGACAAAAATCTTTAGTCAGATAGTGCACGTTGAGTTTTAAATTTATATTACTTTGAAATTGAGAGAAGTATAAAACACCAATTAGGCTTTTGACGCATAGCTGAGAGCCCAAAACAAAAAAGAAATTACCATATTAATAATACTACATTTTTACTCGGACAAGTTAATAAGAGTTTGCTGATGACATTTAATACAAACTCGCCACAATTTGGATCATTTCATCAGCATTCTGTTTGTTGTGGGTTTGGCTCAACATAAAGCTCAGATTCTCAGCAACTCTACCAAAGCTCCATCTGACTAGGGCATTCAAAATAGAAGGAACCAAGGGATGAATACAGAACCAAGGCAATCATTGCGCATAACACTTCAAGCACTTAATGCTGTAAGGGATTTCTTGCTCTTTTTCGGCAGCTTCCTGGAGCATTATTGGTGAACAGCTGATGTCTGCCATTGAGAAATTTGTGTTAACATTGGTGCAATAAGACTTCAACTCCACTCCAAAGGTGGCAAGCAGAAGATATGCAAATCAAGAAGTCCGCGGATTAGAAGTTTGGAATTGTAAACCCTTTCACATGGTCCCAAGACACATGAAAAATGTGATTGCTATAGCTATACAAAATGAAATCACAATATAAACCAGTTTATCAGGTTGACGCACATACCTCTTAAGTTCTAACCTCTGAATAACTATCCCATTTAGCAAAAGTTCAGGATCATAGATTGCAACTCCTGCAGATAGAGAACATCAAAGAGTTATCATAGGTCGAAGACAACTGGGATTTTTCCTGAACAGATGGGTTGAAATGATACCTTTATGTAGGAGTGTCACACATGCAGCGTAATCCTCTTCGCAGGAGAGAACTAGTAAATCATTTGGGACATGACCACCGTTCCATTCTGTCTTTGGAATTCTTTTCAAGACCTGTGGTGAATTGGTCAGGCAAATTTTAAGAGACTCGGTGGTGGTTTATGGTTATGAGAGAACAACTAGATGAGAAATGGGATTAAATGGCTAGAAAAATACATTTCCTCCATCTATTTACTTTGCTTTGAATTACAATGAAAATCTCAAAAAAAAAAAAAAAAAATTACAATGAAAATCAGGTGTGCATCTTTCTATGTTAGTCTTTAGGAATTCCAAATGCAGATAGAGTCATTTACCCATACAATCAACCTTATTGTGTACCTTGCCATGAAGCAACTTCACCAAACTCTGAATCATCTCGATATCAGGTTTCACGTTTGCGGTAATGAAGACTCTTAAACCCTGAAGAACAGTGGTAATTAGACAATAACATATACCTAACAAATCCTAACCATGCACGAAAATGTTATTAACTGTAACTTTAGGATAAATGGTACATGCAGTTTATCTTACCGTCAGAAGTGGATGCTTGCAAGCATGAGCTAGTGTTACTGGCATGCTAAATCCGATTTCTTTTTCCTTTTCAGAATCTCTCAGTATGAAAGGCTTTTCGTCAACAAAGTATTTCGCTTGATCGCAGCTCTCAAGCCAGCAATGGGTCACCACTGGCTTACCAAGAGAAATGGCTTCCAACATATTCCTTGTACGCGCAAACCTATCGGTAACGAAGTGTGTGGCATCTGAGCAACAACATGCAATTGAAAAGCCTAACCGCGCAATAATCTTTGGAAAGAAACCATAAAGACAAAAATCAAATAAGAAGACACACGAGGCGGTAATCCAAGTAAGCAGCAAAAAGAAAATTAATGAGATGTAAATCATAAATGCACCTTTTTCTGCTTATTAAGGATATCACAGTCCAAATGCTGACTGAATAAGATTGAAAGAGTATCATTCCTACGTCTTCTCAGTTGTCTAGGAATAAAGTTGGGAAGAGGATCAGGCATACTCTTTTCCTGAATCTTATGCTTTGGAACTTTTTCTGACGGTGTTGTTTGTGGAAAAGACAGACTTTCTGCATGACTAGAAGGCAATGGTCCTGCTGCACACTTTGGAGGTTCTACCGGATATTTGTCTATCTGTTCATCATCAACCACTTTCAATAAGGTAGATGAGTTAATAGACCCTTTGCAGAGTCGGGGAACACCTTTACGTGTTCTCTTCTTCTTTTTCAAGCACCATGGCTCCAATTTCAAGAGTGTGCTAGTCCCTAACCAACCTGAGTTGCATCTCCCTTGTGTTCTTTTTGAACTCATAATCCCTAATGATTCATCAGAAATTGAGTTCAAATTCCTCCTTTCTAAAGTTTTGTGAATGTTAACATCTGAGCTAGTTTCCATTCTTCTCTTCTTTGCAACATCAAGCTCCAAATCATTGTTCATACTTCTTTTGGAACAACGGCTTGGAGCCGTAGATACTTCAGAAATTCTCTCTAATGGTTTACATCTATCTCTCTTGGCGCCACCTGATGACTTCCTGAACTTCTGGACAATCATGACCTCTATGTGCTGCTGGCTGTGAGTGAATTTTGATGAACTACAGCCGTTGCCTGCTCCTTCTGAGTTCTCCATCTCTAGATTTTCATCCACCTGTTGTTTGCTAATCAATCTTAAATTTTTGCCACCAAGGACTTTCTTCACAACCATGGGTTTCCTGTAATGCAAAGAATTTGCAGCTAGAGGCTCCCGGCATGTGGCGCTATTCTTTGGACGCAATGGAGAACTGTATTCATTTTTGTATCCAGAGTGCATTTTAAGGGGACAGGATACATCTTGGTTCAACTTGTTAAAATTTTTGGTGCTCATATTCTCTACCTGTTTCTGGTTGATTAGGGAAACTGAGCCAGGCATCTCAAAATTGGTGCATTTCTTGCTCTTTGGTGCAACTTCGGATAAGTTACCAACCTCATCTCTTGGAAACTCTTGAGTATGCAGCACACTGATGTTTGGAAGGGGTGCATACATTAAAGCTTCCATAGCTTCAGCAGCTACTTGAGTGTCATAGCCAAAATCACATGTATCTGCTATTATCTGTGTGTCACTACCATCTTTTTCTGGTGACTGCTGAAGTGATTTGACATGCAACTCCTCTTCATTTGATACCTTGACAACATTGCATTCAGTCGTTTCTTTTTCATCCCAGTCAAAGATTGTTATATCTCTTGGTTTAGCAGCGAGATAGGCTCTCTTTGCCAACGATTGCACACCTTTTACACTGAATTCCGGAGGTGATTTCTCAATCCCCCCTCTTTGACCATCACTCTTCTGATTCTCCAATATGTTCAGATTGTTAACGGACAGAAAATGATCTACAAAATCCAGGGCATTCATGTGGTAAGGTTCTTTGGGCTCCTCAGAATCACTACCCAATCCAAACTCATTCAGGCAAATCTGACGTGGGACGTCATTTTCTCCATGCTTGGTTTCGCAGTGGCTTGAAGCAAATCTATCAGCATCACTGTCGACAGCAAAATGTCTCCTCATCTTCTCATTGCACTCCAAGCTCCCATCATCCTTATTGCAAATTTTATTCTCAGAATGTCGTATTTTCTCATCAAGTGAATGTATTCCTATATTTGAAGCATGGGAAGAGACAGTACCATGCTTCTCAATCTTGTGATTTCCTTCAGAAGTTGCCTTTTCAGCAGAAGCTAAAGACAGAATGGAATGTTCACAAACGCTAACATTTTTACTTCGCCTCCTCCTGTATACTGGACAACATAAGACACACTACACAATTTAAAGTGTCCTTTAACCTAGAAAATTCACCACCAAAACACACATAATACACCTATAAACACTTTCACGCTTCCAATTTGATTGTTGAAAAGATATGTCAATACTCAAAAACCCAGGGAATTGACTTTAAAAGAAATTGATCATCATGAGTACACTATTATCATTGCAAAAGTGTTCAGATTTATAAGAAAGTATGGGTTACCGAGGCTATTCAGCTTCCATTTATTATTCATTTCTTCCAAACTCTTCGAAGCTGATCCACAGTCAACAACTTCTATTTCTTCGGCACTGCCAAGCACAGCATCTTCGACACCAACCTCAACAATTTTGCTTCTCTTCCTCCGGTACACTGGATGACAAAAGAAACATCGTCAAACTCTAGCAACATTGAACATGTTTAATCCAGAACCAAAGTACCCATACTCTAATGTTTAATAGCACGTTGATGACTTCAAGCATCATATCTAACAAATGAATTATATTTTTTAAACTATTACGTAAGTAGTCGTAGTAACATTATAGTAGTGGATGAATTGATTATCACACATACACACATAAATAGAAGTGAACGTAGAACCTATTGCATTTCAAAGAAAGAACAGATTACCCAGGGTATTGAGCTTCCATTTATTACTCGTATTCTCCATGTTCTTTACAGTTGACACGCAGCCAACCCTTTCGGCTTCCTGCTCATCACTGTCAAGCACAATATCTTTCAGGGCATGATCACCTATGACAGGAGCCCTCAAATATTCACGAGAATCAGGGGCATCCTGATCTTCAGTGTCTTCTACATAAGCATTTTCCAAATCATCTTCTAGCTCATGCCCATCGATTTCAACAGTGTCATCAAGAGGAACCGTGCATATGACCTCATCAGCTTCCACTTCATACCCCCCAATTTCAACAGTGTCATCAAGAGGTACCGTGTATATATCCTCATCCTCCTCCATCTTCTCTGGGGATTCCTAGACCTAATAGAATTCCTCAACATATTATATATTATTAACGATAATAAGAACAACAGAAACAACCAAAATACCCTAATTCATCTAACATCCAGCAGCTATTGTGATTCAACTGGACATCCCAGAATCAAATTAAACATACCCTAATTTCACCATAACTAGTGATATGAGTAAAACACTTAAAGATCGAATTCTGTTTTTTTTCCCCTTTTTTTTTCTTGCGTCTTGGTCTCATTTTCGTTTTTCAACTCAAATTTCTTACATTTTCAACCTAATCAATTCCAAAAACCAAAAGGGCAAAAACAGAAACCAACATAAAGACAGTATCGACACAGACCTTGAAGGTGCGGCTTCACGAAGCTAATCGAAATGTTGCAACCCGTATCAAAAGCAAGCCACTCGTCTGCACAGTCCAGGAATTTATTGTAGGAAGATCAAATCACTCTTGAAGTAATCTCTTGCATAAGGAAATTATCATTGTTTTGAATGAAGGGTTGCAGCAATAATAACTCAGGAATCAAGCGAACCCATCAGGCTTGAACTTCATTTTGAAGTTGACGATGAAGAAACGAAATTGTGAAGGTAACAAAAAATGCTTCGGTTGCAGAGAACCCAATTTATTTCCTTGGCTTCTGCTGAGAAGCTAAAAGCAGCGTCGATTGTAGAGCTTCGATGAAATTGAAAGGAGGGAAAATACTTTTTAATTGGGTTCTTTGGAGGGAAAAAATGAAATATCAGCTAAATAATTTCTGGAAGAAGACTTCTCAAAGAAGGGCATTTGGTCTAGTGGTATGATTCTCGCTTAGGGTGCGAGAGGTCCCGAGTTCAATTCTCGGAATGCCCCATGTGCTTTTCTTTTTACCCACTTTTCAGAAGCAAAATATCGTCCAGTCCAGAATCCCGATCTTTCGTACCAAGGAGCAAAGTATATATATAAGTGATTTTAACTGTATGACTCACTGAAATTTGAGTTTAGCTTTTGTTTTCCCACTTCCTTTGTCTCACGGAGAGAATCCCAAACATGAATTTAAGAATGTGCTTTACATGTTTGAGTATGTTCACAGTATTGAAGGTAAATCATTTCTGTGTAACAAAATTTTCAGCTATCCTGCAACAGTAACAATCTGAAATATCAACAGCCAGTAACTTCGGTTCTCATTTCTTTTCTCCCATGGTTTTTTAAGTACAGTACCCGAAATTTGGAAATTTGAGTCCACATTCACTGATCCAATATAATGTGTATCACTAACCTTCCCATCATCTCAAACTGTTCCATTTATCGTGTCCTGAACATATTGAAAAGAATGACATATTTTTCTTATGCATCAGTTTTGGTGCATTGTCCAACTACTCCCAGGCGAAACCTTGAGACCTCTTTCCTTCATTTCTCTTCTGAGTTCTTCGGCTTCTCTGCGCCGACCAGCGCTAGTATAAAGCCTACCTAATATTACATAGTTTGCAGGATTCTCAGGCTCCATTTCAAGCAATGCTCTTCCAGCAATTTCCCCAAGCTCCACTTCTCCATAACTTCGACAAGCTGCAAGTAATGCTCCCCAAGCTTTGACACTTGCCTTCACTGGCATTTGCCTTATTAAATCATACGCCTCATGTAACCTACCAGCCCGGCTCAGCACATCAACCAAACAGGCATAGTGATCACTACCGGCTTCCAGACCATATTGATTGTGCATACGAGAAAAGTACATACGTGCTTCATCAGGTAATCCTGCATGACTACAAGCCTTCAAAACTGCCAGAAAAGTAATCTTGTCTGGCTTTACATTCGCCATTTCCATTCTCTCGAATATTTTCAGGGCATTTCTCGCATCACCTTGAAGCGCGTGAGCTGATATCAAACTGCTCCAAGCAACCACATCTGGCACATCATCTTCCTTCATTTGTTGAAACACTTCATCGGCAGTTTTAAGATCACCACACCGCCCGTATGCTTCTACTAGCCCACTCCTAAATTGCATATTAGGATCAATCCCATTCCTTATCGAATAACCATGAATCTCCTTAATCAAACTCAGTTCTGCTAAACCCAGACAAGCCTTTAACAAAGCAAGAACCGTAATTAGATTAGGGGACAAACCCATCTTCAACATTTGCCTATAAAAATCAATAGCCTTATAACATCCATCAATATCATCTTCCACACAATCCAACAAAAAACCCGCCATAATCGAGTTGAAACTCGAAGCAGAAGGTTTAACATCCATAACTCCGAACAATTCCAACGCAGCAGAAATATTCTTGGAAGCTGCATAAAGCGAAATCATCGAGTTCCACACAACTTCGTTCCGTTGGGGAATTTCGTCGAACAGTTTCCGGGCAGATGGAATCGAGATGCATTTCCCGTACATAATGAGGAGAGCAGAAGCGACGTATGGGTTTGTAAGGAAAGAGTGTTTGTAGGTGAGTGCGTGAATGGAAATGCCGAGATAAGGGGAGTTGAGGGATGAGCAGGATTTGAGGGCGAGTGGAAAAATAAAGGGGTCTAAGGAAAGGGAAAGGGAAGAATGAATATGGTGAAAAAGAGAGAGGGCTTCATGGTGACGGCCATTGTTGACGTGTGAAGTTAGTGTCTTTGTGTACGACAGTAATCGAAGGTAGTTTGAGGAATAAGAAGAAGCCATTTTTAGTGTCTCATGCCAAGAATGTACATAAACCTTGAGCTACATAATAATCTGTAAAGACAAAGACTGCGAGCCTGCAAGTGTTATGATTTCTTGCTGATTTAACCTTCCATTCACGTACTTTTCTGGTCCAACTTATAACGAGGTTCAAATCATTGTTTCGATTCCAAAGAAAATTTTATCCGGAGTCGGGAGTCTGGATAGAAGACGACCAGAGAGACATTGTGCAAAAAAATTTAAAAAGGGGGCGTTCCGAGAATCGAACTCGGGACCTCTCGCACCCAAAGCGAGAATCATACCACTAGACCAAACGCCCTTTGTTTGACGAAGGAGCTCAAAAACCTATATTATAATCTTTAAAACGTGGATAATTTCATGGTGACATTGGACTCTAGAACACTAATAGTTCTTTGTTTCCATAAGATTTAAGCAGGGAAAGATACTTTCATGTAGATGAAAATTTGCTGACTAAACATACTCCCAAAAACCAGAAAAGAGTAGAGCGACGATTAAGTGATATATTCCCTCCGATCCTTAATATATATAACACATTTTGGTTTCACCTCACAAAGGAACCGAATTGCAGAGCATTTTTGGGGTTAGCGTTCCAATACAATAAGATCTCATGTTTATGAATTTCCTAACGGACCGCATTTGAAAAACTCGGCCTAGTTTCTAGTATTTTATAGGCATATGTTTATACCACATGGTTTTAGGAAGTGATTGGGGCTATTTTTTAGTGATTTTCGAGTTTGCAAAATACAATCCAAATAGTAGTTTAAAAAAAGGCTAGCATCACTGTTGGGCGTTGGGATTTTGTGGCAGATTATTCTCCCAAATGGGCTCTCTAACCAGTGATTTAGTAAATTTACCGGCAGAAGAGTTCTATCTCTGTCATAATTTTTATGATAAGGTACTCCCTCTGTCCCAAAATTATTGTCTAGTTTGTGATTTCATTTTTAGTACAATTTGAACTAGAAATGAAAAACCAAATTGGACAATAATTATGGGACGGAGGGAGTAGTAATTTAAACGCCATTACGAATCGTTTACTCAGTTCACACCCCTGAAATTCCGTCTCATCATTGATCTCAATATATACTAGACGCTTACCCCGGGTAAATGCCCGAGGGCGTGCTCCCATCTAATAAATTAATATGTAAATAATCAAAATTAATTAGGAATAAATTTAGTTTTTGATGAAAATAATTGATTGATCGAAAATTAATTTTTTCGAAAGTCCTAAATAAGTGAAGAAGGAAAATTACATTCACTGTCAAATTCAAAATTTGAATGAACATGGTCATCTGATCTCTTCGTTAATATTGTAAATATATTTTTTGTTTTTAAAGGAGATGACACATGGCAGAATAGTTTATGCAATAGGGTGCATTTGGAGCCAAAACTTTTTAATAAGAAATTGACACATAAGCATCCTGTTTTCTGTTTTAATAGGGTAAAAGGGATAAGCCTGGTTCGCGATTGAAAACCTAATGAAAAGTCCCAAACTCGTAGACAACCAGTAATGCATCCTTTATCTTCTTTGTCATTGTTCCTTTTTGTTTTATTTTATTTTACCGTTCCAGAGTCCGTATTAGATTATTGATCTTTGTTATCGTCTTCGCTAATTTATTGAGAACTTGTATATGAATGTGTGATTCATACAGATTCCTCCGTCCTAAAATTATTGTCTTATTTGAGTTTTCACTTTTAGTTTATTTTGTACTAAAAATGAAATTCTAAGCTGGACAATAATTTTGGGACGGAAGGAGTAATATAATGCTTTCAATATGACAGATTTTCTAGTGTGTATAAAGAAACTTTTTTACACCCCCTTTTTTTGCATCTCCTTTATTGTCTAATCCTGACCGGATATATAAGAGACTAGGGCTAATTAATTTTGAATGATGGGATCGATCAGTTGTCAGTTCATGTATGCTATAGAGATCGATGAACACGAATTTGGTTAGCCACTTGCTTGTCAGTTGTCATATTCTGTTTTGATTGGGTTTGATTATTATTATTGTAATCTTTAACGATGTTGCTTATAAATCGCTCCAGAACTATGAGTCAACTTGATGGCGGTGATGCTGATATTCATGAGCCTACAAAAACGATAGCTAACCGTTTGGGCATAATTCAGCTCATTGCATTTCGAGGCGTATGTAAAAGTTGGCGAGCCGCTTCTTTTCCAGCTTCTGCGCACCTCGAATCCGCGGCGAAAACGGCGCCTTGTTTCATAGTTTACAATGATCAGGACAAGAAATGTTCCCTCTATTATGAGGAGGACAAAGATGCTAACAAAGTGGGAAGAAAGAAATATGAGTTGAGCATCCCAGAATTCGAAAATGCTACTTGTCTTGCATCAAATCATGGGTGGCTGCTTTTAAACCGACATCCATGTTCAGGTTCAGGCGCAGGCTCGTTGTTTTTCTTGTGCCCTTTCTCGCGGGCAAGGATCGACTTGCCAGAAATACCTGAATCGGACATCTCAGGTTATGTTGGTGCCTTTTCGGGTCCTCCTACTTCTCCCGAATGCATTGTCACTGTGGCTAATTAACAGGTGCGACAATGGGCGGGTCAGACTATACTTGATTCGCCGCGGCGAGAACATGTGGGCTAAACATGAACAGAATGGTGGATTGGCTGGTTCCATCAAGGCAGCTCTTTATGTAGAACATAAATCCAGCTTCTTCTTGATGGATGACAAGAACAAGATGCTGAAATTTTCGCCGAAGAGTGGAGCCTGGAAAGTTTATAGAATAGCGGAATCATCTTCGGAATTGAAAGCTATGGCGTTTGGTTATCATGAGAATTTTGCTGGCGATATTGTGTGAAGAAGTGGATGGGATTGCAACATGATGAAGATGTTTCGATTTCCATTTGTGGGACTCTTTTGCCTGGGAAACAAGATGAATTTCATGTGTGTAATGAAACCATTGAGGCTCCAGGGAAGCCGATGCTCAAAGGGATATGGATTCAGGCCACTGGTTCCATCGAATTGATCCACACAACCAAACTTGGGCTTTATGAGGATGGCTCTTTATTCGGCTTAAATACATTTCATATGAACGTTTCATGTGTGGAACTCTTTTTTCTTGGGGCCATTGGTTTGGTACGAGGTTTATTATATGACAATTTGACATTTTCTCTTAAAAGTGACTAGAATGTCTCCCATAGGTTGAAAAGTAACAATTTGAAATGATGTTTGAGCGATTCGTATTATTGTCATTATTATTACTATGGTAACCGTAAAATTGATGCTTTTTTCATACACATAATTTCCATTAATGATTGATAAGGAAATCACCGCACCGAAAAAACATATTTTTTCCGACCGAAAAAAATAATTCACATTTTGTGTTGAGATATATATTAAAATCAATATAAATTTCAAAACTCGTACTAGACTATATTTTTTTGTAACAGGGGGGATTACATAAAAACAGAGGATGTGTGCAACGAGGAGATATCCATGATTGAGAACTGTGATGTGTTTAGTGTAACTCTTACGGTTATCCATTCAAAAGAATCAAAACCAATCTAATAGTTGTATCAAAGTGTTCAGTAATTAAAAATAAGGCTGAAAACCTGAAATATAATTTGTTCACCCCTCGAGTAAACAGTTTCACACAGTAATATGTGTTTTTTTTATTTTTTTTATTTTTTTATTAAAAAAAAAAGATTAGTACGAGCAGAAGAATTCTATCAAATATACCAATTTTAAAGTAATTAAACGCCATTAGGGGTTTACCTTCTCAGTTGAACTCTATACAAATTGCGTTTCGTCGATCCAGAATATGTGTTTGCGAAATCCACAAAAAGCCTTGCGAAATTGCGTTTCATGGTGTCTGCGAATTACAGAAAGCCTTATGAAGAACCGCAAACTCGGAGAGCACTCGTAAGAAATTGCATCTTCCTTTTTCTCCTTTTTCAGTTCTTTTTTTTTTTTGTCAATAATTCATGTTTTACAAAATCGGTTTTGTTATGTTGATTAAAGAATTCAGAATTACAGATAATCTCTGAAGTTTGTATTTATACCATAACTAAAATCTTTGTACGAGCGTGTTTCAGAACTTGCTTGTACCATGACGCTATCCAAAAAGTTAATAATACTACAACTGTGCCAGCGTAATCCGGACTAGGGTTTGTGAGTATAATTTACAACCTTTTGAGAATTTGAGCATTTCAATCCCCTCTTTAACAGCTCGATTTGTTGTTGAACCAAAAACGTATAATAAAAGTGGGACGGAAGGAGTATTACATATTGTAATTAACTTACACTCATCTGTGTGTACACAGTTGTTTGTTTTGTACCCACTCCATTATCATATTTTGTTAAATTGATTTCATTTCCAATTGTATTCTGTTTCACATATTATAGAATAAAATCCTCCAGAACAATAGCCCGGTTGCGTGCTGGTGATGGTGATATTGATCCGACAGCGAGATCATGGTCTGATCTGCCTCAGGAACTTCTAGAGCTGATTGCAAACCGTTTGGGTGTAATTCAACTTTTCGCCTTTCGGGGTGTCTGTAAAAGCTGGAGATCAGCTTCTGCAGTTGCTTCTGCTGTCCACGAATCTGTCGTCAAGAAACGGCCTAGTTTCCTAGTTTACGGTGATCAGGGCACAAAATGTTCCTTGTACTACATGACAGAGGAAGCAGGTGATGATGAATCAGGAAGAAAAGTGTATCATATGGACATCCCGGAATTTGAAAACGCCACTTGCCTTGCATCCAATCAGGGGTGGCTGCTTTTACACCAATCATCAGGCTCAGGCTCAGGCTCAGGCTCATTGTTTTTTTTCAGCCCTCTTTCGCGTGCCAGGATCGACTTGCCGCGTTTGCCTGAAGCAGAACTGTCATGTCATTTTGGGGCGTTTTCCGGTCCTCCTACTTCTCCTGAATGCATTGCGGCTGTGGCTAAGAAATGTGAAAACGATCGAGTGAAACTGTACTTGCTTCGCCGTGGCGAGAAAGCGTGGACTGAGCATGAACTTGTTGATCAAGTGCTTGGTTCTATTAAGGCTGGTCTTTATCTAGAGGAGAAATCAAGCTTTTATTTCATGGATGACAACAGCAAACTGCTGAAATTTTCGGTGAAACAGGAATCCTGGACTCCTTATAGAATTTTGCCCCCTGGTTCTGGGAAGGGCATAGACGTCATGCCATTTAATTATGATGACGAGGTTTTCAACCTATACAACATGAAAGCCTGGATGGGATTGCAGGGCGATGACGATCTTTCGATTTCCATATGTGGGACTCTTATACCTGGGCAAAGCAGTCCCGTTTTTGCTTGCAATGAGAACATGGAGGCTCCTGATGGAAGTGAGAAGCCGAAGCTGAAAGGGATATGGATTGAAGCCAGGTTCCATCAAATCCCAGAGACCCAAACCTGGGATCTATGAGGAGTTTTTCTCCTGCTTAAGCCTTAAAAGATAAGACTTAGACTTTGATATTAATTATCAACTTTGGATATTTCCTACTTTTGTTTTCCCAGAAATTTGGATAGATAGTTGAGTGATTTTTACATGTGAAGCTAAAATTTTCGTTTGATTAGTTGTTGGTAGAGGAAATACTTGAATCTACTGAGTATTGAAATGCTTAATTTCATCCGATATAAGAAGATACAATTACACAATTAATGACCACTGATTTCAACAGTCAATCCACATGAATGTGGTACTATCAGATGCGTTGAATCGTTTTATTAAGATTCAACGAACAAGAAAAACTCTGTACAACGATTAATCAATGAATTAGTTCATCAGCAACTTATGTTCTTCGTATACATCAACCGTCAGGGTAATCTGATTAATTATGAGACTGACTGGCTACTTAGTTTCTTAATCCTTTCTGATCTCTTTCTCTTCTTTGACAAAGACTGTTTAGCTTCGCGGTAGCTAAGCTTATTAATATATATAAACCCAGTCAAGTGAAAGCTTAACTCAATATAAATCAAAGATTGAATTTCTTTTAATATTCTTTCATTGATTCAAAGAGGAAATAATCTGTGAAATGAGTGGCAAAAGTGGGAATCCGGCCATTGGAATTGATCTGGGGACGACGTACTCGTGAGTGGGGTTCTGGAAAAATGACAGAGTTGAAATCATAGCCAATGATCAGGGCAACAGAACTACGCCATCTTATGTGGCTTTTACAGATGAAGAGCGTCTCATTTGGGATGCAGCTTTCAACCAGGTTGCCTTGAATCCTGTTAACAGAGTATTCGGTAATAAATCACATCTAATACTCCGACTATAAGTAATTATGTAGTTATGTATATGCATACATCCTGAGTGGTTTTCTTTTCTCCCTTGGATTAATGCAGATGCAAAGAGATTGATCGGAAGAAAATTCAGTGATGAGTCTGTTCAGAGTGACATGAAACTCTGGCCATTTAAGGTAATTCCGAGTACTGATGACAGGCCGATGATTGTTGTTTCTTACAAATCTGAGGAGAAGAAGTTCACAGCTAAAGAGATTTCATCTATGGTTCTGACAAAGATGAAGCAAATTGCGGAAACATTCATTGGGTCAACGGTGAGTGATGCTGTGATCACTGTTCCTGCCTATTTTAACAATTTGCAGCGTCAGGCGACAATGGACGCGGGAGAAATTGCGGGCATTACTGTTTTGCGGATCATCAGCGTACCAGTAGCTGCCGCCATTGCTTATGGCTTGGATCATCATTCCAGGACCGAAGCGAAAAGGGATGTTCTCATTTTCAATCTTGGGGGCGGAACTTGTGATGTATCAACTCTCACCATTGAGAATGGAAACATCAAAGTCAAGGCTACTGCGGGTGATACTCATCTTGGTGGGGAGGATTTCGACAATAGAATGGTGAACCACTTCATTAAGGAATTCAAGAGGAAACATAGCAAAGATGTTAGTTCAAATCCTAAAGATATCAGGTGAATAAGAACCGCTTGTGAGAGGGCTAAAAGGATCATTTCGTCTGCCACTCATACAAGAATTGAGATTGATTCTCTGTTCCAGGGCATTGAATTTTCAGCAAGAATCACCAGGCCCAAGTTCGAGGAGTTGAACTCTGATTTATTCACCAAGTGTATCAAGCTTGTCGACAAGTGTTTGACGGATGCCCAGATGAACAAATGTGATTTGAATGATGTTGTCCTGGTGGGCGGTTCGAGTAGGATTCCAAAGGTTCAGCAACTGTTACAAGACTTGCTAAAAGGGAAGGAGCTCTGTAAAAGTATCAACCCTGATGAAGCTGTTGCTTACGGCGCATCTGTTCAAGCCGCAACCTTGAGCAGAATTTGTGATGAGAAGATTCAGGACTTCAAACTTCTGGAAGTCACCCCTTTATCTCTTGGTGTTGATGTTGTTGGAGACATAGTGAGTGTTTTAATCCCTAGGAATCCTGCCATACCAACCAGAGAAACAAAGAATGTGACGACTGTTCCTGATTACCAATCTGCAATGAGAATCAAAGTGTTGGAGGGTGAGAGAGCCAGATCAAGCGACAACAATTTTTCAGGTGAATTTAAGCTCCAGGGAATTCAATTAGCCCCGAGGAGAGTGCCTAAAGTTGAGCAATAAGGAAAAACAAAAGCAATAAATCAATGTTCACTTCTGATGAGAAGAGCAGGGAAGAAGCAATTAAGAAAGCCTTCCTTTTGAGTGGTTGGATGGGATGAAAGAGCTTGCACAAGTCAGTTCAGTCAGTATACAAGGAAGATGGAAGAACTGAAGCAAACAGTGGGAGCAGAAAAGGCCCTCTTATCACCAATGCAACTTTAACTATGATTATGTTTTTTTTTTATATCAGATGTTAGTACTTTAATCCTTCGCAGTTCATTTTACGTTATAATCTCTCTTTTCTCCCTGATTAAGGATTACGTTATGTTTTGATATCAAATGTTGTTACTTTAAAATTAAAATCCTTAGCGGTTCATATTTACCTTTTTTTTTAAATCTCTCTTTTGTCCCTGATTAAGGATTGTAAACAATTTCGTTCCAATCCCGGGTCCGGTTGTCTTTGAATTGTTGTAGTAAACAATTTCGTTACGAAATGGAAACAAATGCAGAGGATTAAAAGTATTGCGTGAGATCGTTTGCAATGTTTTTAGTGTTTGAGGATGTAATGTGGAGGAAGAAAGTGAAGTGGTGAATGTGGGATGAATGAAAATCACCACAATCACATTGCAATATCATTGATTCCTGTCACTAGTATAAGAGGTGTCCATGATTTTAAACTAAGAAGACTATAAACACGACGTTCATTGCAATTCACAGGGTGGGTTATCCATCCAACACCAATCTGATTGAGTATTAATGTGCGCAATCATTGAGAATAACGTTCAAAATTGAAATTCAGCATATTCATCATTGTCACTCATTTTGTTAGTCGACTCCAGTAAGTAACAAATACAAACCCAAAGGGGGAAAAAATCATTATCTTCCCATTTCATTTTATTTATAAAGAGTAGTCTAATTTGATGAGTATTTGTGATAAACCTTACTGATAGTTTGATACTCAAAAATATCTCACCCACTGAGTTCTAAATCATATTTATTACTCTTAAAAGAATAAAAGGATAAACATTAAATATTGATAATCAAGAAATTTATGATGTGAACAGCAGGAATCTCTGAATCAGTGCAATCTCAAAGAAAAACACCAAAGTCCAAACAACCTTCTCCATCAGAATGCAACAAAAGTGGGGCACCAATTGACTGATAGCCATATCTTGTGCTGTGCGGCCATATATATAATCCACAACTTGCTTACTTCTAAATGTTTTTTTAAAAAAGTTTTTTTGTCAGTTTTCAACCAATTGTAATTGATTCTTCTTCTTCTTCTAGTCTTCTCTTCTCCTCTATTCTTCATCACTCACAATGCTGCATCAGTAACTCAATCAAGAAGAAATCTTGAAGCTTTCTAAATACCCTCTTCTTCGTCATCAAATTCCCACCAAATTATTCCACAACTTCAATCCAAGAAGAACAAATTCATTCTTTCCCGGTTGGTGTTTTTTGCAGCTTCCCTGTTCAGTTTCTTCCTGATTTGGGGTGTTTGGTGGGAGAAAAGGAAGAGAAGAAGAAATGTTGATAGGCATCAGATCAAGGTCAGTGACTTGCCTTCCTTTCATTTCTTTCGATCAAGAAGAACACAAGAAACACAACTAACTGATTGGCACAACTTGCTTTAGTCTCTTTTGGTGATGCCGTGATGTTTGTAGCTTTTGGTGCCAAATCAAATAGAGGATTAATGGGTTTTGCAGGAAATGCTGTCTTTAATTTACTGCCAGAAATAAAACCGTGTCCATGCATTTTTGCATCCAAACAAGTCCCATCCCATAGGGCCAAATCAAAAGTTGTCTGTATAGCATTGGATTCTAGTATTTTAAAGGTGAAAATCTAAACTGTACAATAATTTCGAAATAGAAAATATATTAAATAATTACATATTATTAAATGTACAGAGAGAAAAGGATAATAATACACAACTCTATAACAAGTGTAATATTATTTCGTCACTATCTAATTTATAATCAATAACTTCTGTTTCATTCATCTTTTATTTCTGGACACGGTGGTGATACATTTTAGAGATAGAAATTAACATAAGGTATGATTTGTTTTTTTTTTTTATTGGCAACTTTGAATATTGGTGGATGATGGAACAGAAGTATTTCAAGAGCATTGATGCTCATGAGTCGAAGCTTCAATCGGCCATTCTCTGTCCAAACAGAAAGGTTCGTCAAAAACTCTTTTCTCTCTTCTCCATATATATTTTCCACCATTTTCTTAAAGCATTGGTTGTAGATATGTACAAATTAAATTCAGAATATTCATATATTTCTGGTGATGTGGCCAGATTGGCTGCACGTATTTAATGTGCGTAATCTAGCAACACGAATAGACATAGTACATATTATCGACAAAATTCACTTTGATACATTCATCGTACAGTTAGTTGTTGTTTTGTCCTTTTCTTTTAATTAATTTATTTTCTTAAAAAAACAAATGATAGCTTGAAAGAAACACATATAGTTAAAAAAGAAAAACAAACATAATATTCTCTCCGATCCTTATTATAAGACATTTTAATTTATCATAAATTTAATTTAGTATGTTTTTTCGATTGAAGAAAAAAAAATTTAAAATTATATTTGTATATTTATTGTGTTTTTCTAATTATTAAAAAATAATTTTAAGATTTTTTTACCTTAAAAAAATATACTAAATAAAAATTAAAACAAATTAAAATGACTTATAATAAAGTCCGGAGTATAAATTGATTTTAATTTTGTCAACTTTTTCCTGCTAGAGTTGTGCCGGTCCAAAAGTTTCTCAGCTTTGGCTACCATTTCTAACTCGGTATAGAAATGAGAAAGGCTTTTTGGCCTTTTCTTCTGTTTAGATTCTTCAACGGGGGAATCAAAAAGCTGTGCGAAAAGAATAATAGAATATTCAATTGCTGACCCAACAGCTTAGAAAATAAGAATAACAACCATGTTCTCTGTTTGGTGCATTGTATTCGTAAGTTTTCTCGATTGTGCCAAAAAAATTTTGACGGTGCAATCACTGATGCCCAGAAACTTCGGAAAGGCAAGAGACCAGATCGTCAAATTGCATCTGAAAGTTTACCATCGCCGACCAAATCGAATTTCTTTTGCATCCAATACTTTTTCACGATATTTCCCTCACTTTTAGCCTACATTGCTCTAATTTGATTGGCGTATAGCCTTTAGAATGTGTAGAAGAATAGATAGATACCCGAATTATGGGATACCATTAAAACGTGTAATTCTTAAGTTTTGTATGCATGGACGATGGTTTGCCCCCACTAAAAAAGGATTCCACCTAATGAATATTTATTTAGTCTTTAATGTAGTCTATCTAAATAAGAATACTAATTAGAATCTTTATTTTGGAACGGGTGTTGTTTGTCCTCTTATTTTGCCTTTTATCTCATTTTACCTCTTAAACACAAAACTCAATACACTATCCAAACATCAATTTAACTTCTCTTGTAAAAAAAATATTTTAAACATTATTTTTACATAATTTTTAGTCCCACCACCGGACCACCTCCACCATCGACAGCCACTAGCGCCGACCGACCGGCAGTGGTCGTTGGTGGAAGTGATCAGGTGGTGAGATAAAAATTAGTGTTGATGGTCACTAAACTATCGTAAAGTTTTTAGTTTGGTGACTGAATTATTTTAATTTCATAAATAATCACCGATCTATTTTAATTTCATAAATGGTCAATATACTATAATATTATCTAAATCAAAAACTAAATTACGTCTGCATTTTAAATCTCCTCCCAAATCCAAATTAAAAACTAAAACGATGTCCAAACACCACAATATATTTTATTCGAAACATCTTTATGTCAGGTGACAAAATAGTAATTATACATCTCTAAATTTTTTTAAAATGATAATGAAACAAACGATCTATTTTCAGACTATAGACTATAAAGAATACTTTCTCTGTCCCGAAATTATTATCCAATTTGGGTTTTTATTTCGAATGATGAAAATAAAAGTAAAAATTTAAATTGGACAATAATTTTAAAACTGAGGAAATATAAGATTACAAAGATACTCTTATATTGTTTAGTTTTGATGAGAATTTACATTGATCTTGTTAATAACTTTTGTTTCGAAATGTTTTGTTCTTGTTTGATGATGGTTCAAGGAAATTTGAAGGCAAGGTAGCACTAATCACAGGAGGAGCAGATGGGATTGGAAGAGAGACCGCCATCAGATTCATTGACAACGGAGCCCAGGTTGTCATCGCGGATATCAACAAACAAATGGGCCTAGAAACAGCTTCCAAACTCGGGTCCAACGCCTCATTCGTTCCCTGTGACGTGACCAACGAATCCGACGTGTCCGACGCCGTGGACTTCGCCGTCTCCCAGCACGGCCACCTAGACATCATGTACAACAACGCCGGCATCGCGTGCCGGACTCCGCCGAGCATAGCCGACCTAGACCTCGCCGCATTCGACCGGGTCATGGCGATCAACGTCCGCGGCGTCGTCGCCGGAATCAAGCACGCGTCCCGTGTGATGATCCCGAGGCAATCCGGCTGCATCCTGTGCACCGCCAGCATCACCGGTGTGATGGGCGGTTTAGCTCAGCATACCTACTCAATCACTAAATGCAGCGTCATCGGAGTCGTGAAATCCGTGGCGGCGGAGCTATGCAAGCACCGAATCCGGGTGAATTGCATCTCGCCGTTTGCTATTCCGACAAGCTTCGTGTTGGAAGAATTGAAAGACTATTTTCCGGGCGTGGAGTCCGAGAGGCTCGCTGCCATGATCCATAACGCGGGAGAGCTCAAGGGGGCAATTTGTGAGCCGGCCGACATAGCCAACGCGGCGGTGTTTCTAGCCTCCGATGAGGCAAAGTATATCAGCGGCCATAATTTGGTGGTGGACGGTGGTTTTACATCCATGAAGACCTTAAACTTAACCCTTCCCAGTCAAAACTAACGGCAAATTAGTGAATTGGATATTTTGCAATTGCACAGTTTATAGTTATACTTCTCAATTGATCAAAGAGAAACGTTCTGTGCTATATATACGTATCTCAAATGTGCACAGACAGATATCATCATGAAATGAATTTATCCTTCTATCCCGAAATAATTGTCGGGTTTGGGTTTTTTAGTAAGTGGACATTAATCTCGGTACTAAAATCTAAATTGGACAATAATTTCAGGACACTGGGAGTATAATTGTATCACAATGACAACCCACATCAATGACAATCATCAGTTCGATCTTTCAAAGGAGATGCAGAAAAATTCAATTCTTTCTCACTGACTCTTGTACAGCCTCAGTGCAACCCCCAAACCTTGATCATTTGAAGTGTCGAACTATTTCCGAAACAATCAGCTGGTATCTCTTCCAGATGTGTACAATCAGACAACACCAAATTCTCAAGACTCAAGAGACCCAAATGATCAGATGCGATAAACTTGATTGATACTCAAAAATATCTCTCAACTGAGTTTGAAATCATATTTTACTCTTAAAAGGACAAACATTGAATATTAATAATCAAGAAATTTATCATGTGATCACCAGGAATCTCTGAATCTTGCAGCCATATATATAATCCACAACTTGCTTACTTCTAAATGTTTTTCAATTTTTTTTTTTTTTGTCAGTTTTCAACCAATTGTAATTGATTCTTCTCCTTTTAGTCTTCATCACTCACAATGCTGCATCAGTAACTCAATCAAGAAGAAACCTCGAAGCTTTCTAGATACTCTCTTTTTCAACAACAAATTAATCCACAAGTTCAATCCAAGAAGAACAAATTCATTCCTTCCCCCCGGTTGGTGTTTTTGCAGCTTCCCTTTTCAGTTTCTTCCTGATTTTTGGTGTTTGCTGGGAGAAAAGGAAAGAGAACAAGAAATGTTGATGGGCATCAGATCAAGGTCAGTGACTTGTTTTTCTTTTCTTTCTTTCGATCCAGAAGAACAGAAGAAACAAGACTAGCTAATTATTAAAACTTGAACTTGCTGTATTAATTCTCTTTTGGTGATACCTTGATCTTTATAGCTTTTGGAGCAAAATCGAATAGAGGTTTTGCAGGAAATGTTGTCTTTAATTTACTGCCAGAAATAAAACCGTGTCCATGAATGTTTACATCCAAACAATTCCAATCCCATAGGCCAGATCAAAAGTTGTATGTACATCACTGGATTCTTGTATACTATTTCCACGTCATGAAATCCCACGTCATGAAATTATTGTTCGGTTTAGATTTCAAGTTTAGTTCAAATTGTACTACGAGTAAAAATCTAATTAGACAATAATTTTGGGATAGAGTGACTACTAAATAATTATGTATTCTAAGAGAGAAAAGAATAATAATACACAACTCTATAACAAGTATATATCATTTCGCCACTATCTAATTCATCATCAATAATTGAATATTTCCTCCACTTCATTCTCATCTTTTATCTCTGGTTATTGGACATAGTGTTGTGCATTTTAGAGATAGATATTAACATAAGGTATGATTTGTTCTTTTTTTTTTTTTGTTGGCAACTTTGAATATTGGTGGATGATGGAACAGAAGTATGTCAAGAGCATTGATGTTCATGAGTCCAAACTTCAATCGGCCATTCTCTGTCCAAACAGAAAGGTTAGAAAAAAAACTCTTCTCCTTCTCTATAAATATTTTTTCCACCGTTTTCTTAAAGCATTTGTTTTTTTTTTCTTCTTTTTGAAATGGTAAAGCATTTGTTGTAGATATGTACAAATTAAATTTACAATATTCATCTATTCTGGTGATGTGGGCAAATTGGCTGCATGTATCTAATGTGCGTAATCTAGCAACAAAAATAGACATGTAACATATTATCGGCAAATTCACTTCGATACATTCATTGTAGGTAGTTGTAATAATCAATCCCGTAATGTAATAATCTAGTCTTTTGGGCATTAGCCTCATTCTTTGTACCAAAAAAAAATTGTAGGTAGTTGTTGTTTTTTCCTTTTCTTTTAATTTATTTCCTTAAAGTAGTACATTGATTTAAAAAGAATGATTGCTTGATAAGTGCATTTAGTTAAAAATGGCAAAAGTAATACATTGATTAATTTTTTGTGACCTTTTTTTTTTCTTTTGCCGTCCAAAAGTTTTTCAGCTTTGGTTACCATTCTAATTTGGTATGGAAATTAGAAAGTCTTTTTGGCCTTTTCTTCTGTCTAGAATCTTCACTTGTGCGAAAAGAATAATACTTGTAGAATATTCAATTGCTGCTGACCCAACAGATTTAGAAAATGAACAAAACCATGTTCACTGTTTGGTGCATTGTATTTGTAAGTTTTCTGGATTTTCCCAAATTTAAAATTACTGCTGCCCAGAAACTCCAGAAAGGCAGAAAGCCAGATCCGATCAAAATGGACCTGAAAGTTTACCTTCACCGACCAAATCGAATTCCTTCTGTGTGGATTACATCTTTACGATTCTGCGATATTTTCCTCACTTTTAGCCTACATTGCTCACATTTGATTTGCGTATAGTCTTTACTCTTTAGAATGTAGAATAGAAAGATACCCGAATTGTAGGTTACTACTATTAAAATTTAAAACAGACATTTTTTAGTGCATGGACGAGGTTTTGCCCCCACAAAAAGGATTTCACCTAATGAGTATTAGTCTTTAGTGTAGTGTGTCAAAATAAGAATTCTATTTGCTATAATAATGAAACTATTGAACTAACGAATAATTGTCAAATTATAGAGCGTACTTTTTCTGTTCCAAAATTCGACTTAGACAATAATTTCGGGACGGATGAAGTATAAGATTACAAAGATCGTCTTGTAATAGTTTGTTTTTGAATTTTGATGAGAATACATTTGGTCTTCTTATATTACTTCTGTTTCAAAAAAATTTTGTTTTTTGATGATGATTAAAGGAAATTTGAAGGCAAGGTAGCACTAATCACAGGAGGAGCAAATGGGATTGGAAGAGAGACCGCCACCAGATTCATTGAGAACGGAGCCCAAGTTGTCATCGCAGATATCAACAAACAAATGGGCCTAGAAACAGCTTCCAAACTCGGGCCCAAGGCCTCATTCGTTCCCTGCGACGTCACCCAGGAATCCGACGTCTCCGACGCCGTGGACTTCGCCGTCTCCAAGCACGGACACCTAGACATCATGTACAACAACGCCGGCATCGCATGCCGCACCCGGAGGAGCATCGTCGACCTGGAACTCGCCGATTTCGACCGCGTCGTGGCCGTCAACGTCCGCGGCGTCGTCGCCGGAATCAAGCACGCGTCGCGGGTGATGATCCCGAGGCAATCCGGCGTCATACTGTGCACCGCCAGCATCACCGGCATGATCGGCGGTTTAGCCCAGCACACCTACTCCATCACTAAATCCAGCGTCATCGGAGTCGTGACATCCGTGGCGTCGGAGCTATGCAAGCACGGAATCCGGGTGAATTGCATCTCGCCGTTTGCTATCCCGACCAACTTAGTCATGGGAGATTTGAAAGAATTTTTTGCAGGTGTGGAGACCGAAAAGCTCGTCGCCATCATACATAACGCCGGAGAGCTCAAGGGGGCTAATTGTGAGCCCGCCGACATAGCCAATGCGGCGTTGTTTTTAGCGTCGGATGAGGCAAAGTATATCAGCGGCCATAATCTGGTGGTTGACGGCGGTTTTACAACCATGAGGAGCTTAAACTTAAGCCTTCCCGGACAAGATTAAAGGCAAATTAGTGAATGGTAGTTTTGCAGTTTATACTTCTCAATTGTTTTAGAATTGTCATTAGTTATCTGAGATGATAACAAAATTGATCAAAGTGCAGAAATGATTACATGAAATGCATTATAATGGTATCCTAAATACAGTCCAGTTCGTTCAATTCCAACTAGGAGATGCAGAAAAAATCAATTGCATTACTGATTAACGATGATCTTCGGATCTGAATTTCCCCAATCCTTCTGTGCTTCCCAAATTTTTGTCACCGACTCTTTTACAGCCTCAATGCAACCCCTAACCTTGATCATTTGAAGCGTCGAACTGTTTTCGAAACAATCAGGTATCTCTTCCAGGTGCGGACAATCAGACAACACCAAATTCTCAAGAGAGCCAAACTGATCATCAGAACCACTCCACCAGCGAAGATTCCAGGACGACAGCTTCAGGAATTTCAGTTTGCTGAATTCCTCCTCTTCCATACTCCACCTTCGTCCTTCGAACACGACTTCCTGTAGTTTCAGGACTTCAAGGCTTGGCAATTCACCAATTGTTGAAAGGCTCCTTCCAGACACATCAAACCGCCTCAACGTCAGTTTCTTCAAGTTTTCGGGTAGATTGAACTCGATCAGGGTGCCCTGAGGCACTCTGAAACCTTGTGATATGTGAAGCGATTCCAACTGTTGCAAGAATTCAGGAACTACCACATTGACAACATTTACTATACCATCACCAAAGCTCATGAGTTCAAACTTCAACTGGCGGATGTTTGGAAACTTTTTCATTAGCTTTACCATGCTGCTCAGGTCAGGAACAGCCAAACCTGAGAGCCTTTCCAACTCATAAAATTGGCATGACTCGTCGAGATTTTCCATGGGGAGAATAGCATAACAGTTATAATTTGTACCATGTATGTGAAGATACTTTAGTTTCCTCAAATTCCATAAACTGTATGGCAATCTTTGATTGGACATCACACTCTTGAGAATGAAAGTTTCCAAATTATACAGATTACTTACCGATGGCGGGATGCTGTCAACCGGGCAGTTAATTGCAATGAAGGTCAACCGAACAAGCAATCCTATTTCACTTGGAACCCCCCCGTCTAATCTTGTCTGCTCCAAATCCAACACTTTCAGAAGCTTACAAATGTGCATCATGAACGAGATATCACCCTTTACTCCATACCTGTCAAAGTTGAAAAGCAGAGAACGAGCACGAGGACAAAATATCTTCGACTTTCTCAAATGTCGATGCCTGGAGCGAATGCATAACCGCCATTGCCTGCATGGCTCCCTGAATGTTGGAAGCTCATCATCTCCTTCTAGGAAATGGAGAAAATGTTCCTCTTTGGACTTTTGGAAGCAAAACTCATGAACCAGGTCATGAATGCGACAGGCTTTTGTTCCCCCAATGGATCTTTGTTCTGCAACCATAAGTAAACTTCTTCCTATTAATTCTTTCAAGTACTCTTCGGCAGCTTCTTCCAGGCTCCACTTCTCAGCTTTCCGCACGAATCCCTCAGCTATCCACAGACGAAGCAACCTTCTCACGGAGACATGATGATCTTCTGGAAAGGTGGCAAAATAAAGAAGACATGGTCTTAAGTGCTCCGGTAGATGTTTGTAACTTAGCTCCATTGTGTTCATGCACTGCTCCAAGATATTACATGAGTTTAAACTATCTAGAATCTTGCTCCAACCCTCTGGACTCGTGGATTTCAGAAAGCCTGCTACAACGACAATTGTCAGAGGCAATCCATTGCAAATTTCAGCAATTTTCAGGTCAAGACCAACTAATCCACTGGGCCAACCATTTCCACAGAATAACTCTCTCTGTAGTAAATCTAGGCTCTCTTCTTGATTGAGTGGTCTCAGTTCATGAGGTTCTTCGTCAGGCAGCCCACGCCGAGCAATGTTGTGACGGCGACTTGTCAACATAATTCTACTTCCAACAAAGTCATTTGGGAACGTGTTTTGGAAGCTTTCCCATGCCTCATCATCCCATATATCATCCAAAACAATGAGATACGGCCTTTTTTTCAGACTGCGCCACAACTCTTGTGCTACATCATCCGCAGTCATCTTGGAAGTAATCTCGGAATTTCTGTCGGGAGCAACCTGAGCTAATAGGTTAAGTAGAACTTTCGTTCTGTCCATTGTTTGGGAAACAGTAATCCATGCACGGGCAGAGAAATGATATGAAACGGAAGGATCATTGTAAACTCTTTCCGCCAAAGTGGTCTTACCTAGTCCTGGCATGCCTACAATGGCCACGATCCTCAATTCCTTTGATCCTCTAGTGAGTCTGCGCAGTATCTTTTGTGTCTCATCGTGGAAGCCTACAATGTCCTTTGTCTTTAAGGGAGTACTTCTTTTTGATGATACAGAAATCTGTGTCTTATTTATTTGGTTCACTTGGGCTTCTTGATCCTTGGCTTTGATTTGTGGTTTAATCTTGTTGATATCTTTCATGATGAGATCAAATGCTGTTGAGAAGGAATATGGAGGATCATCAACCACAAGGTAGTCAATGAGATACTCAACACCATATGCCACCTCCAAAATACGATCCCAAAGAATTTGGAGCTCTTCCCGTTCATGGCGCAACTCCACAATGTCCCCTAAAAAATATCTGAAGGAGACAAGTTCGTCTCGTATGATTTGAGTACGAATTTTGGGTGTTGTTTCAGATTCACAGCTAATCTGCTCTGTCAATTGGCCTAATAGAATATCAACAAATTCCAGTTGAGTAGTACTACAAAAGTTGAATGCTGTTACCAGTGATTCTTCCTCCTCAAGTTCTGCCTGAATGTATTTGATTGCTGCTAATACATCCTGAAGTCCAGTGTCTGTTTCCATATCTGTCTGGTACAATGAACAATACAAGATTCCGGCATCACATACCACATCAAAACTGTCTTCCCTGACTTTCATATTGAAATGATTTGGCAGCTTCTGCTGCCTGAGAAGAGTTTTTCTCAAATATCTGAGTCCTTCATACAGCTCTTGCCCTTGATCCTTCACATGAACCACGACACGAGTATTTACTCGTAGCTCATCCCATAGAACACATATGAGAGAGTGAAGGAGATTTTGAGTTGCAAGAAGAGCTTCATCATCTACGCCTTGATTAGTGGGAGCATGTAAGCACGTCGCCGACTTTGAACTGCTCAAGGCTTTAGTATAGGCCGAAATGACTTGAGGATCAATAGGCTTGATCTTTTGCACCACTGTTGAAATCTTAATCCCAGATTCTTCTTTATATTTGCCTCCATGAAACTTGTAAGCTCCAGGTGTAAGTAGATATGCTGCACTAACAGCAGCAGTTGCAGCATGAGCCCACAAACTCAAATCTTCTCGTAGTTCAGAATTTCTGTGTGTGGCAAAGAGGATGAGAGAACTCAAGAATGTCATATGCTCTACCAACACTTCCATTGCTTCTTTCAATTCATGTTTAAAATTCTGGATAAAGGGGTCAACATTCTTCAGGAAGGAGCTAATGATTTCCAAGACATCATCCGTCGTGAGAGAATTTGATGGCGGATTGATGTCTAAAAGAGTGGCATACCATTTATCTATCTCATCCTCCAAAGCATCAATGTCGTAAGTGAGGGAAAAAACCCGAAAACTACGCCATTGAATAAGCTTTGCATTTCTGAGAACAGTATCTTTAATCTTCTCCAAGAAAGATTTCAGATTTGTATCATTGCCCAAACTTTTGGCAGAAAGAACAAACAATTTGAGATTCCTTAACTTAAATATTAAAGTCTCATGGTCAGAAATCCGAAAGGTACTCACTTTAAGTCTGTACTCTACATCATCTATGACAGAAAGAATGCTTGTGATGAGGGTTGCTACCATCTTTGTTTTTTTGTTAGCAGGATCTGAATAGCAGCACAGAGAAGTTTTGAAGAGAAAAGCAAGAGAAAGGAGGATTTCAAGAAGTTGAAATGGGGATAGAGTAGATTAGTCAAAGGAACAAATTTGGTAATGGAGAAGAAGATTGATACAGAAAAGCAAAAAGGGGTAGAAAAAATGGATCTGATAGTCAAAGTGATATAACAGGTTGATGATGACTGGACTGGCAACAAGAAAAATATCTAAAGCCTTTGATGTGTCTACCTTACTACTGTGTCATGATTTGAAGGTACTACAAATTCTAGCCATTATGGAAACGAATTGCCGTGTCCACGATCAATATTGCCGTGTCAAATTCTAGCCATTATGGAAACGAATTGGAAGTCTCAAAAAACCAATATGTGATTAAGCTATCAAAAATATATTCTCCCTTGCCTACATCTATCAAAATTTCGGCAGTACCGTCGCGCATTAAGTCTTCTGGTGCTGAAAATCATATAAAATTGTTAGAGAGAAAAGACAAAACATCTTCGCCTTTATATTGTGACATTGGCTTTGTAGATTATATGTCGCCATCTTAGTTTGTAAACTTTGTAGATTAATGACCACTGTTAGTTCTTTCAATTCTAACTTGAAGTTGAAGGACTGCAGAAAAATCAATCGCATTACAGATTAATAAAGAGCTTCAGATTTGAATTTTCCCAGTCCTTCTGTACTTCCAAAATCTTTCTCGCTGACTCTTTTACAGCCTCAATGCAACCCCTAACCTTGATGATTTGGAATCGAATTCCTTTTAAAACAATCAGGTAATCTATTCCAGATGTTTACTACAACCGATTGTCTCGATTTAGTCCAACTTTGTGAAAATTAAGCAAATATGTTAAGCTGTTGCTGACAATAATCTCTACTAGCTTGAAGCTTTTATCATTCAAATTTACATGTAACATAGTCGCAAATTTAGGTCCGCTCTAAGTTAGAGCACACTGGGCGGGCAGGAGCGCGAGGCCCACGCCTGCTCACTGCCTTTTTATTTCTTTTTTATTTTTTTAAATTTTAATTTTGTATTTAGTTTCATTAACCTTTAAAATATTTTTTGAGTGAAATTTCATCCACTCCTTACACACGCAATTAATAAGTTAAGATATAGTGTGTGAGGTAACATGGATCACTGATAAATTCTTTTAATTCAATCTGGCTAGGGTCTCCGTTTAATTAATAAAAAATTAAAAAAATTACGTGACCTTAGCCTAATTGAGCTAAAAAAGTTTAAACCGAATAAAAAGTTAGTTTGTTTAGTGTTTAGGGTTTAGGAGGGTTTAAACATTTCATTAAATTAAGGCCTAGTGATTAATATTTAGGGTTTAGAAGGGTTTAAAATTTTCAATTAAATTAGGGCCTAGTGATTAATATATAGGGTTTAGGAGGGTTTGATTATTTCAATTATGTCAAAGGTTTAGAGTTTAGGAGGGTTTAAATATTTCAATTATGTTAGACGTAACGTGATTAATTTATAAATTTTTTTAATTTAATTAAGTTAGGGACCCTAGCCTAGTTAAATTAAAGAATTTAAACCAAGATAATAATATAATGTGTCTAGTGTTTAGGATTTACAAAATTTAATTATTCCAATTTGATTAGAGTCTAAAATTAATAAAAATAATAAATTAAAAAAATAGAAAGTGAGCACGCGTTCAAGCGCGCGCCAAATGCCCGGTGCACCTGTAATGTGGTCTACGGAGACTTGTAAGTTGTAGGAACTCACAATTATTAATTAAATACATTAGAAGACAATTTTATTTTCTTTTTTCCATCTATCTCATTTTGGGATGACATTTTTCTATCCCTATAAATGGCTTCTCATATTTATAGATAAATATTTATTGCCAATACAAAAATTAACTGCCAGAGCAAAATTAAGTTATTTTCTTCACAACACCTTAAATGGTGAACCTACAAATTTACTCTGCTATCTTCTCCCCCGTCAGACTTCTACAACGAACCTACCATCTTGCTCCACTGAACCCGAGTTTCACAATCATCTGTTTTACAAAAATAATTTTTTTCAGATTACAATTCTCATCATTTGATCAATTAATTTTGACTAAACAATTAATCCATTGATGATTCTTACTCAACGCCAACTAATTATGATCATCACCCTGATAAATTTGCTTTCAAAATGAAGACAAAAAGCAAGCCTTCTTTTTTGGGAAATTTTGAATTAAGGGCAATAGAAAAATCTAAATTAATGAAAGGGGTACAACTTCTACATAATTTGGATTAGGGACGATAAATTATTTTTTAAAATGGCAAAGTAACAAATATTTTTGCTTTGACATTATCACCCTTATTCTTTGACATCTTTCGCTAGAAAAAAAAAAAAAAAAATCCCTTAGCAGAAATTTCTCCTGTCGCTGCATCCGCGGTATCCATCACTGAGAACTGCAATAAGCTTCCTTCATGGTTTTGCAATTTATTTGTTACTTTCCAAACACAATTGTTACTGCATTGAAGTGATTATGCCCAAACCGCCAAATCACTATATCTGTTTCTTCCACTTCTGTTCATATCTTTTAATCTTTGTTTTGTGTTTTTTAGGTTAGTGCCGCCCAAATTTTTGGATTGCCAATATTTTATGGAGAAGATATGCATTATGCATGACAACTTTGACAAGGAGAAGTTCCATTAATGTTGCAATGAATAATCAACTTTTCTTTTGAGATTTGATGAAATTGCACAATTAAAGCTAGATATATGCTACTTGTTCTGAACGAAAAGTTGATGATTTTGGGCTGCAGTTAATGGTTGTAGCTTGATTTTAGACCTAATTTACCACAAAGTCCGCACGACAATGAAAAATGGTTAACACTCTAACAACTCTTTTACTCTATGTCGGTTCTTGCCGATCTCTCTGTTTTTCTTGGGAAAATTTGGTTAAAGGATGGTAGAAGAACTCGAATTAGTAAAAGAGATATAACTTTAAAATATTTTTTATGAAGGACGGTAAATTATTTATTAGAAATTATAAAATAAAAAATATTTTAAATTGACAGTATTACCCTTATATTTTCTTACACAAAAAATCATAAAATTAAAAAAAAAAAAAACAATAGGAAATGAAAATCTGGACCAAATTGAAGTCCCAACTGATTCAAACAATAAAAGAACAAGAAAATTTGGTCAATCTTCACGATCATCATCTCTGCTCCCCATTTCTCCTTATCGAAACACCACAGCCAACCTTTCCTTCTCCTCCCTTCCTTCTGCAACGATCACCACCACCATCAATTTCCACCTTCCTTTCCCCCTTTTTTAATTTCTTTCCAGACATAAGTAACGGTCATCAGATATGCGGTTAACAGTTTCTAAGTTAGTGCTCAAAGCAGCAAGTACCTTCGCTTCCATAAGGTCGTCCCAATCCAGCAAAAGGTCGTGTTCATTGAGAAACTTAGCAAGCACCGGGTTTTGATCCATAGCATGGGAGAGCTCAGCCATTTCCAAAAAGTCAATCTCCGGTGTTGGAGGATGGTTACAGGCTACTATCACAGCTTCATTTATGAAACCCATCGTTGTCAATCCTCTTTCAAACCCAGGGTAAAAATCATCATTCTAAAAACACCACCGCAAAGAGGGAAAAACAGAAAAGAACACCAGGAATGAGAACATTTTCCAAAGATCAGGCATAGGAGCATAATAACAACTATATAAAAAGGAAGAGGGGAAAAGAACTAACGAAGTGAGTGGGCGAGGAAGTGCCCGAATCCATTGTTCCTACCTTCAATACATACAAACAAAACAAACAAAGTACAAATCATCAAACGATAATTTATATAATGGATTCAGAAACGGAAATCGGAACAGCAAAACGAGTTCTGACTTCGGAGAAGAGGAGAGAATTCTGAACGGTTAAGGTCGGACCACGGAAGATCGTATCAATCAGTCGTTCGTTCCCTCACCTTAGATCGGACCAAAACAAACAAAATTAGACTGAAAAAACGAAACAGAATTGATATATGTATATCTAGATTCTTTGCCCTAATTTTTTTCCCCAAAAAAGTATTCAATAGTTCCCCCCAGAACTATTCGATCGATAACTTAGCTAATTCCCGATGCTCTAGAAAGTCACTTGTTCTCAGTTATATATGGCTTCCTTATTAGGGCAACCAAAGTTAATTATCGAATACCCCCCAAAAGTTTTATCCTATATCTATAATACCCTTGCTTTTTGCAGAAATATCCAATAATTCCTCTATTTCAAAATGTAAGGCATTATAGACTCTGCATGTATACTAAGGAGACAATCATTTAATAATTAATTTATTGGTGGCTTAGGATCCCTAGGTATAAAGATGTAAATACCCCTACAAAACAGAACTGAATTACCTAAAATTTCTTTGAACCTTTTGTGATTCTGCCCAGAAGTCTTTGTGACTCATCGTCGAAACTTACAATGTTCCTAATTTGTCTTTGAGGGAAAAATCTTTGTGATGATACATAAATGCGTGTCTTGTTTATTTGGTTTACTTGGGCTTATTGTCCCTTGACTTTGATGGTTTAATCTAGTTGATACCTTTCATAATGAGATCAAATGTTGTTGACAAAGAATATGGAGGTTCATCAACCGCAAGGAGTCAATGTTGAGAGGCCTGAGACGTACAAGCAATGGAAGGTAAGGTGTATACGGGCTGGATTTAAACTCTTTCAGCCAAGGGAAGATCTCATGGAGGAGTTAAGGAATCGAGTAAAGACAAATTATCACAAAGATTACGTTTTAGATGAAGACAGTGGCTGGATGCTGCAAGGATGGAAAGGCAAGATATTCACTGCTAGCTCCTGTTGGGTACCTGCATAGGACTCTGCAATATCCTTCATTGTGTATAAAGTTTTGGAATTTATAGTTTTTGTTAATGATGTCACCCATGACATAGCAATATCTTTTTGGAACCTTTGTTTTACAACATTCTTGTCGGGGAATTATGAAATTTGGGTCTGCATGTTGTAAGCACTGAGCAATTGTTTATTTCTAGCCTGCTTCTGTTCATTGTATTTTTTCTCCCTTTTTATGTTAATGTCTAAATTTGCAAATATCTCTATATCATGGTGCCTAGCATTTTAGTTCTTTTCGCTTTGTGTATATCCTATGATATTACAATCTGTATAGGCATCTGTTTTAATCCAAATGCTAACAAGATTCTAGAGATGAACTCGAAGGTGAAGTTGTCTGCAATACACCAACCTAATTGAGCCCGAAGAACATCCTTTACTCATATAAAGTACTACAGGCAAAGCTTCCAATACCCGCACCAGAATTAAAAGCCAACGTGAGTTGGATAAGACCTCATGATTGACAGCATTTCCTCCACATGAATTAGGAGCAAGGAGGAAGAAAGGAGAGAAAAAAACATATCAAAGAATCATTTTTTTTTTTTTTGGTTAATGCCCTGTCTGTCAATCTCAACTTTCTAAAATTCATAGAAATTTATCAGGATATCAAAGACTGTAACTGGATTCTTCAAGGCTGGAAAGGAAGAATTCTTTCTGCTCTCTCCATTTAGAAGCCCTGTTAAAGTAATGAATGAGTATAAACTATACATAGATCGTGTTTCAGTATACATACATAGAAAGGATTTTAATTGTTTAACATATCTCTATGAAAATGTCCTAAATTCCATCATCATATGTTATTAGTGAGTTATCTCCAACATCAGAGGTGCCTTGTGTATTCACTACTTTCGTACAAAATGCTCTTTGCGTTTCAAAATTGGACAATCATTTTGAGAGTAACTTTTTTGACGGAATCAGGTTTGATACTTCAACTTTCGCGATAATCCAATAGAAGTACACGTTGGAACATGTTTTTAGAGCATTGGAAGATTGTGCTAGAGGTAAAACAACTATTATCTTTGCTAATCAGTTCAGTGTTTGGAGTATCATATTATCTTTTTCTTTTCTTTTTTGAGAATCACAATCTCCAAAAGTACTTTGCTAATCAGTTCAGTGTTTGGAGTATCATATTTTTTTTTTTCTTTTATTAAAAGAATCAAACTAACTCATAACCTGTAACACAGAGTAAATTACAAAGAAGCAAAGATGGTATATAAGCATCAATTTATTGTACGCATCTACCAGTCAGTCAAGGATGCAGTAGGTAAGCGCATTTTCCCTTCTACTCTTAAAAGGCTATACAACTTTTCAAAAACCTAGTCCGATCGAAGGTTGACTAAAATTAACTTGGTTCAAATTTCAATAATTCTGCAAGTTCACCTCCAAGTCCACGGTTCGCTAATCAACACAAACATAAAAACATTGTCTATAGATATAAGCAAAAAAAAAAAAGTAATAAAAACCACAAAATATATCTAGAAATCCCTCCCTTCTGGTACACAAACTAGCTAGGATGGATCTTCAGATATATACAGAATTATAATCAGGCCACTGTGCGCGGGCTTTGCGGCATTCACGGTCTCTTTCCATAGAACGCGCCCAAGCTATGTTGGCGCTACGGAGGTCTTTCCACACGCGCCCAAGTTCACTCAGGTACTGCTTCTGCAAAGTGACTATGTCCTCACTCCTGACCACACAGTCAATCCCGTCTCTTCCTACATAGAAGACAGCGACAGATGTACCACACTTATGCGCGACATATACACCGAAACAAAGTGCACGTTTGGCCAACTCCGCAGCTTTAGCCAAAGATATGTCGTTGATATCGTAAGAGGGCGTGTCATCTAACATAACACAGACCCCGCCCGCACATCCAGTTCCAGTCATTGACTTTTTAAGCAATTTCCCCTTGCCGTTCACTTTATACAAGGTGAGTAACTGTCATCGCTATTGTCGGGACAACGGGACAGAAACTCAGCCAGCCAGTTGGATGCTTCAGCAGCGGAAACTTGTCTTCCCTCCTTCAATTCATGTTCCCGGCACTTGTTTCGAAGATCTTCCTGCAAATAGTTGTGCGAACGGTCGCACCCACCGGAAAAAGTAGCGAGCAGGTGCGTGTTGAGCAGGATAAAGTTTGTTGGACGATCCAAGGCATCTTGTTGAGGCTCGGATGATGGCGGTGAATGATCAAGGGCTACCATCACGCCTTCATCGTTGATGGTGAAACCCAGGGTTGTGGTTCCTCTTTCAAACCCGGGGTAAAAATCATCATTGAAGGTATTCGCCGAATCCATTTTTGTTTCCACCTTTGACAAGGGTTAAGGTCGACAATCGTGCGTGCTCTGATCAACTTCTTCGCCGATTAAATTGGGGATAGGACTTTGGACCAAGTTCTGTTTCGAGTCGCCGGGTGTTCCTCGTATTTATAGCTGAGGTATGGGTGAAACAGTTCAATTGGGTTCTAACCTTCTCCTTGTCGGTTTCGGAATATTGTTGACTTTTTGGAATATCAGCTGCCCGAAGGAAAAGGAAAACGTCCGCAGGCTGACGGCGTTACTGTCACTTGCAGTGGTTTGGTCTTTGGTGAGGCCATCTGCGATTTGGTTACGTTGAACGTGAAAGTTTTTCTTTTATTTTTTTTTAAAAGATAAAATTGGAGTTTATTTTATTTTTATTTTTATTTTTTTTTTTTGTTTACAGATAAAATTGGAGTTTCAATTGTCCGTTTCCTGAAGACCATATTTGTATGTCTTTTTTTTTTCTTGTTATATTATTATATTATTATCTTGTTTTGAACCGCAGGTTTTATGTTGTATCTGATAGTTCACTTCAGTTTCAGAAATCTTTATAGTTTCTGGTGGTGAAAGCATATATTGTCTTAGTATGCATTCACAACTCACAAGAGAAAGGTGCAGCAAATTTAGTACAGATTAGTAGATTATAATAAATCAATGTACAAGAGTTGCATGAGTGAAAATACATTTGGATTCCTGAACTGTTGTAACTGACTGAATAATCAATTGTTGTTTTGAATTATGGACTGGTTTTGTTTTAGCTGCTATGAGTGTTGAACTGTAAGTCTGCAAAACTTCAGCTGGAATCAGTCAACTTCCAATAGCCATAGTTTGAGATTTGTTGCCAGATTCTACATTTGGGTGCAGAAGAAAATCCCAAGTGTTATATATTAACCTAGCTACTGCTGCAGTTTTACATCCATGAAGGCATGAGGAGCTGTCACTTGAGCATCGCAGGAAATGTGCAAGGCAATAGCAAATTAAGGGACTTTTACGCAGTTTCTACTTATCATTGCAGAAATATCATCGGTTATAGTAGCCTAGTCTGATTAATGTTATGTACTATATAGCTTTTGATTTAAAAATTTAAAAGTTGGTCCCTGGGATCATCAGCATAACAAAGAATCTACATTCCACTATTCACTGTTCTGGTAAGAAAAGTAGTAATATTTACCAGGGTACAATGAGTACATCTCATATTGCAGAAACCTGTAATCCATGAGCAAAGCTACTACAATGTACCATAAACTATTTGATTGATCGACGGTGGAAAGCCATCATTAATGTTTTCTCAGGCCTAATTTCCATCAAAATTTCTCCAGTACGGTTTTGCGCATGAAGTCCTCTGGTGCTGCAAACAAATGGAATTGTTAGACAGACAACAATAAATGTAAGCCTCTATATCTACATTGTGATATTGGGCTATGAAGATCATATACCGCTACCTTATTTTGAATAGATAGAGTATTCAGTAGGGTGGTTTACATGCGATAAGTAGTGAACAAAGTTGTAGAAGATAGAGAAATTCAGTTACCTAATCCACCAGTAAACAATTTAAATTGTCCAAGTGCCTGCCTGATGAACATTTCAACACCACTCACTACAATCGCCCCAACATCTGCAGCCTCTTGTAATAACCTAGTGTTCCTTGGGGTATACACTGCGTCAAAAACCAGCTCATATGATCCCAAGAACTCCTGAAAATTGAAAATAAAATGTAGATAAACTCAGCGTCTCAACACATCACATCAGCCAAACACAAAAAGTCTATATCAACCTTGATCATTTTGAGACAAATGATCATTTTATTCATTTGTACTCCTATCCCAGTGACAAACACTTTGAGATAGAGTAGTATCACTTTTTGAGTAAAATTCTTCAAAACTCGACCTATGACAAAGACAATGAATTATTACATAACGAATTATGCAAAAGTCGAACTTGAATGTACCTTGGGAACAGGAGTTTCATGGATATTTGGCTGCATCCCTACAGCTGAAGCATTTGCCAGAATCATCCCTCTTTCCGCGGAAAATGACTGCAAACATTCATATGGCAGGGCTTCACCAGATACTGCTGCAGCAAGAGCCTTTGCCCTTTCTTTGGAAAGACAGTTGCAGCCAGTTAAAAACATGCATATTGAAGCAGTTTTCTGTTTACTCTAATTTTTTGTTCCAAAGAACAAGTGAGTTTTTATTACCAAAGTTGCGGTTGAAAATGACAACCCTTGCTCCTTTGCTCCTGGCACCAAAAGCCATGGCTCGTCCTGCGCCTCCAGCTCCAACTAGAACAAACAATTTTCCGGCAATTGGTGAGGCATTCGATGCATGCCCATTGGTATTTCGCCTTTCTGTCAACTCACAATTTGAAAAACTAGTTCAGATTATCTATCTGTAATGTGATTGTTACATAGACATTAGGCACTCAATAAACTAATTCAAAAGACGCGTTTTCATCAGAAATCAAGCGGAGATCATTTCCTTTTCCACATTAGGATTTAGAATATATGGAAGCGTACCTCTCAGTGCATCTTCGATTGCACTTATACAAGCGTCACAATCTGTATTATAACCAATGAGTTTCCCATCTGCAGGTCTTCGTATAATGGTATTTACTGCTCCAATAGACTGATTTCAAAAGTAAGATCAACCAGGTTTGAAAAGGATCAAAACCAGTATCTAAAACTTGTCTTAATGTGACAATGTGCATGAAAAATGTAAGGATCCGGAGAGCTACAAGTATGATACCTTAGCCAGGGGATCAACTTCATCACAGCACCCTACTGCTGCTTCTTTATGTGGGATTCCAACGCTGCAATTAAAGGCTAATGATTATCCTCATAACATAAGATCAATGTCCTAAAGAATAACACTAGGAGATTGAACAATACGCAAGTGTTTTATGGTTCTATTGGAAAATCAATAGTCCAAATTTCACTAGTCACAAAAAAGCAAATTCTTTTAAGTTCTTTCTATCCTTGATTCATTGTGTGAGAATTTTAGGCAAAGTAGGTGATAAAACCACAATTTTAAAATACTTCAAAAGAGTGATAAAATGCAAAATAATGATAAATTCGTTACTAAGAAATTGGAAATTGTCATTCGCACACCATAAAGGCATTTCTATTCTAGTAAGGTTTAAATTCTCGATCATTGAGATAGATACATAAGACACTATCGTCATGTCACTGCTTAATTTCGATATTTTATTTCAATGCCTGCTTGCCTCATTGACCATTCAATCATGCTGAGAATAGAACTGAACTATAACACCTTATCAATTTCCTCCTAATGCATTGGAAATTTTTTCAACAAAATACATACCTGAAACCAGCAAAATCACAGCATGAATACACCCTGAAGAACTCCTTGAGGTTATCAACCAGTAAAGGCACATAAATTCCATTATATCCTGTATGTCTGAAGGCTGGGTTGTGGAGAAGTGGGCCTTTGCTATGGCCTACTGGATTTGAGACCACCCCAAAAACTTTTGTATCTGGATTTAGATGTTCAAGTTTATAGACTTGTTTGATGGAGCGCAAAGGTGGCAGCCCAGGTACAGTTTTATCCCCCATGGACCCCCAAACAACAAAGGCCCCATACTTCGGGCCCAGAAGTTGGCTTATGAGTCCTCTATCTCCAGTAGCCTTTGCAATAATTGGTACCTGCGAACTCAAAATGGACTTTTCAAAATTAGATTGTTTTGTTTCTTACAGAACGTTTGGGTAAAAGAATTTAAATTAGTGGTTGATTACGGTGAAACGACCACATTGTTTCCATTTCTAAAAATTAATGTTTCTTATGTTTCGAAATTATCATCTAATTTAGATTTTTTAAATTAAAGTGAATTAAAATGAAAAAATTCAAACTGATCAATAATTTTTCGGACAGAAAGAATAATTTACAGCTGTGAATATTATCAAAATCTGGCTAACTAATTAACAACAAAGGATTACGGACGAGGAATGAGAAGAAATGAACCTGGGAATGTGTAAACATGTGGAAAACGGAGGCAACGTCGGTGATATAAGCCACATTAACCACAAGTTTAAGAACATCTGCTCCCAGAGCTTGCATGCATATAGCTAAGTTGCCTAGCTTCTCTCTGCAGGGAATCCCACCATTTATATAGCTTGATATGATTATCTTGCTATTGGATCGTCTACTCATTAGTTCGCATATAATCTCTTCAGTGGCCTCCTGAAATTAAATTATGTAATATCAAATGCTAATTATACAAGTAACTAATGAATGAAGGAAATGAAATGTGAATTCTTTTTCAGAAGTTTATTCCATCCGTCTCATAATTATTGTCCTGTTTGAGTTTTTATTTCTAGTTTAAATTATATTAAAAGTGAAATTTTAAATTGGACAATAATTTTAGGACATGGAGTATTTGCGTGACAGGAGATCTGCATGGGTGAAGAAACTACCTCAAATTCAATTTCGATGAATTCCACGTCTAATTCCAAGGCCAACTTATAAATCTGCAATGATGTCTTCTTCGAGCATCGTCTTCCCCTGCTCGAATATTTCCTGTGATTTGGACATCATTTCATGGTCAGTTTTCGAATATACAAACACACATAAATTAAAAGGAAAAAAAAAAAAGAAAAGTGATTATCACTAAATTCTAACACTTTTCTTATTTAATTTATTGGTAAAAAAAGTAAAACAATTAGAAAAATGTTTGTTTTGGGACAGGCCTAGCTAATGTTAGTGACAAAATGTTACCATCGCAGCCTACGGACCATTTGACAGCTGCCGAACTATAAATGGAAAAACATGTCAATTGCACCAAATACATATTCTCAACAAATTAAAATTGTTCTTCTCCAGCCCGAGGACCTTTGTTTATTGACACGCGATGAGAATTGAAACCGCGATCTCTTATTGTGATTTTACGATCTTCAAACACCATTACTGGCTCGAGCACCACTTAATAGAATCCAGAAACGTACACTTAACTGGATTAATCCAATCCCAAAAATTAGTTCCATATTCTTTTCTTGAAAAAAAAAAAAAAAATACATCCAAAGGATTTTGAAAAAGTAAAATTGGTTTGATGAATGAAATCAAGAATGGAAAATTCTTGACTTTGGTTTTAATTTAAATGTCAAATGGTCCTCAATCTCCTTATGCCCCACCGCCGGCGGCATCGATGCTGAGTACCAACCAATCCAAATGTTAGTATACATTGATGATGATTGACCTTATTCATACCCTCCGGCCTCCACCTACCCCCACACACCTCTTTCATTTCATGGGCTTTCTTCAATTCAATCACCAATTTTGTCACTACTGCTTTCTAGTTTCTACTGCTCAAAGTGTACAATACAACTAATATACGTGTACATTTTTGGTTCATCACTTCCACGTACAGTTTTTTTTACTAAACGTCCTTCCAACTTATCTTCGGCCAAACAACTAACGGCCCACGTTATATGCACATTTATTCGGACCACATGCATTGCATGGTACACAATTTGAGTTCTCCCTTTATAAGAAACTACATGATGAAGGGGAATGCGGAAAATTATTGATCATTTTGCTTTTAGTTTTTTTTCATGAAAGCAAGCTATACGTTTCTAGCTGCCAGACAAGTTCGATCTATATCACAAGAGATTATTTGATTCACTTTTTCTGTCGAAAAGAGGGTGCTATATAGATATATTAAAGAAAAGCGGGTTCTAAAAATACGATATGTGGTTTCATAAGTGTTACTTAAATGATATATTGAGTTGGAACATTACCAATTACCACGGTGTGGAGTGTGGGTGAAAATCGTGTAGGTGACCTAGGAGAATACAAGCAAGGCCCGGTGGTGAAACATAGCATAAATGCAATGGGTTTGGTGGTGAATTAAGGTTGTTGCGCATACTTGTGTACTACGTACTACGACCAAATGTAATTGAATAAAAGGTACGTGCACCTAATTACCTGTAGGAGACGATGGATGGTAAGGTTCTGAGTCTCAAGAGCTGTTCCACTTCAGAAATGTGGGAAAAAGACATGGAATCGATGCACAGCTCCACCAGATTTGCTCCTTCTTCCTTAGCTTTACTCATGGAAGCCAGCATTCCTTCTTTGCTTTCACATTCCAACGTTGTACAAATCAATAGGTCGTTTCTAAAACCCATATGATGAATCAAAGTGAATTTTGTGCGTACTTTAAGAAATAATAATGGAGGGAAGAATGGTTTGAGAAAAAAGAAAGCCCGCAATCAAAGAAGAAGCTGACCCCAAGAAATTAATACTACAATTCTTTCAATCAGCAACCCTACTTATATAGTACTTTATTACTACTACTACTACTACATTGTATGGGCAACTCTCCAGTAATGAAAAATGTGAATTTAATACGGCATACATCGCCTTGATTGCGACGTTGTTGTGTGTGCCACCACCAGGGATCCATCATTCAATCAAAATTACAACCACCTACTGATTCATTCATAGCCACATGAAAATGACACACGTAATTCCTCTCCTTCCCATAACCTTACACTAATTAATTAATTCCATTCTTCTTAATAGTCCCTTTAGAAGTTTCAAACTTATTGTTTTTCTACTTGTAAACTTGTTACTTTTTTATCTGAAAAAAACAATGTCAAAGGTTTGCTCTTGTCTTATGTGAGATAGTGCAATTACTTGAAAATATAATGGAATGAAAAATAATATCTACAGTTCAATAATGATGTCCAGAACTAAATTATATGATTGTGAATTATTAGCGAAATTGACACTTCTTTCGTAATTGCACTTAATTGAGTTATTTTATTCATCAATAATAGAGACAACAGACAATTTGTACTTAAGCAAAGATAGAGACAATGATAATTTATAGTGAAATAGGATTATGACTTATGAAAAGACAAAAACACCACCTCCACTAAACATGAGTATTTGTTAATTAAGGGTAAAAATATAATTTTAATGGGAAAATAAAATTTCAACAGGAAAGTGGCAAAAAAAAAAAGGGAATCATACAATTCCACATCAGTCACTATAGTTATCATTTTATTATTTTATTATATTCTTTATATCTTTGCCCACATTGAGTTTTCTTATTGATAGTCCTATTTTTACTATCTCATTCAAGTAAATTAGCTACTATTGTAAACTGTCACAAAAAATGGTGCATTATACATATGATAGACCTATAATCACATTTTTTTTCTAAGAAAAGTAAAAGATATATTCAATTGTATCATTTTGTTAGTCCTTTTCAGCATAAATTCACTGAATCAACTGGTACCGAATCCAGAATACTTTTTTTCAAATCACGTAACTCGTGTTGTTTGTTAAGGTTACGTATGAATGTGGGTGGAAGAGGAAATAGAATATTTGAGGGAGTAGGTGCAGATGATATGGTGACCTCCTCTTCTTTTTTTTAAAAAAAATCACAGTCTCTATTCTAATTTTTCTCTGGGCCAAAACTAAATATGCAAAACAGTTGTTTTCTGGAATTTGTGGAGACAAAACGGGGCACGTTTTTCCCGTTCACGTGCTTGTTTTCCCTCTAGTTTGGACATTATTTGATGTGTAAGGTGCACTAATACAGTAGTGAGGGTCACGTGGCAAAGATTGTGAATCCCACATCGAAAGCATAATGACATGTGAATCAGTTAATAAGTAAATATGGTCTTAGAACCCATTAGCTTGATCTTTTGAATTCAGATGGGTCTTATCTTATTTATTGGGTTCCATGTCGGGTTTTTTTCCTCCGGATCAATTCCCAACATACAGTATAATCAATTAATGGCGATTTGTCATCAGTGATTCTATTTGTAATTCCCCATCCTTCTTGGAAGTTCATCATGAAAGGGAAAGCAGGTTATGAATTTTTCCCTAGATTTTAAGGGCTTTTCTGAACAGGAAATCACCTCTAAAGAGTTTTTGGGACTTAGTTGGAGAGTTAGAAGATGCCTGTAGTTAATATTTTATCAGGTTCTTCTTCTCATAAATTTCATCATGCGATAAACAAAATCATTCAGTTCCAAAATGTTGGGGGCTCCAAGAACAGAGAAAAGCAAAATATAAAAGCATATTGGGGCCTGAAAACGTCAACACCGTACAGAAATTGGCCATAGCTAATGCCATGATATGATCGCCTCCAACATGGAGTGTCTTGACTGAGTCCGTAGACGTTGATGGAAAGATCAAAAGCAATTCCCATAGTACTATCAAGTCATTTCGTCATCAGTCACATGATGAAAATTTTGGTATCTTTTTTTTTTTTTTCCTTCTGTTCTTGGCTTTCATGTAGTCTATTTTACCGCAGTGAAGTTATAATTTGAGTTATTGCCTTTGTTCTTTATCAACTGCTTCTTGTGGGGCGAAAGCAAGATCTAAAAACTCTACCACATACACAATAGACGAAGGGGTGTCATTCAGATCTACTGTCATTCATTATCGAGAGTAAGAGGAAACCAAATCGTTAAACTTGGGTAGTTTTGGAGGACATTAAAGGTCACTTCTTAAACTTAAAATCATTCAAAAAGCCATTGTATTATTAGTAGTGCTCGCATGTTGATCCCCCTCATCCATGTGCCTCTGTTCTAAAACCAGTTCTGCTCCCACAGGCCACATAACACGGTGGTTGTGCATGGTAAATCAGAAGATATCCCCCGCCCATTCCTACAAAAAAGTTTGAGCCAATCTACAATGTGTTGTTCTTTTGCATTTTGTGTACACAAGAAAAAGACCCATTTGGTATTTTAGAAAGGAAGATTTCCAAGTTCCCTGTGTGCATGTTGGTTTTCACTAATAATAACTATAATAAATAATAGAGCTCTTCAATAGCACCGACAGAAATGTGGTTCACTGCCGCAGAGGCCAAACAACTTTATGGCTACTGCCATTGATGTTGATGCTTGATAGAGGCTACAGATAACATTTGGAATGGCCAAAAATCCAAAAATAGACCTGGGAATCCCGCAATTTGTGGCCAGATGTTTGAAACAAAGGACAATGATTAAACTTCTTCTAGTCCAATGATAGTTTTCTTTTCTGTTTTACACAAAAGTATTTCAACTTAGCTATTAATGCCGAAGATTATCTTGTTCCAATTTAGCCTCACTGTGGGCTATAAATAAGTCTACCAATCACGTGCCTCATTTCCATTATTTTTTATTGCTCAATCATCAAATTTTTCACAAGTTCACAAACATCGTTATCATCATCACAAGAAATATTCACTGCAAGAAAGAATCCTATCACTGAGTTTTGACCATTAACAACAACCATAGATTAGCATCCTTGCCTTAGCTTCAATTGCTTCTATAAGGTGCAAAGAAATCATATAATGTTGTGGAGTATTTCTAAAGATGCTGCGGATCAGTCCCTTAATACAAGTAGAGTTTTCAGTACTTAAAATCAACAGCACTGCAGCAGAGTGCAGTGTGCAAATATTGTAGAATCACGTTAGGGATACTTTTTTCTGTCGAAACTCAAAGCAAAAGACCTAACAGAAATGATCAGTAAGTTCAAGTCATAAAAGAAAAACATATAGAAAGACAATTGTGTAAGCTCTAAGAATGCACACATGGAGAAATGATTTAAGAACTAGGATTGTCACTAGTATTCAGAAATGCTATAATCTTCAATTAGTTTGTCACCGTGTATTATACTGGTTGCATACCCACAACAAAAACAAAATAAACTAAACATTAAGTTTAGACATCTATGTCAGTGAATACGGCACCATCAATAGAAGAGAAAATCATAATTAAGCATGCAGACACCAGTAACAAAGCAGTTTTGTACTTTACTAACCAGATACTAGCATACTTGTCCGTGAACTAAGGGATCTGATGTTAGACATTTGATTCTTTGGTCAGTAAAGCACCTAATTAATCTTGATGTATCCGTTGGATTATAAGATTAACAGCCGCATTTGCTGATGAAAATGCACCATGGAAGCTCTCTTGGTAGGATATAGTGCTCAATTCCTGCACCATATCTAACAATATCTCGCCCAGTTCCGTTTTCTTCTTCTCTGTTAACGTTTTGTAAAATGAGCGACCAGCCACCTCACTGATCTTGATGTTTGTTTCCTCTGGACAGTACTCGTCATCCAACCATTTATGAAGGGTCACTCTCAACCATTCTGATTCCTACACAAATTTTAAGCTTCTATAAAGAGCAGAAAACTACAAACTTGGACAGAATAGTCCTGAATCTCTCAGACACTGCCTATTAACATAGACACTCCTTTTACCAAAATGGAACTACAGATTTCTTAAAAGAAAGGCATCATGTAGCAGACCCAAGTCCTCCTCTTCCCGGACGACACATACAAAGAAACCTGCCAACAAGAACTTACTAAATAGAAACAAGCTCATTGCAAGCAGGATTAGTATCCCTGGATTTAGATGATGTCGGGGGGGTTTACAGTCGGGATCAAGGAAACGACGGAAAAAAGATAGTTGTACGTGTCCCTCAGCAAGAAAAATGTACACTACAGTTCTAAGACATGCTACAACATTAGAAAGTGCACATGGCGACAAAAATCCTGTGCTATGTGGTAATAACCATCCTTGTATGTAATTAACTATTAAGTACACATAAGCAGAAGCACAATCTACTGAAAGTTATTTTGATTTTCTAAAGACTGAACATGCAGAAGCTAGGAATTTGGAACACATTCGTCCTTCACCTAGATGAAGAAGTGCACGATTGAGGAGATGCTTAAAGGGCTGATGTCTTGGAGACGATCAAGAGATACGTAGAGCATGTAACAAATTGTAGAAAGCCGAAAATTTCTAAGAAACTACAAACACTGCCTAGTGCCTTTAGGTGTCAACGAAATTGCGCAGTAGAAATGTAAATACAGTAGAAAAAGATATTCCCGATAATGCACAACAAAATCATGGAATATGTTAAAGACTTGCTTCAATAAGTCGGCAGCCTGCCTTATAGTATAATAAAAAGTCTGTTTCTTGTTACTTGAGTCCATGGCCCCTGCTCTTGCTGCTATGCTAACAGCCTAACATTTCCCTGGCCCGAACATATGTAAACCCTGACAAAACTTGCATTTGCCCTAGGTTATGCTAATGGTGTTCAAACAAATGGAAGTTAGCCCAAACATTTTCTACAACTAAATCAAATTCGTCAGCCAATGTGTCCACCTCTGGCCATAGCCACAAAAGGCGAAAAAAGGCACAAAACCCTCAATTGATCCACACGAGCAAAATAGAGCTATCATTATAAGTACACTAGTTAACTGTGCAAAATTTAACGCCCTCTATTCCCTAATTATCAAAAGGAAATGGAAACTCAATAGCCTGCCTGATGGCCTCTCATTTTATGTTTTTCGCATTTGAAAGTAAATTTTTATATTTTCAGGCAGAATGCTACGTAAATAAGAAAGATTATTAATAGTAAACAAATTCTTATCCGTAGATAATAATATCCTACCACAAAAAACAGCATCAAAATAAAATAACTTGAAATGAATGTAAAAGAAGGGACTTACCTGGGATGCTTTTGCAGGATCCAACCAGTGACTGGGAACTCTGAGGTCTTCGACTGAACCCTCATCGTCTTCTACCGGGTCGATTTCTGGGTCTCGTTGCGTCGAAGCCGAGAGCAGCATTGACAATTTGGAAGACTTGAGGTGGTATTTCTGTGATAAATCGACTGTTGGAATCAAATTTGACTTCAATATCATATTATCGCCGATCTGAACACTTTTCGGGTGATCCAAATTGCGGAAATTCCAGTTTTTCGGATGGCGCCAAAACCCGAAGCCCGCCATCATAGTGGTACTCGAATTTGAGAATGTCAAACAACCCATTTCTAACGATAACGAACTATTGGGATAGAACAACGATGGAACCAACCCTTTTGCTATGGATTAAACTATCAAAGAATTCATGTGAGTAACTATGAATTGATATTAGATTATCAGATTGCAGGAGGACACAAAAGTGGCTGGAGAAAAGAAACTCTTGCAGATATATATCTATGGGGAAAAAAAAAAGAAAGAAAAACAACTCTTATCTAATCCATTTCCTACTGTTTAGTACAAATGGGCCTATATTGTTGGGTCATATTTGAGCCCAGTGCATTATATTATTTTTGTCGATTTGATTATCCCCTTCATTTTTTAGAGTCACGTTCACCGTAGCTGAAAAATGTCCAAGAATTTTTTTTTTTTTTTGATATAATGCCCTTAAGATAATATCTCAAATGAATCATATTCCTCTTTTTTTTCCGAACTAGATATGACAATCATTTCGTGACTGTAATAATATTTATCTTGAATCATATGTATAATGATAATGGAAATTACATAAAACTCTGGAGTTGAAATTCCAATCAGGGGATCCGTGTAAAGCCCTTCAACTTTGAACCTTTCCAACATAGTTCCATCAACGTCACATTTGAGGATTTCATCCTTATAAGTTGAATATATGACATTTGGGGTGGTGTAAGGAACACAAGATGCCCATTTCTTCCCAAAAACACAGCATCATTGTTATCTAGCTCAAAAATCTCCACCCAACTGAATTATTCTTCTTCTTCTTCTTCCTCCTCCTCCGCCTTTGTTTCCTTCCTTCTTGGTCAGCTCGTACACATGAAACTCGCGTGGAAAATCCGCATTAGGATGATCAAGAACTTTTTGCACAAGCAGCAAATCCCCACTGGAGGATCCCACCAAATAAGGGCAACCTTGAGTCAAGATATCATTACTGAGTGCAATTTCAATGATTTTTACCACTTGAGTTGTAGTCAAATGCAACAATTCGATTATTTTCATCCAATGCATATAACAATCCATCCAATTGTGCTTTACCACCAAAGTTGCAAATACCACCAAGGTAAAAACCATCTTTTTCCTGAGATGATGCACTAATAGTAGGAGTGCGAGAAAGAATCGCCTTATTGAAACTAGTCCTTATGGTGCTATCAATTTTGATCATCTCTTCGGTTAAAGGGTTTATAAGCTTGATCGATTTCCCATGTCGATGAGTAATCAACCAACCATAAGAGGAACCACAATAATAACGCCCAGATTTTGTGCGAGGAAGTTGGAACTCGTGATTGAAGATTTTGTCCTGTCCAACCTCGTACAGTTTGGCGGAACAGAGTGAACGAGTGATCAAAAGCAAAGGTCTTGCCATTCGTTCTGCTTTTTGATTCGGAGCTATGGATAGCCATAACTTGCAAATCGCCCCAAATCGAATGTAATCGAATTACTTACTCAGAATCACACCCAAAAGCTCCGCTGGACGAAGTTCAGACCAATTGACCAAGGATGATGACTCGGATAACACGTGTTGGAAAGTTTGGATTTCTTTGGGTTCAATCAAATGAGATTTGCGCATATTGATAGTGCTAATCAACCGCAAATTGGTCAAGTTTATGTAGGCGCTTAATTTAATTTGTTGATTGAAGAAATGTGGGTATATTGAAGACGAAAAACTCAACCAAAATACAGGGAAGGTGATAATTATGGTTTGGAATTATATAACCTATAAATGGCTTAGGATCAGAAACAAATTTTTAGCATAATTTCGATTTGTAATTTAAATTGTGTGATAATTATGTAATCCCTTTGGATAGACGGGAAAAAGTTACATTAGAAATCCCTTTAAACATGCGATTATATTTATCATGTGTGAAAAAAAAATTTACACACATGATATTTGTGTAAATGATACTACAGTGGTTAGTTTTTCCAAAGCACATGGGTAGGCTTATGTAAATTAAGTATTGGAGAACTAGCTAGTAAAATTACAAATACATGGAAATTAAGAATTGGATAACGAACTAGTGAAATTACAAATACATGGCTTTTCTGTCCATTCGATCATCTAGTACTTTAGAATCAATATATCTACGAGCGTCATTCTTCAGAACGAACTCTAACAAGTAACAGAAACATGTTTCCAGCTCTAATCAACATGAAGTTGGAGTAACGCAAATCAATGCCCTTTTTTTTTTTTTTTCGAAAACTGTTACTCGATCTGCCTTGAAATTATTACTCTATTTTGATTTTCATTTTCAGTTCAGTATGTATTATAAGTTAAAAATTCAAATTCAAATTCAAATTAGACGATAAGTTCGAGATTGAAAGAGAAGTAGGGAACAGAAACTGAAAATGGAAACATAACAGGATAACCATTTGAACTTAAACTTTACGGTATCCTCCTTATTTAATTCTCGAATTACCAACAATAACTTGAACATAAACAATAACTGAACGTTGTACCAAAAAACAGTAAGTGAACATAAACTTCGCGTATAAATGATTCAGGAGATTAACCAATAACACGTCAAGAGTTTTGGCCAACAATGTCTATGTTTATTCCCGACTTGAATTGAATCAGCATAAAGTTGGAGTAATCCAGAGATGATCCCATGAATGGTCCTCCCATACAGGTCTAATTGTCTGATCATCCGTGCGAAATACTAACGTATGAAAAGTGCCTAATCCATCCATACAACGTTGTGTGAAATATATGGAGTTCTTGTTGAAGCCGGGAACACAAGATGAATGTTGGAACCCATACGGGAAAGTAGAACAAAAGAATATGGAATCATTATCATTTAACTCAGAAATCTCAACGAAGCCGAGTCTTCCTCTTTTGGCGTCTTTCATCAACTTGGAAACTTGAATCCACGTATATCCTCCACCCTTTTTTTTACACGGGCAATTAGGTTCGCCCATAGACAGTACTAACAGGTCTCCATTGGAAGCTTCCACCAAAAAATTATAGCAACCTCCGGGAGGAATCCTATAAGGAGGTAGCAATATTTCGACATCGTAACTACCCTTGTAGTAGTCAAATGCAGAAATCCGATCACTATAATCCAAGGCATATAACGAACCTTTGTGAAAGATTATATCCTGAAACTTAAATCGAAAGTCCACCTTTACAGCGACTCTCCAAGAAGAAGAAGAAGACGTTTCGGTCGCTCTCTTGAAAACCACGCAATGGTATGTCTCTTTCTTCTCATTTACAATTGCGAGCAAACCAGCTATGAAAAGATCATCATCACCTTCCACAGGTTTACAAGACAAAATTAACTTCTCAAAATTACACGCACTATTGTTGTTAACAAAATCATTGCCACCAAAACCAACTTTGATGATCTTTCCTGTAAAGGGATTTATAAGCTTAACTGATCCGTTCTGCTTGTGCGTCGCCAACCAGCCATAGGACGAACCACACAGTCGACGGCTCGGGGATAGAGGGGGAACCTTGAGTTGAGGAGTATTGTAAAATCGTTCCTCTCCAACGTTGTATAGTTTGTAATTAGTCTGAGATTTACTATTTTCGATCAGAAGCAATGGGGGCTGTTGTTGAATTGTTGACATCCTTTTTGGTTTCTGATTCAGAGCTACAGATCGCCACGACTTGCAAACCGCCCCAATTTGAATGTAATCGAACACGTAGAACACCTTACTTACTATCACGTCCAACAATTCTGGAGGAAGATCTCTCCAGTCTCTCAGGGACCTTTTTTGGGGGTTGATTACCGAAAGAGAACCTTCCATAATAATTGAAAACGCTGGTGATGATTAATTACCTGAAGAATTTACAACTTGAAACCAATCTGTTTCTATGGTCAGGGATTTGTATAGGATATACAGTGCTTATGATATTCAGGACTCGATCGATACGATGTTTCTTAGATAGAAGACACAGATGTTTATATCTACAACAACAATTCCATTCCCTTTTAGGATTCGACTTTATTGATAGTTTTAATTATGAAATCCCTTCCGATAATAAACTACGCACTGGGTTAGAATATAACTTTGTCAAGTTATTCCATCCACCAATTATGATAGTTTAGTATTCTAGTAGTTTAGACTTTGGCCTCCTTCATTGTACCAGAAGGGAAAAAAAAAGAAAAAAGTACACATTCGAAAACGATATAAGACAGTATTTGTAAACCTACTACATTATGAAAACAAAAATTGAATAACTAATAACTAGAGAAAATTATAAATACATGTTTTTTTCCCCCACCCTATCATCCGGTACTTTGAGAAACTAATTTATATAACAAGCAGATTTCCATAGCTCGAATCAACATAGAGTTGGTGTAACGCAAATCAATGGCCAGTTGAAATGGTATTGAATCTTTGGATGCTCTAGTAACTGTCCGATTATCCGTGCGAAACGCAGACACAACAAACCTGGTAGTTGTCCGATCACCTCTAGGGAACTGGGTCAAATAGAGTTGTTGAAGTTGGGAACACAAGATGAAAATGGACACATAATGGGAAACCGTAAAGAAGACAAAAATATGGAATCGTCCTTATTTAACTCCCCAACTTCACACAATGACCCGAATCCTGTTTCGGCCATCTCCATCAACTTATAAACCCGGGGATAAAAATTTCTGTGCAAAAACACCACTAATAGGTCTCCATTGGAAGTTTCCAACAAAAAACACCTAAGCCACTGGTTAGGAAATCCACCAGCAGCTACAATTTGAAGGATCGGAGTCGGTCCGAAACTTTTGTGGTTATTATAACTATGCTGGTAGTCAATCGCAATGATCCGGTTATCATGCTCCATGGCATATAACAAACCTTTGTGAAAAATAATATCTTTTTAAGTTTATGATCAAAATCTTTTTTAACCAAGAAGAACCTTGAGTTCACGATTGTAAAATTTACCCTCTCCAACGCTGTATAGTTTGTAAGTCTCGGATTTACTGTTTTCCATCAGAAGCAGAAATGGAGGTTGCTGGTGCATTGTTGCCAAATCCGTTTTTGTTTTTGGAGCTACGGATCTCCACGACAACCAAACCGCCCCCGATTTTTGGATGTAGTAAAAAACACACGACACTTTACTTACTATTATGTCCAAAAGTTCCGGAGGAAGATCACTCCAATTTCTCAAGGACCTTTTCGGAAGAGAACCGTCCATAATTGAAAACGCTGGTGATGATTTACCTGAAGAATTAAAACTTGAAAACCAATCTTTTTTTTTTTTAATGATAAGGGGTTAATTTGTTCTTGTGGTCAATAATTAATTGACGTAATTCCATTGATATGATGTATCTTAAATACAACAGACATACTATATTTCAAATCTGCCGCAATTCCTTAGTTTTTTATGATTCGAGTTTTGTGGCAGTTTTATTGTCTTTTTCCGTGACAATTTTTTGCTTTTATTCTTCTTTCCTATTTACTACGGTCTATATCCATTTTATAATTACTCTTTTGTGCGTATGCGTGTGTGTTTCTAGAAATGAAAACTCAAACTGGAAAATAATTATGGGATGAAGGGAGTAAAATAAAGTGCAATTCTCTCCTCCCGCGTCAACTTTGATTTGGTCATGTTGCGTGTCCTCTCTCTTCGACGGTTAGATGTAGAACTATTTTTAAAGTATTTAAATAAGAATCTTATTTATCATTGTCACTCTGTTACCCTATTTTTTCCCCACTTTTACAATCTCTTAGAACATGTGCATTCTTATGATTACCTAACTTAACCTTATTGAGCACAAATGGAAAATTATTTTCATAAGTTTACTTGTTAAAAAGCTAATTCTTGACGGAAAAAGATTTACTCCTGACGTTCAGTTTGTTATTTTAAATTAAATTAAAAAAAAACTTTAAATTGGGCAATAATATTGAGAACTTTAAAAAGTTTCAAAGTAAATACGGAGTAAGATTTATCGTCAATGATGAATAGATGATTAAAAATGCGTAGGCGCCAAAAATGAGTACTGGGGGGTATATTAGATTTTTCACGTCAGCAGACAGGATAAGGAGGAAGGAGTCAATAACAAACCAACGTTCGTTTTACAGCAAAGCCAGCCCACTGCTCATCTCGTTTAAAATGGCGATTGCCGCCGCACCCTTTAGGTTCACGACGCTCACCTCCACCGCCACGTCCCGCCATTATTTATGCTCTTCCCAACGCTTATTTCCATCTTTCTCCTTTAGGCGGCCGTCGTCTCATTTAATTGTTCCCAAATGCGAAACCGGTAAGAATGCCGATGATAATAATCGCCATCTTTCCAATCGAAAGAGAAGGTTTTCCAAGAAACAGTCCTCCTCGTCCCTTTCGCCGCGTAAGTCCAACGCCGAGGTATATTTCAAAACCTTAGCCCTGAGTTTTTAGTGTAATTAAGCATCCATATGTTAGTGTTACAGTTAGCTCGGTGATTTTAGTTTATTCTCATTAAATTTTATGGTGTAGGTATGAATTTTAAGAAGTAGTATTACTTCTTCAGCTTCCAGTGTTTATATTAATTGAAGTTATGTATGATTAAAGGAAATTTTGTGGTTTACTAGAATGCAATGGTGACATATGATGCATCAATCATGTTGTTGCATAACTTTGTTAGTGTTGTTAGGCTTATTCTGGGACGTTAGTATGATAAAATAAATCTTCATTTCTACACCTTTGTATGATTTGGACTCTCAAATTAGACTAGAAGAGAGTTTTTTTAATAGCTAATTCCTGGCTGTTCAATGGTTTGTACGTTGATAAGTTCAGAAAGAAGCTACTGCACAGAAGTGTCGAAGGAGTTCAAAAGATGATCTACATGTTTCGCGTGCAGATCAACGTACTAAGGGAAAAACTGAATGCTGCCAACCGACAGCCTACAGGTCTCCATTTGGTCTCCAGAAAAAAGGGAACAAAGGCACTGCATTCGATGCAAAAGAGGAACAGGTAACTGCAGCTAGAAGACTGCGAGTTTTTCTGCTTCATTTTGTGTTTTACCTTGCATGTTCTGTATGATTATGAAAAAATAGCCGTCTCCACCAGAATATACTTTTCAGTTCCTCTAACCTCGTCTCTAGTTCGCTCTATCAAGAAATATCCAATTTATTGTTTGAGACAGTTCCATCATGTTCTCTCATATTTCCTTTTCTCAGGTTGAAGATGCTGGTAATTTTCAAGATTCACCTTTCCTGAACGCTGTTGTAAAGGTAAATATGTGATTTTTTGTTATTTCACATTGTAATTTGGTATTCTTGATCATACTTTTGATTGTCTAGAATGATCTAGGTTTATTGCACGCACACCGCTCCAGATTATTCCCTTCCATGGCAGAAACAAAGGCAGTTCACGAGTACTGGAAGGCAGGTGTACACCCTTTTATTTGCTATGTTCTGTTTGCCATGCTCTAGGAATTAGACATTTGATAGAACCAAAAAAAAACTTACCCATAAGCTCGGTTATTTCAAAACCTATTTGGTTCCTTATATTGTGCAGTGCCTTCATGATTGGTGATGGGAAGCTTTTGACAAATGCACATTGTGTTGAACATGACACACAGGTAACTGTCCTTAGCCAACCCTTTCTTGTTCTTTGTGTTACCTGCAGTGGGTTCCACAGATGCTTGTAACTTGAATCAAGGTTTGTCATAGTTCTCTTCCTTCTTCTGAATTGTCTATATGGTATGCGCTCATGAGTTTTGTTTGTCATGTCATATGGTTCCAGGTCAAAGTGAAGAGAAGGGGAGATGACACCAAGTATGTGGCCAAGGTAGCATTCTCATCCAATTCTCACATGAATTCTCTACTTTCCCATTCGTTCATACAGCCTCTGTTACTGTGAGCAATCCATTATTCCGTATGAAGTGCCTTGCATAAGTTTTTTAATCGTGAGGTTGAAGTGCCCTTTGGGACAAAGTGGCCATTGATTTTACTTATTTATGCACTGAATATTCTGGTTTTTTTCATGGTTTTGTAGCAGTCATGGATACAGTCTCTCTTAGTGCATGGTGGAACTTTTGAGAATTGTGTTCCCTGCTTTTGAGAGTATTCCTTTCAAAGTAAGGGACGGTGGATCTTGATCTTTGCTCTGGCTTCATGATGTAACTTGCAGGTACTGGCTAGAGGTGTAGAGTGTGATATGGCTCTACTTTCAGTAGAGAGCAAGGAATTCTGGGAAGGTGCCGAGCCCCTTCGTTTTGGTCGTTTGCCTCGTCTTCAGGTGCTTTTACTTCTCCAACTTTCACGTGCAATGGTAGTTTTGGGCTTTTAGATGACAATTTTATATGCCCCGTCTAGTTAAGTTCTGCCTTTACTAGCCTATGTAATAAACGTTTGCAAAAGGCACTTCTTTGATCGATCTTGTTCTAACAAACTAGGATACTTTATTTAACTGTTGAGCTGATTGGAATCCTTGAACTTCATGTTAGGCAATACATAGGCTTGTATTTCTCAATAGGTTAGCACCTACTTGATGAAGTTGGTAGGCTAATATGGCTTTCTCCTTTATTATGTCTATTATGGATAGCGCATTTTAGATACTCTGAAAGATGTAAAGGAGCTCGTTCCTTTTCTTTCTGTGTGCGTGTTCATGTGTGCATTTTCTTTTTTTTGGGGGGGTAGGCCATTTCCTTAACCTTTGTTTGCTTGCCTTGTTCATATGGCAGGATCCTGTAACTGTTGTTGGATACCCGCTTGGTGGTGATACAATTTCTGTAACAAAGGGGGTCGTATCAAGAATTGAGGTTTGTTTAGTGGACTTTTTGATGATGTTATTAATCAATATCTGGCTTAGCAAACACTGAACAGCTTTTCCTCTGGATTCACTTTGATGATTCGATTTTCAAATGTTCTTTATTTGGATCGCTGTCTTACGGCGAAATTTACCTCCTAACCTAGTGATGTTGTCAGGTTACGTCTTACGCTCATGGATCATCAGATTTGTTGGGAATCCAAATTGATGCTGCTATTAATCCCGGTAAGAAACTTCAGTTTACCTACTGTATAACTTTTTCTGGTATAATAAATATGTAGATTACTGCTGGCAGATTGTACCTATATGAACAAGGACAAACTTCTCTTGCTTATTGTAGGTAATAGTGGTGGTCCTGCCTTCAATGACCAGGGAGAATGTATTGGAGTAGCATTTCAGGTAACAAGTTGTTGCATTTTGATGCTGTGAATATGTATGGTCTTTGAATTTCTAATTCATTTTAAGTGATTTATTTTAGCTAGAACGTTCTTTTACTTGTGTCTATTGTCCTGGAGCTCCTGATGAAGAATCTTTTTTAGGTTTTCAGATCTGATGAAGTTGAAAATATTGGCTATGTTATCCCAACTACAGTTGTGTCTCATTTTCTGGATGACTACGAGAGAAATGGGAAGTATACTGGTTAGTCTCTTTTATCTCATGTTCTCTCATGTCCTATCTTTGAATCTATACTCTGGAGCTCTAAAGACATCATACAATAGTTTGGAAACACATCGGTACTGTTTTAAGTATCTTGGGGTTGCTGAAATGAGTTTTGTTATTAACCAAAAAAAAAAAAGAAAAGAAATTATTTCTGTTTTTGCTGTCTTGTAGATAATTCTCTGTAAAAAAGAATTTGGAGTTATAAATCTGCTTCTCCATAGGTAGCGGGATATTAACAATTCATTCCTTTTAAATCCCACATGTCCTTGTACTTGAGAAAATAATTATTTGTCAACCGCTAGTGGTGTATTTGCTAAATTATTCTTCTCACATTTACATGAGATGAAAAACTTTCATTTCCACAAATTTCTTCAATTTGGGTCTCTTTCCTTGTGAGAGGCATTAGAATATACATTGCTTTGTGGGCATTAATGCATGCTGCATGCTACTGTGATCGGCAATTGGTGCATATCACTCCTGGCTGGCAGTCTCATAATTTACTTTTCCATGCTTTACTGCTCTATAAAAGTTGTATGTGATTTTCCTTTGATGCCATATTAATTTGTGAGCAAAATCTTTGAATACTCAGGTTTCCCTAGCCTTGGTGTGTTGTTACAAAAGTTGGAGAATCCTGCGCTTCGCGAGTGCTTAAAAGTGCCGTCAAATGAGGTGAATTGCGCATTAACTCCTCTGCTCTGGTAGCTAAAATTTCTGCTATAATCGCACATTAAGCCTTCCTTTCTCTTCTTCCACACTCATTTTTTCTACAGGGTGTGCTTGTTCGGAGAGTTGAGCCAACTTCTGATGCAAGCAATGTGCTGAAGATGGTAAACCTTGTTCATTTTTTGCTTCGAGAAGCTCATATTCTTTAGTTTCTTGAAATGGACTCTACTTTGCCAGAGTTGCTTTGCATGATTCTTTGGCAATTTTCTTTTGACAGCCTACATTATTATTACCTTTTATTTTTTGAAAAAGAAAAATAAAATCAATGCTTCCCTTTCGTTTGGCACTTGATGAAGATAATGAAGTTGTACTTTGCTTGGTGGATTGTTGTTGAACACAACTTCCTTTTATAATGTTTTTCAAATACAGAATGTTCTTTGTCATGATTGGGACTTCCATAATTTCACTAGTAGGACTACCTAGGATCAGTTGTGGTGTTTAATATATGAATCTTTAAAAAATTATCTCTTTGATTCCTTTCAGGGTGATGTCATTGTCAGCTTTGATGATATTCGTATTGGGTGTGAGGGTACAGTGCCATTTCGATCCAGTGAACGCATAGCATTTCGTTACCTTATCAGTCAGAAGTAAGTTAAACCAGTTACTGTTTCTATCTTGAAGAATAATAGTTAATTTTGTTGCTTTCTCTAAGTCTCGGTTTTCGATTTGCTACTGCATGTCAATTAGTATAAGCCTAGTGAATTCTTTCGCTGATAAAAAAAATGCTCTACTTCAGATTTTCTGGGGATGTGGCAGAGCTTGGTATTGTCAGAGCGGGGGAATTCACAAAAGTTAAAGCAGTTTTAAATACCCGGGTGCATTTGGTATGTAAAGACCATTCAAGTAGAATTCATCTGCTACATATGGTATTTTGACATTGAGATCTGGATTACTAAGGCAGACTATGATATGCTTTGACCTTTAGGTCCCGTATCACATTGAAGGAGGTCAGCCTTCATATTTAATAGTTGCTGGATTGGTCTTCACACCACTATCTGAACCGCTGATAGAGTACGCCTTCTTATCTAATAGGCTGTAGCTTTTCTGCTAGAATTTGAGGATTTGAGGAATTATACTTTGGGGAATTATCATCTTGACTTGAAACGTGCACATGTATTTTGCAGGGAAGAATGTGAAGACCATATAGGGGTACGTTTTGTTTAACCCATAATGCTCATTCTGAAAATAGATGGAATCATAACTTCTTCTGAGCTCTTTGTTTTTGTACTGTTGTGTTTTCATCTTGTAGCTAAAATTATTGACGAAGGCAAGGTATTCCTTGGCTAGATTCAGAGGGGAACAAATAGTAATACTTTCACAGGTTTGTTTATAGATGCGTGATTTTGTTTTCTTTCTTTTGTTTTCTTGAGATATGTGATTAGAAGATACCGAGGTCTTCAATTTTGAACATTCTCCTTTTTCTGCTGTAATTTCAATCTTCCTTTACTTGCACAGGTCTTGGCAAATGAAGTAAATATTGGGTATGAAGATATGAGTAATGAGCAGGTGAGTATTTATCTGCTTAGAGTTGAATCTAAACATTTGAACACTTATAAGACTTGGACGGCATGTAATATTTTCTTTAACATACACTGGCAGGTTTTGAAGTTAAATGGAACTCACATAAAAAACATTCACCACCTTGCCCATCTTGTTGATTGTAAGTCTTTCGTTAATTCTTATAATGTCTTTATTTATTGTTTTGTTGCTGTGGCTCTTAATGTTTTTCTTTGCTCAGCTTGCAAGGATAAGTATTTGGTCTTTGAGTTTGAAGACAATTATTTGGTTGTTTTGGAAAGAGAGGCAGCCATTTCTGCCTCTGCTAGCATTCTCAAAGATTATGGAATTCCATCTCAAAGATCCTCTGACCTATCAGAGCCATACATTGACATCGGTGGTGTAAATTGCCCTGGTGAACAACATGAATTTGGGGATAGTCCCGTTTCAAACTCAGAATTTGGTTTCGATGGCATTCTGTGGGTGTGATGGCTAACATATTTGGGGACATTTGCAATTCTTCATAAGAAGACTCTGAATATAGCCGATAATAGTAATCTTGGATCAGAGTTTCGGTCATTACTGTGGCACTGTGGAATAGATGCCCAAGTTTATTGGGGCAAGGGAAATTTTAGGATTTCGGTGCAGCACAGCGAAATCTTTGAAAAACCTGCAATACTGTTGTTGTATCACTATCAATAGCTGGGAATAAACATTCTCCAATAAAACATCATTCAATTTATGCAAGGACAATTGAGAGAATAAGGCAGCACTGGGTCCTGAAGTGAGGGATTGTGCAACGGAGGTGCTGATTCTTTCCATAGTTGAGGAGAATAAGGTTTTCGAATTTGCTGATTCCTGAGTAAGTTTGATACCTTGATGATTCAATCATGTATTATAAGCACTTGCCACCTGAGGGTTAAGTGCAAATTTTGTTTCCTAGGCAGATTTTTTTTAGATGATTAGGTTCGCTGACTTATAGCATTTGCCTCTTTGGTTAGTTAGTTACCATTTGTATTTACGGCTGCCTAATATATTTATTACTTTTCCATGACAAGAAAATAGTCTAAGAAAAGAGAAAATTATTCATTGTGCGTGTTTTTTTTGGTTTAATAATACACCCTAAAAAAAGTTAGTTATCAATTACATGCTATTATTATTTAAGGCTGCCTAATTTATTTATTACTTTTCCATGACAACAGAATGGTCTTAAAGAAAGAGGAAATTTCCTGGTAATTTCAGAACCTTAATATCAGGATAAATGAGGCGTAAAACTTTAAAGAAGAGGACAACATTTATTGTTTCTAAACCAAAGGGTGGCTTTCACAAGCTCAACTACATAAAAGGGAACTGTATAAATTTTTTAGGTAAAACAAAATTCAGGGTATAAAACTAAGGAAGTAAATCTTAGCATACATTGCTAAAGCTACAACACATAGTAATTTATTCAAGCTGGTGTACTAATTAATTATATGATGGATGTATATAAAAATCACTGAGATAGAGCTTCATTGATATCCTTGGCAATGAGTTGGGCATCCATAGCAGCTCCATACAATCCTTTTCTAGCCAAACCAGCACAGTACAAACCCTTGGTTCCTTTCCAGTGATTAGGGAAACTTTGCTTTGGAAGTCCATCCTCGTTCAGAAGATAGTCATCCCCCTGCGAAACCAAGTAATGTGTGTGATGAAGATTGAAAAGAGAAAAAAAAAAGAAAGAGTACAACGTTGAATTACTCATTCTACTTCTTTTTGAATTTTTTTTTTTTCCTTTTTGTTTCTCTTTCTTAAGTATGAGTTTTTTTTTGGTTAACCTCAAGTATGAGTTAATAACAGGCTTATAATTGTTGACATATGATATGATACCATCACTAGCTGGAAGAATATTATCACATGCATGACAATTTAAGCTGAATTGATTAACAAGCAATTAGTTTGTGATTAGGGAAATGAGAATCGAATGATTATAAAACTCTCAATTCTCGTCCTCTCAAACTCTGGCATGATATAATAATTCGTCATAGTGGATTTTAGTTAATTCGAGTAAAATTCACAGAAGATTGTGATTTGAAGGAGAAAATAAGGGAGAATATTAAAAATATCTACGTAAGTGTTAGTGACTTAAACCTAATAGACAAAGAAAATCTAATAGAAATGTAGCATTGGTACCTGGAGCCAGTTATTTGTAGATCTTTTAAATCCAGTAGCAAAAATAATGGAGTCAAACTGGTAACTTTTGCCGTCTTTAAACACCACTTCATTGCCCCTCACGCTTTCTACCGCCGGCAGCACCTGCTCAATTACGCAATTTCCCAAACAATATTGTTTAAACAAAAAAACAAAAAAAAAAAAAAGAATTCTACAACCAGTAAATTCATGCTTCAAGCTTAAGGAATGCTACATCCCCCCACGTATACATTTTTTCTCGTACTTTTTTTTTTTATTATCATATTTTCTTTCTTGAAATATCAATCAATTCTGGAACATGGATTTCATTCACGTAAAGCAACATAAATATAGCTAGCTATACACGACTATTATTATATGCATATGTTATCTACCAACTCTCTCATGATGATTTTACATTTTTCCATTAAATGCTTCAAACATGATCATTAGATTGCAAGCACAATTTTTCTTTCAACGTTTTGTAATGATTTTTTGGTGTTTATTATTTGAGAGACGCAATAATAGGTTACACATATATGTCGTGTCAATTTGCTAACAAAAAAGCATCAATCATTTTTAGAACGTAGGATTGTCAAATAAAAAAAAAAAAATCCAACTTCTAAAAAGTGAAAGGGTAGTCGTTGACCACGTAAGTCAAATCAAATACGTGACAGACAAATGAATGAAAAGAGTCGACGGACCTGAATCTCGCCGGACTTAATTTTGCGGATGGTTCCGACGTCGATGACGGGGTACTTGCCGGAATTGGTCTTGGCAGTGAAGGGGCCTTCTCCTTCCAGTCGTTTGATCCCGTACTTGGTCAAGTCCCCGTACCAAAGCTTGCTAAGGAATACTAAAATGGAGTCAACAGTGTTTAACGAAAGGTATTTCAGTGCAAACAGTCCCATGCTAGCCATTTCCCTTGACAAAACGTGAATCTGCATCATCCCCATTCATCAAATTGATGCCCAAAAAAAAAAACAAAAAACAAATTGTCAGTTTGATATGATTGTTTAATCATGACTGCCATGCATATACAATGTAACATGACCTTTTTCTTTGACATATTATGTATTCATTGTTTTAATTTGCTGTCCCGACTAATCCAAATCCAATTAATATAAGAGAGCATTGTCATCCGAATGAATAGGCAAATTAAATACTTGCACCAACTTTTAAAGCTCTGATATGAACACCGAATCAAACGTAGCATGTGTCTATTTCTCTAGCTTTTATAGCAAAATATAGAAAACCATTTTTTCTTTAGTGGTGACCCTCTAAATAGCCCACAAAATTAAATTTGTCCCCATAATCAAAAAAATGTGGCGGTATTTACCACCTGTAAATAAGTAAGTAATGAAACCAAACCCAAAAAAAAAAAAAAGAAAAAAATCACGCTTTAAATATTGATTATGTAATTTTACGTGGAATCCTTAATTCATATACGAGTAATTGATTTTATATTTTGCCTTTTTCTTCAAACACACACACACACACACAAAAACAGAGATAGATATGCGGCAACGTTCACCTACCGGGCTCCGGACGGCGACAGAGGTCTTGGCGCCGTAGTTGGACAGATCAAAAGCGATTTCCATGCCGGAATTCCCGGACCCGACGACCAAAACGTTCTTATTCTCATAGCCTTTCCCGTTCTTATACCTCGTCGAATGGATCACTTCACCGCCGTAAGTATCCAACCCGGGAACTTCCGGCACAAACACATCGCTGGTTTCTCCGGTCGCCACCACCAGAAACCTGCCGGAAAACTCCTCCGTCACGTCACCATTACCACCACCCAGATTCCGAGCCATAACTCTCCACCTCTTGGTCTCCTGATCGTACTCGGCTGACTCGACCGATCTTTTGTAAACCGGGCTGATCTTGAAATGGGCCACGTAGTCGTCAAGGTAGGCCAGGAACTGGGCCCGGGAAACGAAAGTGGGGTAAGAATCCGGGAACGGCTTCAGGGCCAGCTGGCAAAAGGGCTTGGCTAAATGGAGATGGAGTCGGTCGTAGGAATACTTCTTCCACAAAGAAGCGAAACAATCTTCCCTTTCTAGAACTATGTTTGGTATGGAGAGGTTGTTCAAGCATGCAGCCGTCGCCAGCCCCGACGGACCGGCGCCGACTACGATCACCGCCGTTTCCGTCGCCATCGTGATCGGAATAATGGATCAGTTTAAACGGTGTAGTTTTTTTATTCTTTGGAGGAGAAATGTAAAATGTAAAGGGGAAGATATATATATATGAATGAATGAGGTGAACTTTGGATTTAGTGAATGTGATGTTTTTATAGATGTAAATGTAAAGGGGAAGATATATGAATGAATGAACGAGTTGAAGTTGGATTATGTAAATCTGAGATGTTTTTATAGTGGTTTTTTTTTTTGTTTTTTTCTTTAAAGGAGGTTGTGGGGGCCTAATGTATGGAGTTGAAGTTGACAACAATGGTTGAGTTTACAAGTCTTTTCCTTTTTTGCTTTTCGTTTAAGGCTTCAAATCTCAAGAAGCGGCTAGCAAAGGTAGGCATGATTTAGAAAGTAGGGTTAATTATCACTTTACATCCCCGAAATTTGAGAAAACTGTATGATTCGTCTCACTAGTCGATTTTAATCGACTGTGATGAAATGTTTGTTATTGTTTGTAATTTAGTTACCAAGTTAAAGGATCCTAAATAATTCTCTTAAGATACTTACTAAACAAATTATAGTAAGTGCTTAGTGATAAGGTGAGATAGCCTAGAATAGTCAACAGCCAATCGGAGTCAACAAAAATTGCAAGAAAGCAGTCAACGGTCAATCTTTGTGAACGATCAGTCAGGGTCAACAAATTGCAAGAAAATGAGTCAACGGGCAATCCAGGTCAAGGACTTGTAAGAAAAGGATTAGCACTCTATCATTCTAATTAGATATAGAGAGAAAAAAAAAAGAGTGTACTAAATACTACTATAGAGAGAAAAAATCTTAAATGCCCAACAAGTTTAAAGGGCTCGTTGTGTGACTTCATTGAGCCTCCATATTAAGATTAGTATAATAACTACAAATAATTACATTTTAAGATTCATTTTAACTTTTAATTGTTACTTTTGCACAGGGAAAAGGGAAAAAAAAAAAAAAAGAAAGAAGCAGACAGAAATTAGTTAACTAGCTACTTCAAAACGTCACGATCCCAGAAGAGGGGGTAGATTATAGTTTTGGACATTTTGGTTATAAAACTGGGTTGGCCTAAGTTTTCACGAATTTAGAGGGGGCGATTCTTAATATTGTGATATGATTTCAAGGAAAGTACATATATTTGAGTAACTAACCAAATAAAAATAATGGAGTTGGTGAGAAGAAACTGTTGTTTTGTTGGTTATAGCGAAGATGAGTATAATGTTCAAGTTGGATAAAAGTCAGTCCAGGAATCAAAAATGTTTATACATTGTAAACTAATGAACTAATATTTGGCTGACTTAAATTAAGTTTGTTTCATTATAATATACTAAGCTGATACATCTGAAAGGTAATTAGATGCGTGAACTGGATGTAGGCTTTCTCTCGTGGTCCAAAGAGGAACCAGCTGAAGACTTCTTCTAATTTTCAATTCAATTACTTGCAAAGTTCGTTGCTGTATCTATTTCAGTATGATCTGGCTGCCCTGTTCAGCAATATATTACTCCTCAACTTGGCTATATGCCGATATCCTTTTAATTTGCCATTTCCGGTACTATTCATCTACTGTATATATATATGTATGATAGTTTTCGCTTTGCTGTTATTTTTCTGACGAAGTGAAAATAAAATATAGTCATAGTAAAATGAGGTTTTTAAAATATAAAATAATGCAGTGTGTGTGGAAAGTTATCCCTATAAAATGCGTTGTTTATTTCACTGTTCACTTTCGGTTCACTAAATCACATACACATCCCCCATGAGTTTTCTAAAACTACCAATCAAATCAAAGAAGATTAATGCATTTTTCGGTTCTTTTTGTCGATACAAAAAGAAGAAGAAGAAACTTAAAGGAATTATTATTTTTTTTGGTACAATGAAGGAGGCCAAAAAGCTTAAGAGTTTGTTTGTTTCGTTTTTTTAGTGTGTGTTTTTAGGTGTTGTTTGTATTGGGAATGTAAAAAAGTGTATTAAAAATGTAAAAAAGTATGTTGGGATGGAATAATTAATAATAATTTATTTAAAAATACCATCAAGAAAAGGAAACAAACAAAGCTTAAATTACTAAGTTACCACACAGGAGCGTAATAAAAAATAATAATCTATAGTACTTAATTAAAGCAGCAAACAAAAAGGACATGTGTCAGCAACACAATGAAAATTTTCACGTCAAAAGTCATTTTCAGTAGAAAATCATTTTTAACACATGGCACTCTAACTAATCAGAAAAAAAAAAAAGATAGAATAGATAAATACATAAATCCCATTAATTATAGCTACATAAAAATATCTTAATTATAGGTATATACTAATCCCTTAAAACAACAATATTTAGTTGATAAAATCAAATCTGACGAAATCCCCTTAAATCAAGTGAAACACCAGTAATGTCTTTCTAATTTCCAATTGCAAAGAATCTCTTCCATTCCGCTCCTCTCTCACACCCGGGCCTTTAAATCAATTACTTAAAATCTGACATCAATTATCAATCCATCTCTTTCTACAACAGAGAAAAAATAAGCTGTCATGAAAGAAATTTGATTTTTTAAGGATAATTTTTTTTTATTCTTCTGTTGTACATATTGGTTTATGATTTATGTAACCCGGACATAAGTTAACTGTTATAAATTAAATGTTGTAAATCTGGGCATAGATTTATGTGTAATAACTCACTTTCTGTCCATTCAATCGATTTTTTATTCTTCTAATTTTTTTAATTCTTTTAAGAGTGATTCGTATTTTTTATTTAATTAATTTAAAAATACAGGCGACAGCCGGAGCAAGCATCTAGTACTAACGTTAAAGGCAAATCTTACCAAATTGAAATACTGTAACTTAATAGAATTATTAATTTTTTACTATACGGGCGTATACAATCACGATCATACTTGGTTATCTTGGGCAAATAGATTGAGGTGATATTATTATTCTAAGGTCTAACAACCCAAAGTATCCATATATCCGTGGTCAACGCTGAAACAGTAAATCAAAGCTTCAAGAGGCGACGCTGATATTTTCTTAGTATACTACGGACCGGTATCAGGAATTATTACTCCGATTAATTTGAATTTAATCTGAGTAGATTTTTTTTTCATAGACATAACTCTCTTTAAAATCAAAAAAAAAATTTCCCGTAATGATGATGGATCTTGAAGACTGTGTTTGCTACCGTAACTTTAAGCCTTTAAGCGGCCAAAACCATTATCCAATTCCACCGGGTCATAAGGTATCCTAGTAGTACGTAGTAGTTTATGAAAGACAAAACAGCGTACGTAGGCAACCTTGGTCAAACCCCATAGGAAATTGTCCACTACCTCGGGGGACATTATTCTTTTCAATTTTCATTTTCAACAAGGGCTCATCTCATCCTCCTGGCCTTGAATTAGTCTCGATGACGCAGATTTCTTGTTAATCTATGTCAGATAGATAGATAGATAGATAGATATATATATATACACATATAGTTCAGTATAAAATAATGGGTAAGTTGGCAAGTACTGTTGACTATTGTTCATCAACATCATCGTAAGTCGTGTTTCATAGTATGTTCAACGTACACACTTTCGATCGCCTTGGAGTACAATTATAATCCCTTAAGTTATTTTAGCTAATAGCGAATGATTTTAATAGATTCACGAACATGTATGACTTGTAGTTTGAGACCGATTTAGTTTAAGAAAATGGTAACGGCGGACGAGAAATTAGTGGTAACACACTAGCAAAGATAAGCGAAATTCGGTCACGCACGCTTTGTTTCTCTTTGGGGTGTTAATATCCATTAAAATTCACTTTGACCAACATTATAAAACTACTACTAGTACTTTTTATACTACAGAAGAAGAAGATGAACAAAACAAGTACTAATGTCTTTCACTCTTTTTAACCTCAAAAGGGACAGTAGATATTGTCCCCCTTTAGCCATGCAATCTGTATTCTTTGCGTTGATCCAATGGGGTCTTGGTCCTTTTTAATCGTTGAAGTAATGACAAAGGAATTACCATCACTGCAACTATGCCAAAAAAAAAAAAAAAAAGGGATTACCATCACTTATGTGTCTCCTATTAGCAGCTTGTTCTAATAATTGCCCCTTTTTAGTTTTTATTACAATTATAAAATTGACCGAAAAAATTAAAAGTTATTTTATGGTACTCAACGAATGTAAGTAAAGTCTACAGCACTTATTCAGCTACAAGTTGGGGAACCAACTACCCTACTTACACCATGCAAATTGACAGGCTTTGAAATTGAGAGAAGAATAACATTAATTCTCTCGTAAAGATTACTGGTAAATGGTAATAAAAATATCTTATGTGAGTTTTTTTCATTTTTTTTATTTGAGTTAGATGATACTAATGAGAATCAAACCATCGACCTCTTAATAATAAATATCTCTCATCCTAATTCCTATCCCATGTTCTTTCTTCCATCTCCATAACACAGTTTTACTTGATTAATTTGTTCTAGTTCCGTTTTCCATTACAAAAAATGGAAACAAACGAGGCAGAGTCAAATAATTTAATCTGGAGATCTGGTCTCCCTTTTGTCCTACGTACCTTTGCTTACAAATGATGCCCGTCTTGTTTTGACTGTCGCATATTCTTTCTTCATAATAAACGGAGGGCCCTTCTTTATTTTTTTTTATTAATCTTTTTTTTCCCTCTGATTTTGCACTTTAATTATAAGTTCTCTCTCTCTCTATATATATATATATAACAAAATGTTGCGAGATTTGTGCCCTATACCGAATCAAAATAAACTTTTTTGTTTCTTGGAGAAAATCGAAAGAACTTTTGTAATGAATAAAAAAACATAATTAATTTCCCATTACCATTATTGACATGGCCTGGCTTGCCTACTGCAGAGACACAATTGCATTGACTAATGGATGATTTGCGTTGATGAAGATTATTAATAACTGATTGATTAAGATTGCTCAATTAGTTTGGGTTTAAGGGAATATTGTCAACCTTCCTTGTAATTAGTTTGGGTTCTAATAATGTTCAGAATAAATTATAAGAGTAGTTATGTTTGGTGTAAGGTGTGATTTTTGGTTATGTTTTGCACTGTACAACTCATAAATTAATATATATCGGAGACATTTTATTCAAATCATAATATCACTCGTTCACACCATGACACCATAATCACTAGTCAGTGTGTACGTACTTTATTAAATCTGATATCAAATATAGGCTTAGATGTAAAGCATGACCTTTTTTTCCCCCTAAAAACCGAAGTGTTGAGAAATAAGACTTTTATTCTTAAGGAAAGTTAAGTAATGGAAGCGAACATTAGTTTTTTTTTGAGTAATCATTTTCTTTATTATAAATTGTACTAAACGTGAATTTGTACAGTTTTCTCGTCTCCAGTTGCAAATTTCTCATATATCTAGTATTTGGGTACAATTGATACACATATACAATCTGCATGTTATGTGGGTTTATACATATATAGAGGCAACATACTAGTAACTAACGTTATTTAATTAAAAAAATACTACTTATGTCTAAAAAAATAATAAGGAGTATAAAAAGGGATCACAAGACGCTTGTAATGCTAGGGCAATTTAGAGATCAAAACAGGGATGAATTCAACAGAAACAGGAAATTGAAAGAGAAAATTAGGGTTCTACGGGAAGGAGAGAATTGGGGATCTCAAACTTCTGAAAAACCAAATCAATCGCATATCTATTCTATAATAATATTTTTACCCCAATCACACTATATATAATTGGATAGTTTGAGGACTTATAATTTAACCCCTATTCGTAAGTTAAATGAATTCCTGAATCATGACAACGCTATAAATAAAAGAGCCTACAGAATTTCTGTCCACAATCAGGCTTCCAAATTCCAAAATACAAATAGGCCCAAATCATTACAAAACTTGGCCCAAATTTAAAAAGAACAAGCATGGCTGTTAAAGTAGGCTGCTTCTGCACTGGAAGCTGTACTTTAGGCTTTGCAGCAAAACTAGTTTTTTGCATCAGTTTGGAGCCCGAGTTATGGGGTCCAGTTTTTGGTCTTCAAAGTTCAAATGGCCTGGGAATTGTGATTTGTGATTTCGTAATACTATAACTTTAGAAATGGGCACTCCTCCAAAGTCGAGGAGGAGCTGCTGCCGGAAGCCGGGCGAGTAAGCCCCTTACATACTATTACGTAGAGTAGTTTTCGTATAAAGAAAGAGGCAAATGTTTAAACCTTCAACCAAAGTAGATGATGAATGTGAAGTACGATTACGTTGTGTTCGAACCACATCTTTCACTCTAATAATCAAATCATGTAATAATGGTTAAAAGCAGAAGTGGACACCTTACTGTAATCAATGATATTGATTCAGTCTTGTGAAATTAGTTTATCCTAACTTTATACACAGAATTGAGTTTATTTTTTGTTATGTGACTAAGTACAACGTAAAGGACGGACTGTTTTAATTCAATCGTAGGTTGTTGTATTCTCAACTCTTGAGGTTATTTATCTTTGATTTTATTTTACAAAATGATTCGGGAAAAAAAAATGGTTGATACCTCCGATACAACATACGGCATCGCAAGAGCAGTCTAGTCTTCTCTAGTAAACAAATCCTAAATGCCCTGAATCAAAAAAAAATAATAATAATAATTTCCTGAATCGGGCCCGCAACCGTAGAAAAATGAGGAAATAGCAGTTAGTAAAAATTCAAAAGAAATGGGAGCGCCAGTCTCGCTAAAAGCTAAATTTACCGGCTTCTTCTATTGACTCATGAAGCAAAAGAAAGTGACAGAAGAACTTCACGGGACTTTGATAGAAAAACTGAGAAACAGACAATTGGGAAATGGACAGTGGCTGCCAATTCATCTTTCATGTGTTATATTCGTCTTATCAAAAATTCATTCTACCCAATCTTGTCCCTTTGTTTGTTCACTCACCCTCAGGCCATTTACAACCTGTCTGCCCAGTTTTTTCTCCAATCATCTTTTGCCATCTGCCATTCCCCCACCAAACCCAACTTCTCCCACACACACACAGTAGCAGTGAAGTGAATTAAGCAGCAGTTCCAGTTTTTCTTTTTTGGTTAATTGCATTGAACTCCCCTCAAGTTTTTAGAAACTACCCATCGCTTACGATGTTTTTGTCGAGATTAATTATATCTTCTTTAAACACCTCAACCAACCAGCTAGTGTAGTGAACTGTTTAAACTTGTGAAAAGACTGGAAAAATGGATTTGATTGAGGGAAAGTTGAAAGAGTAAAATCAGCAATTTCAGTGAAAATTATACCCTTATGCACGGATATTTGCTTATCAAAAGGGGTATTCATGGAGTTTCCGCAAACATAGAGGGAAGTTGATGTAATTTACACTTCCTTTCATCTCACAAAACAAAACCATACAATTACATAATTACATACATTCTTCCATTCAATCACACACAGACTGGCACACACTCGCATACATTCTACCCTTTGATTCTCTTTTTTAGTCCCCTCTGTCTCTCAAACATATACTCATTTATTTCAGTTTCCCCAGAGTATATGGTACTGAATCTAATGATGATTCCATCATCATCATCATCATTTATGGCATCAATGTGGCAACTTTTGACGATATCAATGATTTTCATGTCAATCCCATCTTTATTAAAAGCTGCTAATGATGAGCCCCAATTACCAACTTCAACCATTTCAGCTGCTCCGGCATTGCTGCCTGCCTTATCTCCTTTAGCTTCACCACCATTACCGGCCGGAACAGGTCCGGCAGCATCCTCACCGGACATAACTCCTCTGTTTCCTTCACCAGGGGGACCATCTCCGAGTGAATCCACATTTCCCACAATTCCTTCCAGCCCAAGCCCTCCAAACCCGGATGCAATTGGTGCTGCTCCAGGCCCTGGAATGGCTTTTTCACCTGTTGGGCCGTTGCAAATGGAGTCCTCCCCCTCCTCCTCGAATCCGGTGTTTCAAGTTTCGAGCTTTTTGAGTTCAGCCATTGTTTCAGCTCTGTTTGTTGTATTATACTGGTGAGTTTTGCAGAGCTTGGGCTATGCAGCAACTTTATACCATATAGATTCTTCTTCTTCTTCTTCTTCTTCTTTCTTCTTCTTCTTCTTTTTCATTTCGGTAATGTGATTGTGAGCCTACATTTATGGTACAAAATTTCACTTCTTATCACTGTGTAAAGTATTCAACCCCTTGCTTTCTGTGTGTGTGTGTGTGTGTTAATTATAAAGCACAATAAATGTTAAAAGTAGGACTTTTTGGTAGTTATTAAATGTATTTCTCATTGTTTACTTACAGAATCAATCATGAGGTGATGATTACGGATTTTTATTTTTATTTTTTTGAAACGAGATGAAGATTGTTATGATTTTAGTTATCTAAAGTGATTAAAAATTAAAAAGGTTGTTTCTTTACATCTCTCTCACTAGTTTATTACATTCTGAAGAACTCCCCATCTTTCTATCAGCACAATCGTTTAATCGGATCTCCACCTTGGAATTTTGATAGTCACGAGTACGGCATAGCTAATTCGTAGGTTTGAAACCTTTTATAATTCCCATTCACAAGCTAACATGTTAGGAAACTACGAACAGTCGGTGCCCTTTTTTTCTTTTTAATTATTTGTAACAGGGTATACTGTTCATACACTATACAGCAATATGTGAGAAATCGTTAAAAGTGAACACTTTTGACAAACTTTCATTGCGTAAATTAGGATTACTACCGAAGAAACTAGAAAAAGAATGAATGAGCGAATTCCCTAAAACAAAGAGTATTACAAACATCAGTGACTACAACTTACCACGGTATGAACTTGTAATTCTACCTAATCGCAAAGTACTAGGTTCCACAAAATTACAGAGAGTTCGATTCTATTTACCCTATATAATCCAGATACAAACATGGTGGTTGAATATATCGAAAACAAGACGACTAACTGCTTTTGAAGAACTTCTTCCACAGTACATCCATTTTGCTCAATTCGAAGTGATGATTCTGTTTCTTCTTAGGAGGAGACTCTTTTGCAACAACTCTCTTCCTCAAATCCTGATTTTCTTCCCTGAGATGATCCATGGCTAAAGTCAGTTGCCTTATCACATCCCTTTTCTCTTCATCCTTCTGAATCAACTCCTCTTTTTGAGCCCTATTCTCTTCTTTAAGTCTCTCTATTTCCTCCATTAGCTTAATCACTTGATCTTTGTTCCCATCATTGTTGTCACTTGAAACATCAATCTCCATTGGCTCTGTTTCTTCGCAAACACGATGCAATTCTTCTCCTTCCTTCTCTAGTTCATGTTCAGGTTCAGGAGGATCATCTACATCCGACTCATAATCCTCCGTTTCGTAGGCCATTTCAGAATAACTGTCATACAATGATACTTTGTCCATTGAAATATGGCTCATCAACTTCTCCTGTCTGCATTTATTCATGGATAATGGCGACACCCATGCACGGGGTGTTCCTGATTCAGACTTGAATTGATCATATCGTTCGGCTAATGACCGGTAAGTCCTGTAAAATTCCTCTACCATGCTGATGAGCTGAGGTCTCTTCTTGTAGTACATCTCTGCACGTTGCGCAAAGGAATCTGCATCTTCTTCTATCAGTTTTAGCATGGCCCTAGTCTTCTCATCCAGCTCTGCCATCATAAATAAAACTGAAATCAATGGCATTGATGCATAACCAGCAACTGATGAAAACTAAAAAGAATTTACTCTACCAAAGGAAATTTAGGGAGGGTGGTGTACAAATTGGCCTTTTAGCAGTTAATGGAAAATGCAATCAACAATTACCAACAGGGTAAAACAGAACACGGGAACATTATCGCCAAATAGAAAAGGGGAGAATCCCTATAAAGAATTGGATTTTGATGCATAAAAACCAGCATCCATTGAGAGCGGATCAGCCCCACTACTAGAGACTGTACATATAAATCAAGATAAGATGCACAGACAGCATTAATAGTGCCTTGAAACTGTATAGGAAAGGTCACTGAATCATAATTTGGATAAATTGTACCCATCCCTAGTGGCCATTCATTCTCGTTAGAACTTCACCATTTGTTTTCTATCTGAGCAAAAGTGAAAGGCCATTTTTTACTACCACCACTACACTCAACAAATACATTGTTGTTTGCAAAACCTAGTCCATGAATTGATGATGATTGTGGATCCCTCCACCATGTTCCTACCATTTGCCCGTTACTTTTATTGTATAATTACGTATGCTGCCAAGCAAGCCTCTTTTCTAGTTCTTTTTCCTTTTTACCTCGGAGAAAAGTTAGCAAGTGGTGGACCTAGACAGTTACACTATAATTTAATGCATTGCTGATTAAAAGTTGGACTTACTAAAACATTTCGAGCCATTCCCATGCAAAATTTTGTCTCTTCCAAATCAAATCTTTATATGGTGACTAATCTTATTAGTTAGCAAATCTCCAGAAAGTAAGTGTATATGAACAGCACCCAAAAAGTGAATACATAATGCAAAAAAGGTAAGACGAAATGCGTTTCAAATCAAACTGTAAAATGTAATAATCGTGAGGATTCTCATGGATTATCTCTTGACAATGCGTTACAAGAATGTAATATGTGTTTTAAGACAGAAAAGGTGCTAACTTGAAATCCAAATTGAAAGAGTTCAAAATTTGAAAGTTGAACTTCCAATTAAAGAGATTAATCTTCGAGATTGGTAAAGATTGTCAGAGAAACACTGAACCCGATAACACTAAATTTTGTTCACTAAACAGTATTGCATACAGGTATCAAATCGTGTAGCACGTTAAGCGTTGAGAGAGAAGAAGCCCAAAAGGATTGGGACCCAAAAAAAGAAAGAAAAACAATGAGCAGAGAGGAATACCTGAAAGCGTGAATTGCAGCCATGAAGAACGCTTCTGGTTCTGGTTGCTGTCGCTGAGACGATCAAACCACCACCACTGCGACGTCGTTTCCTTCTGTTTCTGCACTGCCTCCACCATTTTCTTCTCCTGTTAATCTCTGTTTCAAGATTTCGTCCAAGTAAAATCACAAACTGCACAAAAACTCCTCAAAATCACCAACCCAAAAAGGGTAAAAAAACAAAATCAAGAATCACTAAAAAATTCACAATCACAGCTAGAAGTTCGTTTCAGTTTTTCTCCATAGTTACAGTTAAAAAAAATTAAACAAAAAAAAGAAAGAAACTTTGAAATCAAACAGAACCGCCAAAAACAGCCCGGATGTTCCTCTAAACTAGGGAGAATCTTTGGGCTCGACTCAACGGCCCTACCCAAGATTTTTTATCCCCAAGAAAGAAGGGTAAAGAAGCGAGAAAGCATCAATAAAAAAGAATATGAGGTGGACATACTCGCCGGAAAATAAACGTATATAACTCCGACCACGAGAAACGCCGCCGACTGAAACCCTTTTCTTTTTTCCCACCTCTCTCTCTCTCTCTCTCTCTACCTAAGAAGAAACCAAAGACGGTGAGAAACTCTCTCTAAAGAAACAATGCGATGAGGATGAAGGTTGGAGCAATTTAAACACCGGACTTCTCGAGATTTGAACTTTAAAATATTTAATTTTCTTTTTTTTTCTTTTTGTCTTTTTTTTTTTTTCTCTAGGATCGAAGAAAGCCTCTTGTTTTCATTCTACTCTGCGTATTTAGGAGGGAGCTGGGAGTCAATTAACAGCAGAGTTGTATAGGATATAGTATAAATAAGTCAAGCATTAGGACTCTGCTTCTGGTTTCAGGCAAAAAGGCCTCATTAACGTTATCTTCAGCCACAATCTATGCTAATAACTTGGGGGGTGGGGGGATTACATTATTAACATGAGACTTTTAAAAATTGAATTATAATATTAATGTGCCCTTTTCCCTCTTCATTTGGGAAGTGAAAGAATTTAAAAATTAGCTGGATGTGAGAATAGTAGAACTGTGTAGGAGTAATCTACTAGGAAGTCAGAGAAAGTCAGGAGCGTGTGGGTTGCGGATATTGACAATGACCCATACGATCCAGAAAGGTACGTAACGGTCGAATATGTACAGTAGGAAATAGGAGTATATATTTTTAGTACTTATTACTATGTTCAGTTTGATTTCGATTCGCTTATGTTCTGCTTCCAAATTTATGTTTCTTTTCAAAAAAACATACCATTTATTTTTAATTTGAAACCAAAAACAAAAAAAAAAAAAATGGAGAAAAAGAAGACTAGGCTGGGAAAATTTTATAACTTCTTTGGGAAAGATTTCAAAACCATAGAGAAATTCAAAAACAACAATTCTCTGAATTTACATGATTGTGCTATCTCAATCGGAGCTCTCCTGATATTTTAGATTGAAAGAGAACAAACCCTTATGCGTCACGTCTGGACGTGTCATTGTGATTAACTTACTTTATTGTTTTGTCGTTATTATTCTAAATTCAAATAAGACTATAACTAGTCATGTATTTGTGATTATCTTACTTTAATGTATCGTTGTTGTTATTTAATTTAGATAAAACTATAGCTAGCCATATATTTGACGTAAACATTGTATTATACATGCATTGGTAAGCATAGCTATGTATTATTGTCGTTATTTTAGTTTCCGAGAATATCACATATACTTTATATAGGCACACAATTAATGTATTATTGTTATCTTTGTTTGGGCGAGAATGTGGCTTGCACTTGGCTTATACAACAAATAACGACAGGCAGCCAAATTAATTAGCACCTGGGCGGGACGATTATAAATCATTGACTTAATAACACTAATTAAACAAAAATAAGAAGCTGTAAACACCTGAACTAGTTGTTAACTGTATCAATGAGATACAAACAAAAATCTGCAAATGCTGTTATAATTTCTTACATTTGCAATTGGAGCAGCTCTCAAATTCATACAAAAGCATATGTCATATACTATTTGCATTGCAACAACTACTCTGCTAAATAAACATTGGCAGCAGGGCTGGCATTGAGACCTTCCAACCTACTACTTAGTCTACATAACTGTCTTCTCATCTAGTATTCGATCAATGGAGGCTCATGTCCCCGTCCAACATACCAGAATCGGGTCTTGTGAACCCCCTCCCACCGAACACGGGGCGCATTATGGTATTGTCAAATTGCCTCCAATAATAGTGAATCGTGAAGGTCGGTTTTGTAAGAAGCATGCGCAAACTTGAAGGACGACTGGGTTTGGTTCTGTCCTTGCCAACCTCAAATCCTTCTCCTGCCTTATCGAGGAGTGGTAACACGAAGGATTTTGGACTATCTGGCTCAGAGGAAATCCCCAGAATTGGCGCTGGAGGCAGCCATGAACTTACTAGGTGTTTTGTCGCCAGCCCAAAAACCTTAAATAGAGTTCACGAAACAAAAATTAGAGAACTGCTAAATTTCTGTGAAGAAGAAAAGGGAAAATCTATGCAGGATGCAGCCTCTGTAATCGATGGTAGACACACTCGGTGCCAAAGAAGCAAAATAGAAGTAAGATATGATATTTATTATAACGAGTCTATTGCACTTTACCACGGTAGTCGATAGAACAAGAGTTATAGTGCTGGTGATCATAATGGCATTTCCTTCCTGTTGAGTATGACCAGACCTTGCAAACTGCATTGATCAAAATAAATAGTCAGTACATTCGCAGATATCAACAGCATTATATTGTTTGCAAAATGTAGGTAATAATGGCTTTTGGCAATAGTTTGTCGACTTCAGTTGCCAATATGATCCAATTAAAAACCTCAACATTAATGGTATATGAACTGCCCAGTCTCCACAGTCCACCACCAGCTTCAAAACAAAATGCAGGCCTAGATACTTGTAGTGTTGAAGGGGGAAAAAAATTAAAATAAAAGATGAGCAGAATCTAGACCTGATTATAGGCCAAAGCCATAGAAACAGCACCTCGCATCAGTCCAGCCCACCAAATTGTCACCTGTGGAGGTTCAATTGTTAAGAGTATGTGGTCAACTCGAGTAACTCAGAGGCTTGAGATGTGAAGAATTCTAAAGAGTACCTGCTGCTTCAATTCGATCTTGTCACTCCTCCTAGCCAAATTGGATAAAAAAGACAAGGGAAAGACAAAGGCTGCTCGCCCAATTGAGACCAGGACAAAAAGAACTGCACTCACTGCAATAGATTTTCCAGGGCTGCAAGATTTGAATGGTATAAGATAAGTAAGCGTCAGATTGCTTTCAACATCAATGCCCAACTAAAGATTCTACTTGCATATATTTCAGCAGCGTGTTTGTTACCTGTTTCTTACAAATTTCCACTTCTCAATGTCTAATGCATCCATTCCGACATAAAGGAAGATAAATATCTCTGCAACATATGACAATGTTGCAAAAGCATGCCTGCGAAGAATTTTGATATCAGATGAGGAATAAGATCGCAGAGAGAATGGAAATCTCAACATCAGAGACTAAAAACAGCAGATACACAGAACGTAATATTTCAGAAAATTTGGTGAGCTGTGTTTGAGTAGGCATGCGCCGGTGTGTATGTACGCACGCATGTGTACATGTAAGAGAGAGAAAGAGAAGGTAGATAGGTCATGAAAACAGTAACATACTTGGTAGTCGTTCGAGAACTTTGGGTAACATTATGCCATGTATAATGTGACATAACTATCCCACAGAAGAATACTGTAAGGATTCCACTCAGGTTAAAAACCTGAAAAATGAAACAATGCTCGATAAATAACAGACTAATGATAAGTTGAGAGCTTCAAATACAAAAGTTATATACATAATGAAACTGTACAAACTCTGATGCTCAAGTTTGGCTCACGTAATATTTATTGATTATTCTCTAAACTTGAAAACTGAGTCTAGCTTGTACTCTTAAGCTCAAATATTAAAAATCAAGCTTGATCTAACCATAATATTCTAAATGCAAATACAATGAAAAAGTGTTGACTCCCCGCAGGTAATCACAAACAACATGAAAAACTGTCTTGATGAAATCTTTTTTACTTAATATGTCATGAAATCGAAAGCATGTGTCTAATTTAGTTTAGAAATCTTGACATGTGACAAGAGGCACCTTGTGCCACAGTGATTTGCTTCGGGAATGAGTCCACCTAGCCACTTAAGGAGTTTAATGAACACGAACGCATACTTACTTCAGCCATCACGTAAGAAAGATAAGCCATTAGAATCATAAGAGAAACTTCACGGTCTGTAGAATGCCTGAAATTATACAGCAAGCCACCAAAAAAAATTTGATCAATAACTCGCAAAAATTGCATGTATCAGTGTTTGAACGTACAGGAAATGGGAAAAGAAGTTAAAACCCACGATGATCAAAAGGAAGTGTCGTGATTTTCATATTGTCCGTTCCTGCATACTTTTATGCAGAAAAACGCTAAAAGTAAACATATTCTAATAGGAAAGGAAGATAACTGCTACAAGCATGTACCTTCCAAAATACAGCTCTTTGATAACATATGCACAAAGTAGTCCAACCTGCATTCACCGTACTAATTTGTAAGTATGAATCTGATTCCAAAATGCCCAATATGAGAAGAAATCTCTAAATATCAAAAATATGAGAAGAAATCTCTAATATTTGCTATACTGCAAGAACAAAAATCAAACTAAAATATATTGCACCAAGAATTGCAGGATTCAACTTTTGACCACCAAATTTAATAGCTCTGATGCATGCCCTAGCCCTTAACAGAATAGAGACATACCATTATTCCTAACAATGTGCTTGTGATGAATAACGTGAGAAAATTGCCCCCAAACTGCGCAGCTATTTTCAAGTTTATGTGGGAAAGGTCAAATTTCTGGATGGCATTGAACAAGACCACGGCTGTTGCATCATTTACAACTCCTTCCCCAAAAACCACACTGTAGAGGAAAGGTGTCTCTTCCTGCTTGAGCACCTATGACAGACCAAAAGAAGGAAAACGTGGTTACATTATAATCTTTAATCCTCCTCATTAACACAAAGGTGTTTTCGTATATTACCTGTAAAGTGCAAACCGAGTCTGTTGCTGAAAATATAGCACCAATCGCTGCATGAGGAGTAGAGTTGCATCATTAATATTAAACTTCTATAAAACAGCAGGAAATGAATTAAAAATTATTCATCCTCTGAAATTTGAGGCATGTATGGATACGGAAATGACAAATGCAACACTAGAGAAACAAAGTTACACTACCAAGATAATCCCGCAACTCCAAAGATCCAATGTCTAGAATTCCCAACAACATTTTTGCGCCTGCATCATTATTCTTCAGTTAAAGATCACGCTTACTTACTGAAGAAAAAAGCAAGAAGAAAGCATGTGCTGACAGCATAAATATTTGAAGACATAAATGCCGAATATGGTTAGTGCCTTAGTGGAATTCACTTCCTGCTGTAGCGTTGTAAACTGTCATATACTGTAAAATTCCACTATCCATCTACCTTCTTGGGGGAAAATATATGCTTAAGATACCATTGATCTCCCAAATATTTTCATGAATAAAGCCCTCTTAGCTAGTCCCCCAACATTTAAAGTAAACACACTGTGAACTGAATGGTTCCATAGAAAGAATGCACCCAGAAGAATCACTTTACGAAGCCAAAAAAGGATACCGAGAGCATACCAAAAGAGATGATACAGAAGGAAATCAGAGTACCAAGGGCACCAAACATCGTTATGACCGAGAAGTTGCGAAAGAACTGCTTCTTTTTCACTTGAAACCTGATCAAGTTAACAGAAGTCATCAGTAATTTACAAGCACCCAAGAATGAAGTGGTGAAATTTAGAATGAATGCCAATAAAAAAATCAGAGGGATTACCCAGCATTGAAAATAATAGGGGGGAGAAGATATATAAAGAAGAGCTGCTCATCAAACTCTAAAAGGCGGGAACTCTTCCCCTTTGTGGTCAGCAAAATTACACACCCACAGCCCAGCCCCTGCATTCAAACACTAATTCAATGAAAACAACTTTCTGGTGTACAATTCAATTTCCACAATCACCTGATATACAGGATCAAAATCAAATCAATCACCAAAAAAAAAAGAGAAGAAGATCCTTACGATGAGTAGAGTAGTAATGGAGTCATTAATCCATCGATTTTCTTCGAGAAAATGACCAATGACAATGCAAGCACAAAGAAGGGCAACAAACAACGTGATGGAATTAATATAAAAACCATTACCATCACCGGTTAGATTCTCCGTCGACAGAAACTTCATAACTCCGTTCATCACCTCCATCGATGACCGACCTTAAACAAGCGATCCCAACTATACTTCTATGCTATACTACTGTTACAAACAAATTCAAAAGTCAATAATCTAAGCCAGAAAAAAAAAGGCCTAGCAGACGTTCCTTCCTCTTTTGTCTCCAGCAGAATTGCTAATGAATCATACCAAATAAAAAACCCACAAATAAAAACAAAAAAACTTGTATGTTGGGGGTACGCACTCGTAGACGTAACGGACTATTCTATATTACCTAAAACGTGTTCTGGAAGACCATTAACGTATAAACAGAGCAGACAGCGGTTTTCTCTGGGGTTTTGTGTCTGACTACTACGGAATCCAGTGCGTGTCTGCGTGTTTTTTTTTTTTTTTTTTGGGTGGCTCGAATCGGAAGAGAGGATCGGAGAAACAGTCGAATTAGAGAATTCAGGGGAAAGCAAATAACACCTCAGCTCAAGAAACTCCGGACTTATAGGTGGTTTGAAATACCGCCAAGGCTTAGATACTCTGATTTAGACATCTTCCAGTTTGGGCTGGAGTATTATTATTAATAATTAATTTTAAATTGTAATTAATGCTGGGCGTCATCATCATCATCGTCTTGCATACTAAGCAAACTCGGGTATCGTGGCTTCTTTCTTTACCGTTGGATATATTCTGAGGCCCATCTCTCAAGACTCTATTTTGATAGTCTCCTGGGCCTGGGCCCAGGCCCGGACTATTGACTTAAATTAATAGAATAAGAGTTAAATTGTAAGCCCTCGAACTATCCGACTATATATAGTCTTATTGGGGTGAAAATATTATTATGAAATAGATATGCTTTGATTTGGTTTTTAAGAAGTTTGAGATTCCCAATTCTCTCCTTCCCGTAGAACCCTAAGTTCCTTTTTCAATTTTCTGTTTCTGTTGAATTCATCTCTGTTTTGATCTCTAAATTGCCATAGCATTACATTTGGCCTCAGAGCTAGACTTTCCTCGGAATTTTAGACCCCAAATCATGACTTTTTTGTTCGAATTTACTCTGACTTTTGGTTCGTTCATTTCTAAAACCTTCCATTCCCAATCAATTTATGCACTTTCAATCCCAAAAAAATAAAAAAATAAAAAAGAAAAAAGACAAGAACAAGGGTTGCGGTGGAGGAATCAGCCAAGGAAACCAACAGTGATGCCAACTCCTGTCGGATTGAAACCCTAGAGTCGAAATTCTCCAATCTCGACTCGCGTTTGACTTCCTTGGAAGCAAAGGTGGATTCTTTGACTGCTTCAATGGAACGAATGTTGGATTTGGTTGGCGCGATGCAGCAGAGAAATTCCAAGAAGGCGCCGGTGACGAAAATAACCTCTCCGGCCTCTCTAACACCCCACTGGCCACCTTTTGCACAAGGTGGAGCTGAAAACCATCAAGCGTCGTTCAAAGCGGTTCTGGAAAAAGGAAATTGTCGATCTCCAGTTAACCCTGTGCGCGTGGACATTGACCACCAGACACGCGCCGGCAATTTCAACAGAAACAGTCCCTTGCCGGAGTTCACGAATTTAGGGGGATTTCAGGGCAACAACAATTGGGGACAATAGAACTGCCGGTGGTATCAGCAACCCCGGCTGGATTTGCCGGTCTTTACAGGTGATAATCCGCAGAATTGGTTGTGCAAATGCCGTAAGTACGCTCAAATGCACCAACTCCCAGAAGCTGAACTCGTTGATGCTGTGGAATTGTTCCTGGACAGCAAGGCGGACACCTGGTATCAAGGTGTTAAACACGCTTATGGTAAGCTATCTAGGTTGAATTTGCTGAATTGTTAGTTAGGCGTTTTGGAAGTAGTAATGGCCATGACTGTATTGAAGAGTTTAATAAACTGGTTCAGCTTGGTAGTGTAACTGAATATCAAGAACAATTTGAGGAGTTACGTTCCAGATTGTTGTTGATGGGATACTAGTTTGATGATGCTTATTCTGTATCATGTTCTATAAGTGGACTTAAGGCTGAATTGAAACCGGCTGTTAGAATATGGCACCCTAAAAACATTGCTGCTGCTTTTGAAATTGCGTTCTATCAAGAGCAATCTTTGTCTTTCAATGGTAGTTTAGGTTGGCGTGATTCTGGACAGATTGATTCTCCCCTTAGCTCACCAGGAAGTGTAAGGGGTGGAAATGAGTCTCCGGTAAGAAATAGTGATAGGATACCCACTGGTGACCTTGCTGATAAGATGGTTAAGGGTAAAGAGAACAAAGAAGGGGTGTTAGGAACTAAAGCTATAAATAGTATCAAAATGAATGGTTATAAAGGCCCTGGTAATAAATATATCAAAAAAATGTCACCCCAGGAGTTTCAGTATCGAGCCAACAACCACTTGTGTTATCGGTGTGGTGAACATTTTAAGCCGGGACATATTTGCAAATTTGGACAGATGAATGTGCTGCTTTGTGAAGAAATGGTAAAATCAAACCTCCTGAAACCGCTTTGTGGACTATTGACGGTGACATGGTGTATGTGAACGATCTGGCACTTGATCATGAAGTTCGACGCAACATTTGAAAGGCAATGTGCAGGTTCAAGGTTTAGATGGCTGCTGTTTACAAGTCTGGTGGATTGAGATTTCTAGATTTGTTCAAGCTTTGCTTAAATTATAGATAGCATAATATATTTGGTAATGTCTTCTAGTGTCAAATGGTTTCAATCTGTTTTTTCTTTGTAAGACAAATTGAGTAGTAGATGTGAAGTAGCAAGGCGTAGGTGCCATTTTACTCTGTTTCAGTTTTGGTTATAACCTTGTAAAGGCAGTGTTGGGGACAACACTGTTTTTAGTGGGGGAGTTCGTCATGAATCATAGATTCATTTGACTTAAATTAATAGAATAGAGGTTAAATTGTAAGTTCTCAAACTATCCGACTATATATAGTCTGATTGGGGTGAAAATATTATTATGGAATAGATATGCGTTGATTTGGTTTTTCAGAAGTTTGAGATCCCCAATTCTCTCTTTCCCGTAGAACCCTAATTTCCCTTTTCAATTTCCCGTTTCTATTGAATTCATCCATGTTTTGATCTCTAAATTGCCATAGCATTACATAGAATTAGAAGTAGTCTTGGATTGACCTGCTACTCCAATCTTGAATTTTTTTTTTTATATATTTTCTTTCAAAACAAATTTAAAGTAATTGTAACTAAAGGGGTTGTAGTGGAGTTTTAAGAACTCCTCCCCCTTTAACCATAGATCGAGGGATCGAATCTCGTTATGGACATGAAACAACCTTAAATACTTTAGCCAGCTTTCCCACCTATCGAGATACCTACCATGAGTAAGGAAGATTAGTCATTGTTGCCGACGATGAATATCTTGCAATATGGGAAAAAAAATAATTGTTGCTTATTTTCCAATTAACTAAATTGTTTACTTTAATTGCTTGCAAAACAGATAAGCCACTGTCTTCTTTTCCACTTTACATTTTGATTGTAGATGAAATTAAGATATAAAATCCAAAAACAAATAATAATTATTTTTTTTAAAAAAAAAGAACATCAGTTTTATGTTTTCTTGTTTGTGTGTTTTTCTTTTGTAGAAAAACTAACGTGTTATTGAAAATTTTAATTAAATACGCGGACAATCTATATATATATATATTATTTACATATTGTAACAACGAATTGATTTAACAAAAAGTCTTATATTTGCAAAGTGTGTTTGATATGAGAGTTTTCCCACAATACTCGCAATTTGAAGAACATGTGCACCTTTAGAGCATTGAAACTTGTCAAATTTGTGATTATTTGGGGATGAAGATGTACTTTGAAGATTAGTGTATGACAGCCAATGGTATATAGAAAAATTATATAACCCATAATTGTGCAATTTGAAGTTCTACTCATTTCAAAAGTAGTTAATTTGTTGGAGTATCTTCATTCATCTCACCATCTTTATGAACTTATCCAAATATGCACTACACATTTAGAAATTTTAAAGGGTCAAATGAAAATCTCACTTAAAGTCTGTATTCCATCCGTCCCACAAAAATAATTCACATTGAATTTTGAATTTTATGATACTATTTTTAGAACAAATTTAAAAAATTCAATGTGAACAATTTTTTTTTTTAGGACGGAGGTAGTATAATCGACTAACAACACAAATATTCAGAATATATTCATGAAGAACTTTTATGCCCATTCAAAGGGAGGGGGAAAAAAAACAAACAAAGAAGCTAGAAGGATATATGTCATGCGTGAATCACAAGTGAAACAAATTTGTTCATAAATTTTGAGTATGATATCATTTGCCTTGAATACGTTACTCATTTTTCTCGATGGTTGAAAATCGAAATATTATGGTAGAATTATACTCATGAGCCTCCAGGGGTGTGAGGGTAATTTTAAAGATTTAGAGACGGTAATAAATGCAAATCATGGGGGGTAGCAGATAATCCAGTGCCGGATTTAGTGAGAATCCATATTGGGTACAGTGGAAGAGAGGGCACCTGAACCCAACTTCCAGCTACTAGGTCCATTAAACACCCCCACTGGACCGACCGACTGACTGACTACCGTTTCACACACTGGCATCTTCTCTCTCTTCTAAAACTCTCAAAGAATTGGGTTTTTCTCTTTCTTCCAACATCCAATTCCTTTTTTCATTAATCCAAAACGTACTTCACCACATACATAAACTTTACCAACCCTAATCTCATTCCCCCTCTTTTCCATCGTCATCATTCTTATTAGTCCTTAATCTCTTCTAAATGGGCTCCTAAGTTTTACACCCCAATTTTTTTCCATGCCTGAGCGTCAGAGAAATGGTCTGAGCTGTTGAGGCAGCTCTGGCTCCCCTAGACTTGCAGTGGTAAGTGAGTTTAGATCTGGGTTCTTTGGTTTTTTTTTTTTTTTTTCAATTTTAGTAGAATTTATTTATGTTTGTTTCCTTTTTCCTTACTCATCGTGTAATGCAACTTGCTGCATCAGGTTGTGGCGAATTGATCGAGGTGTTGAGTTAGAATTGGATTGGTTTGCTTGAAACGACGGTAAAGGTTGGATTTTTGGGCACTTGGGATCTCAGGTAATTATTTGTATTTTGGATTTTTTTTTTTCTTTTGTTAGTGGTATTTTGAGAAAATTTAGCTCGCTTTGAGGAGGCAGCCCTTATGTTTTTTTGTTTTCTAGGTGGTGAAGCATATTCTGTACAAAATGTCTTTCAAGAGTATAATTCAGGATATGAGGGGTGAAATTGGCAGCATATCTAGAAAAGGGTTTGGCTTGAGATCGAGATCACAAAGGGTGGTTCAGGATAATAGTAGTTACCTGGTGGTACTAGCGGCTGTAGAAGAAGATGCTTTGAAGCAAAGTTGTTGGGCTAATGTACCTTTAGAGATTTTGAGAGACGTGTTAATGAGGATTGAGGAAGCTGAGGGTACATGGCCCCCAAGAAAGAGTGTGGTTTCGTGTGCTGGTGTTTGTAGGAGTTGGAGAGACATTGTCAAGGAGCTCGTGAGGACACCAGAACTCTCAGGACAATTGACATTTCCCATTTCCCTCAAGCAGGTATAAATGAATTGGTGTATGGAATGATGTAATCTGTGCTGTTTAAATGGTTGTTTAGTGCTTGCCAGGTATTAATGAATTGGTGTATGGAATGATGTAATCTGTGCTGTTTAAATGGTTGTTTAGTGCTTGCCCTGTTGGATTAGTTACTTGGTGAGACTTTAGGTTTGAATGATGTTTTCTTTTGTCTTGTTATTTCGCTTTACCTATCTTAAGTGTAGAAATGGTTCTGTAGGTTTTGTTTAGATGTTTATTGTTTAGCTTTTAGTTATAATACTCTTAAAAAAGCTGGATCACTTATGACGGTTGCACTGTTCAATAATTCGCCGAAATGCATATTCTTCCTTTTGAGAAAGCCCCTACTTATGAATACTTGCTTTTTTCTTGCAAATTTTTGTTTTATGTATGCAACAAAGTAAAGAAAGGCACATTGTTATTATTCTTCTTGATGTACTCTTTGGAATGTGCAGTATAATTTCTCTTTTTTTTTAACATCATATAGTTCTATTGCAGCCTGGCCCTAGAGGTTCTCTGATACAGTGTTTCATAAAAAGGAACCGCAATAGTCAGTCGTACCATCTTTTTCTTAGCCTAAACCAAGGTAGTCTTTTTCTTAGAACTTCCAGTTTATGATTATGTCTTCAGGAGCTCCTAAGTCATACATCACCTTATCTAATAACCTGCTTTTCTGCAACAGCTTCAAATGATGATGGAAAGTTTCTTCTGTCAGCTCGAAGATGTAGACGCCCAACATGTACAGATTACATTATATCTCTAAATGCTGAAGATGTCTCAAAGAGTAGTAACACTTACATCGGGAAGTTGAGGTAAGTTTTGGTCTCATTTGATTTGACTGCTGTGAAGTTGTAAACTTGCTCAAGACGCCGGTCAACTTACTCTTGTATTTTCTTTTAGCAGATCCAACTTTCTGGGAACCAAATTCACAATCTATGATGCACAACCTCCGACTTCTGGTGCCAGGGTTACTAGATCTCGTTCCACGAAATCAATTGGAACAAAGCAAGTTTCACCAACTAGGGTTCCTGCTGGAAACTTTGCTGTGGCCCATATAGCATATGAGCTGAATGTCCTGGGGTCACGGTAAGCTACGTTTCTGAATCTTTGATATTGGAAAAGAAAAAAAAAGTAATTGCAGATATGTACTGTAGCTTTCTGCTATCTGACACTTTCTGGTGAGGTGGGTTTATGTGATATTATTTTTTCGTGCAAGCTGTCAAAACAGGGCTGCCCTTAAGTTTTTCATTCATATGTGCCAATACCATCAATATTTGTTAACCTATTTAGTAAGGAATATTTACTGACCAAAAGTGTATACACTTTGGAAATAATCAGGGGTCCCAGAAGAATGAACTGTGTGATGGATGCAATACCAGCCTCTGCGGTTGAACCTGGTGGTGTCGCTCCCACACAAACCGAATTCCTACCCGGCACTAGCGATTCATTTCCTTCCCTCCCTTTCTTCAGATCAAAATCTTCGCGCGTGGATAACATTAATAATTCCAGGCCTTTGTCATCAACGGATAAAGAAGACATGTTAGTATTGAAAAATAAGTCTCCCAGGTGGCATGAGCAACTTCAGTGCTGGTGTCTGAACTTCAATGGACGGGTGACGGTGGCGTCTGTGAAGAATTTCCAGCTTGTGGCTTCCTCAGAGGGTGGACCAGATTCAGAAGATGTAATTCTCCAGTTTGGAAAAGTTGGGAAGGATGTTTTCACTATGGATTTCAAGTATCCAATATCTGCATTCCAGGCCTTTGCCATATGCCTTAGCAGCTTTGACACCAAAATCGCATGTGAATGATTAGCAGGTGCATCATCCTCTTATTTCTTCCCCTATATGTATCTGCACAGATGCAAAATATTCTGTGTTTCTTTGGTGTTTCTTGTTTGCCTATGCAAGCTGGAAAGTTGTGGTCATTCCAAGATTTGGTATAATGCATATGCTTGCTGTGATTTTTGGATTACTATTACTATGATTACTACATGTGGTGGAAAGTTATAGTGCAAAGGGTCGGTTTTGGTGGGTGTTTGCAACCCATGGACTTGTGCAGCTGCAAGCCAAAAAGACTGTAGTTACAGAAGCTTGAGTGAAAAAGTTTAAAAAGTGGAGGTGTTGAAGATTTGTGGCCACCATCAAATCAGTTTGCATCACAGGGAGCATAGGTTTTGTTTAGTATCAATATTTCATGAGCCAAACGACTTGCACTTGATGCTTGACAGCTTGACTGAAGAGATAATTGGTTGTAACAATGATATCCCCCTGTTTGAATTTATTTTTCCTATGGTAAAAGAGTTATAACGATGACCTGTGTGCTTGAGTCTTAAAATATTGAATCTTTGTTTATACTTGCTATCACTGAACTGTTGCTGCTGCTGCTGTTATAGTTCCACACCGCATTCATATAACGTTTTTTTTTTTTTAAACAGGAGGTGCTGAAATGCAATGAGATTTTTGGGAAGTCGTTGCATGCGCTGCTGACTTAATTGTAGATGGAATTTTTAGCGTTGCTGCATCATCCTGTTTCAGAGACCGTGCCTTGTTGGTGTTCTCAGTTATCAGTGTCTTATTATGTGTACATAAATTATAGTCCCGTTGAAGAACGGGTCTTAACCGGGTATGTTTGGTGATCCCCCGACTAACGTTCTTCTATCATCTGTATGATTCTCTTCTTTTTTTCTTTTTTCTTTTTTTTTTGTTCACTTTCCCTTGTTCATCTGTTGTCTGATTTCAATTCGGACCTTGTAACACCTTACTGTAGTATCTTGTCTTTTCTTTTCTTTTCTTTTGGAGGGGTGGCTCCCCCAAAATGGCAAATGTTACTGTGTAAGATGAGCAATTTAATGGTTGAGATTTGGTCATGTTTTTCTTTTTAGTCGGGGATCGCATTTGTTTCTGAAAATTGCAGTGTCTTTTCAATGAAGTTTTGCTGTTGAATAAATATCCCTATCCTGTTTTTACTGCTAATAATATTGAAGCAATCAACTGTCTGAGAGTGAGTTCCGCAAACGTTATGATTTTGGTGGTTGTGACTTGTGAAAATAAAATCTGTTGGGCCTAAAAGGCAGTGTAGCCCCTTCACTTATTTAATTAAAAGAAAACATAAGGAAAGCCCAAAATGAAGCTGGAGTTCATGATGCTATTACAATTAGTAACGTCTTTGAAAGCCCAAATTTCTCTTCATCATTCTACAATTGGTCACGAGACTCAGTGACTACTCAGAGACACAGAGTTTAAACGTAACAAAGAGTTGAAGGTAGCAGGAAACAGAAGTCTTCTCAGAAAGGGAAAGGAGGAGGTGGTCCAAATGGTGGTCCTGGAGGAAGAGGAGGGCCAAAAGGCCTGGGCCCAGGCCCACAAGCACCACCAAAACAACAATCGTGGAATAACCAGCCACAACAGAGACAGGACAAGCTGCATTCAAAAAATAAAACATTTCATTTTAACATTTCACATCATTTCCAATTCCAATTTCACCTGAAAATATAAACTATATTTAACCATAATAATAATAATGGGAGAAACACGTACCAGCCCATTACTCAAGCCAATTTTCAATCACAAAATACAATTCTCTATCATTAATATTTTCAGAACTCTGTGCATATTACTTATGTGTATTTTCATCAATATTTCCATATCCCTAAGCATTCCTTTGTTTCAAAATATTTGTTCTTTGTTTTTGGAATATAATCTTGTTATAAAATTATAATCTGCGAATCATCCTTATTTTTAATTAAACCGTTAAAATATACTCTTTTCGTCCCGTAAAAACATATCCTTGGTGTGTTGTATCTTTTTTTTCTTTTTTTTTTTTTATGTATATGTTGTTGGGATGAATAAGGTACATAAAACATCAGGACATGAGGCGCATGATCATCAATGTAAAAATGGACACAAATTAATGTAATGGAAATATACAAGGTTTGTCAGCTTACCAAGCGGCAATGGCACCGCAAATGCAATCGGCAAAGCCACGGAAATATTCAACTGGCCCAACTGGGTAAGGTCCCCATGGTCGTCGCCTCGGTCCCCATCCGACTCCACCAGGTCCCATTTTCTTCTCTTAGACTCGGAGTTTTCTGTCGACTCAGTCAAGAAACTTCAAAAATCGGAATTGACAATTTTCACAACCAAGATGAGTTGCAGATCAAAAATTGAAGGATGGAGAAGAAGCAATTACTGGTTTCTTTTTAATGAGAAAAGAATCATGTTTTATCTACTAGTTTTGCTTCACCTAATATTCTCACTACTCCATTTTCGACCTAATGTTCAAATCTTTGCTTAAATTCAAGCTTACTCGCTTAGTTGTTGAGTAACTTGAATTTTTGGCAAATCGAAAACACTTTAATAATCTCTCCAAATTTTATTACAGTGCTATTTTTTATTTTTTTTTTTGTATAAATAGTATTACCAGTTACCAGAAAAACAATCTATTTTGTTGAAATAAAACAATACACTGAAATGAAAATGATTTATTTTTCTGAGACGGACGAATGAGAGTACTATTGAATTAATCAGCTGCATTTAAAGCAAAACTGATATGCTTATATTTTACCTATTTATTATATCCCTAATTTGTGATTTTTGCAATATATTTTGAATACAAATATGCTATTTATATGATTTTATCTTTATTTGTAGGTTTTATGCTCAAATGGAAGAATTGTTGAGGTTTTGAACTAAATTGAAAAGAAAAGAAATTCAAAGGGAGAATTGAAGATTTGTTAAATTGACAAAGAAGAAATTGAAGCACTTGAAGATTTGGAGGAGTTTTAATTTAAATTGGCTTGAAAAATAAAATAACTTTCTTATTCCTGAAGAAATAAGATTTGACGAAACCTATAAAAAGAGGACGTAGGGTTTTATTTTTTGAGACGAAAAACTTGACCGTCCTTCACCAAAAAAAACCAAACCCCAGCCCAACTCCTCCGCCGACCATCACCTCTCCTAAACTATCACCGCCGCTCCAGCACCCCATCACCACGCACACCAGCTCCAGCACCCCATCACATCATCATCATCAACTCCAAAACCATACCTCCAACAAAGCACCTTCATCCACCAAAACCCACGCCCTTTTTCACGCACCAAATCACCCACCTTCCACCACCAAAACCCATGCGAGCAGCACCCATCAATATCACTCACGCACCATCATCGCCAAGAGGAGCAGATCAATTTTCTGACTCAACTTTTGCGACTTTTCTCTCCTTGATTTCATTGTTTTATTTATTTTTGAAATAATGTGTAGCTAAATTATTTAATCTAGGGTTTTGGAAGTAGCCACTGTACTATTTCATTTAATTTAAGTTATGATTGTGACTTTTTCATTAATTAATATTTATTTTTCTTGTTTTTCATACATGTGAATACCTGATCAATATTTGCATGCTTTAAGGTGCTAGCTGAAGTAGCGAGAGTAGGAGGCTAGTATTAGTTTGTAGGAATAATAAACTTAGATAGTGAGCCACGAGAGTAGGAACACCACCTTTGCGACTAGTAATTCCAAAGTTCTTAATGTGCTTTTATTAATCCCTATAGTCACGAGAGTAGTCATATGGTTAGTTTAAGTAAGAGGGTTATAACACGAGAGTGTATAATTTTTAAATTGGTGAATTGTTGTGAGATTAATGAGAGTCGAAAATCACATATTTATCGATTAAATTAAACTGATTAGTCGTTGGTGAACCCTTTGCCCTAGGTTTTTCTTTTACTTATTTATATCTTTAAATAATTGTAATTGTTAGTTTTAGGTTTAGAATAGTTTAAAATTGATAAATTGTTAATCTAAATAATAATAAGAAATAGTTTTAACTTGGTACTTGGTAGCCTTGTTTGTGGAATCGACCATTCTTGCTACTTTACTACTAAGTAATTGTATTAAGTAGGTAATTAATATTTGACTAGTGTGACGACGGCTTGTAAAAACATGAAAAATGGAACATACGAACACGTACGGCAGCAGGGGCTAGCTGTAAATCTTGTCCATTTAGACGACATTTTCCTGTATTGGCTTCACAACTCGTAACTTCACCCGAAGCTTCCCTAGTTTCATTTCCAATTAATTTACTCTTCACAAACTTGCTCATCCTTCACTTGTCATTTTAACTCAAGAAAGACTACGTCGTACCGAGAATTAAATGATTTAACAATATCCAAATGTTGTGATACTTTCCATTTTTTTTTTCAAATGATTATTATTAATTATGATTCAACCGTTTTGAAAATTGATTGAACTACTTTTTTTTTATTATTATTATTGCACTCGAGTAGTTAAGGTCCTCAAAATAAATTCAAAATCGAAAAGAAACTTCCGGTAAATTTATTTCATTTTCTCATAGCAGCTTCCTCCGAGGAGGGACTACGATAATTTATTAATTTTGTGTAGTTTTATTGCCCTTTTTTTTTCCCCTTTTCAGAATTTATAGAATGAGTTTTTGCAAGAGACAAATTGGTTCAGTCGACAATTAATTGAAAAATAGTTTGATTGAATTCGTCACTATCTGGGAGAAGGAGCATGGAAATTAGGTGCAGCCACAACCACGTATCAATGAAAATTATTCACTGACTTTTTACATAAAAAATATAGACTAGTATTTATTTATTAATTATTATTGGAAGGATAATACATAACCAGCAGAAAAATTTTAAATATATTCACCTATTTATTTATTTATATATTTCATTCGGTCAAAATTATATTTCTAAAGTTCATCATGATGGTGCTCCAACTTTTTGATACGTTCCTTGAAGAAACAAAAGCACATCCTCCTGCTCCTTGAAGTAATTGGACGAATACTTTTTTTTTTTTTCTTTTTCCTTATTCAAATGTCTGAAAGAAAAAAAAAATCAAACATTATTTTCTCATGTTTAAATTGTTTGATTGATGAAGTAGGATTATAAAATAGTCAAGGCCGACAATCGGGTGAGTCATCTCTGTCTTGGATTCTCCGGCTTCAACTTTTCTCCAAAAATTTGAAATTCTTTTTAAAAACTTTTTCAGAGCAACAGTATATACTAAAAAGTAATTCCAATAAAAATTTAAAGTTGGTCTCTGGTCCATGGATATTCCTAATTTTCGCAGCTTAATTATTTTCGGAATCTATATCCGTTTTCTAAAACTTTATTTCACAACTAATTCGGATTCAATTTGAGTATAAACCAAAAAAAAAAAAAAAGAAAAAAGAAAATTAGAATTAAATTTAGTTTAACTGCAATAAAAACGATTCATCTTAAACCCTTCAAACTCGTGTTGTTAAAATCAAACAAATGCATCAAATAAGATTATTCAATCATTTGCAATCCGATTATTTGACTAGTTGTTTTTGCAATTAATGATGTACTTAGGAGATTATTTGAAGTCAATTCGTCGACTTTTAGTGCTTGAAACTTTAATGATCAGAATTAAATTAGATATCGTGATGCAAGTACTTGAAGGTGTGTGGCATGCATTATTGAGTCATTTTGATGCTTGAATAGTAGCTATATTCACAGTTACAAATTCCTAATGATTTTGTAGGTTATAAAACAAATATATATATATATATATATATATATATATATACACACATCAGGTAATACTTCGTATAATGTAAAAATTATTATGAGTCCCTACTACCAAAATATCATTACCGGTAGTTAAAAAACTTCTGAGAGTAGGTACTTTTGTTTTGGAAGAACCATAATTTCATTTCTTATAATTGCATCGCCCAAATCTAACATAATTTCATTGCCATTATCCTTGGTGCTTAATTATAAGGGCCATAGCCTTAGGCCCCATAATCAAACATTTAAATCTGGGAAACTTTCTCGGCCTGCGATTAGTACTATTATTTAGCACTTATTACAGGTTACGTTTTATTACTAAACTTACCAATCATGAACAGACAGAATAGAGGGGAATGGACCAATCAAGAGTGAATAAATATTGTGGTTGAATATGTGAAATGATGAATCATTTTATGCTAAAATGAAACTTTAAATTAGACAGTTATTTTAAAAACGGAGAGAGTAATTATTTTACGAACTTAGCAATGACAAACTACGTTTACAAGCAATACTAAGCGCTATATGGGAAGGTGAGCATAACATGCTTGTTGAACAGATGGCGTGGATGGTCGACCCCTTTGAAATAAAAATTTGAACTCTTAAGAAGAAAATAACATACACGTCTTGATTGACACTACACAACAATCAATGAATTTCAGAAGGCCAAATATAAGATAGATTGACGGGAAAAAGATCGTTTTTTTTTTCTTTTAATTTGGAAGAAATCAAAAGATTGAAGAATCTTTTTTTAAAGATTATGTATAGGGTTATGATGCATCATTTTCTAAATTCTAGTGTGGAGTTGCGGCTAATTTTGTATCAATTAGACTTCTTTGGTTGCAAATGCAATGTAATTTGTTTTGACTATTGAGAACTCATTACCAACCAGCCTGCCCTACCAATCACACTTTGCCGAGAGTACTTAAAGACCTTTTATATTTGTGGTTGTTATTTTGCATTTCGTCTTAAAATTTATGTGAAATTTATTGTAAATTGTATTAAACATATTGATTAAATTTCAAATTCAATAAATTTTCCAAGGCTGATTATTAAGAAAACTTATCGTACCACTCTATATTTTAGTTGAGTTCATTTCAAAGTATACATGGTATTGCTATATAAATATTTTTTAAACTGGAAATGGTTTGCACGACGTGCAAAACATACAGTCACAATATATAATTTATGTGGTGGCTTTTTTCTCAATGCTTTTCAGAGTTTCTCTATCTTTCAATTTCCAGCACAGGTATGTATGATCATTGTTCCATGATGCCCTGAAATCTTTGTAATTATTCTCCATAAAATAATTCAATTACTATAATCTATAACTTCAAGTACAGTGTCATACGTACCATACATGAATTTCCAATTATATATTTATATTATACACCAATTTGCGATGCCAAACCACTTTGCTTTTTAGATGAGCTGCACATTCTTTCTTATCAAAGCAGTGAGGGCATAAGCAAGCACCATAGAGGAGAAAGGGTTTATTTTAGGGTTTGT